TACTGTAGTATAGAAATAGAATCGTGATTTATGGTTTTTTCTATTGTTTTGTAATCCGAATAACGAAATGAAATGAATTTAACTTGTAGGGCTTCGCGATGTTATCGCTCTATTTCACGGGCACAGGTGGTAAAATTTTGAAAAGAGAAGATTCTAATAAGTAGTAGTAATAAAAATTGGGGTGGGTCAATATCCATAGATTGACTAAACCTGAATCTAAAATGTTAATAGATTCTGAAATAAGACCCACTGGTCCATAACTGCTCTACTCTCTACGTACCAATAGCTCATAAGAGACGTCTCGTCACTCCCATTATTTTGGCTTTACTTTTATGATTCTGGGGTCCATCTATATTCCAATTTTATTCCTTCTTCCTTTTCTATCATAAATGTTTTTTTTTAGTGTTATACATATATATATAGTCGCCACTCGCAAGTGTACTAAAATCTACAATATGACACTTCTATAAAATTAAAATAAAGATCGAATTAAAAAATATACTTGTGATTTATTGGATCGGATTGAACTTGTGGATCGATAATTCTAATATTTTATTTATTAGATATATTTTTATATTAGAATTAGCAAAAAAAAAGAGAGACGAGTCAAGTTTGTGTGTTTGTGGTAATTTAATGGTTTGGAAAGTAGTTATGGTAAACCATTAAAAAGACTCTAAAATATTAACATTTATTTTCACTGTTAAAAAAGCATTGTAGATTACTATTTCTATATAGTAGTATTAAAAATTTGCAGCTTTAATATTTCAAGTGCCAGAAAACATGCGGCATAATTACTCCTATCGCTTGTAATTTTCTATTCTACCGCCTAGTGTGTTATCTCTCCCTCTGCAGCTGTTTCATGATCCTACTGTAAATTTCCTTTTTTTTACCACTGTTAATTTTAAGTTTTAACTACCGTTTATGAATATACATAATGCGATACATAGATTTATGAAAACTGGACCAAGAAAGTGACGTGACCATTGTGGGTTTGTGGCGACTCGTGGTCGTGTCCTCAACGACGACGTCGTAATGAAAATACTAGCAATCGTACGCATGAGTGACACGTTTGCAGAATCGACGGTCAAGAGAGATCCTAGGGAACTTGAGAAAAGACGTGGGTGAATTACGAAGCCGTTGAACGGCGTGCAAGAGCGCGTGCGGCTCGAATCTTACGTCGTTGAATACGAACCGTCCGATCAATACAATCGATCCACATAGATGCGTGCGCGAAGTCACATGCCGTTATGAAGCGTTCTCGATGACAATCACGTGTCCTCTTGGGATTGGTTACCGTTTGCAAACTCCGTTTGTGACGTTATATTGAAAGGCAAAAGACAATTTAACCTTTTTTATCTGTTGGTAATAAAAACATTTTTATGTTTATAATAAAATGAGCTCATTAATGGTGCCTTTAGTGGTAGTACTCCAAACTCCAAAGCTATCAATTTAAAGGACACAAATCCTAATAAACTCAAAAGAGTTATGTTGGGGACCTTTACTCAAACTTCTATCGAAATCTGATCTTTTTTTTTTTTTATATATTCTAATCGATTTTATTAATACCAGGACTCGCAAACACAAAAAAATGAAATGAGAATATAATTTGAACGGTTAAGGAGTATGATAATCACGAAGATGGCATGATATTATAGTTGGAGTGGGTTACTTGGCGAAAGAGTCAAATAGAATTTTCATAAATTTGGAGTATGACGTGGACTTATTTCTCCGAGCATTACCAAATTTTTCGTATTATATATTATTGCAACCTTACATATTCGTAGCCCCATAAATATCCTGAATTATATTTTTATTTGGCTTGAGAATTGAAATAAACATACCATAATGTATTAGTGTAGAACCTGAACGCTAGTCCACGACTATCCCGGATTAGAATTATACGTTTCATCATAAGCAAGAAAATCATGTCGCATCTCAATTATTATATGCCCATGTTTATGAACATATATATGGAGTGAACGCACTTTTCAACAAAAACATGGTGAGAGGTGTACGACACCAAACACATACATCTTCTTCATATTCAAACTAGTAGACAAAATTTAGTTAAAATTTCATTATTATAATTATTTTTTTTGTCACTAATTAATTCTTGTTTCTTTGTTGTTGTTTGTTACTTATTTAAGTAATCAATTCTTGTTCCACTTCCTTTATTTGAAGTGCAATATACACCCATTTTATAATATCCATTGTACATTAGTTACTTGTTTCACTACCTCAATTATAAGATTTGAAACCACTATGAATTACACCAATCTGGAAGTATATTTTATGACGATAGAAAAAGTGATCCTAGTGAGTTGATAGTAAAAATTTAACAATAATATAGTAAGTAAATACAGACGATACTGTTTCTATTAGCAATCGCTCTTGCTTTTATTTCAGCAGAAGAGAGAGAGAGGAGCAAAAGGCAAGGGATGTGAACTGTGAAGCGTAGAAACGGCGCCGTGTCGGTCCAAAAGTCATTGAAAAATAATATAAAAGACACGTGTCGATATTACGCTAACGTACGCACTCTATTTCCCCTCTTACTCAACCATTGATTTGCCGTCCACTTCACGCGTGCCGAGCGGTCAAAAATTTCAGACGCAAAAGCACCAAATAATGCTTTTTCTTCTTACTTTTAATTTTTTCTTGATTTCTAATACTGGTTTTTTTTACATGTTTCCATTTCTATATAAGACAAAAGTGAACATAACTTTTTACTACAATATTTGTTGAGTAGCTTTGTGGGATTTGCTAGTTGTTGTTACACGATCTTCAGATGAACATATTGGCATTGGATTATAATTTTGGGATCCATGTCTCTCATAAGGTAGAGATGATCACGTCAGAATGAGTTTCGAAAGAACGGTCACGCTCTTATATAAATTTTGGAAAATGAGAGTTTTGTGTAAAGTAACAAAATCTTAGAAAAGCGTTTGATAAGTATTTCGAGGAATGTTAGGTAAGTAGAGAGCTTGCAAAACTTTTAGAACATTGCAAGTAACGGAAATACCTAATCGGAACGGGTAAAAAAACATTATGGAAATTAAGTCAAGCTTTGTTGCACCGTGGGATTAGCATCATTCGTTTTAAGTATGTTTATGGCGAGTAAGCACAATGGTATATGATTGGATGATAAATATTCACTCATAATGGATTCTTCTTTATATAACCTAAACTAATCCTGAATAGTTACCGAGTTCTAATGTGTAAATACGTTTTTTTGTTTTCTCTAATCTTTGATGATTAAGAGTGCGTAAAAGAATTATGCTTAATTTTTTAAAAATTGTATTTAGGATTACATGAAAGAGAACTATTTTCATTTATAGTATACCTGAAGAATTTATGATATGGAAATACCGAAAGTGATATCGTTCCATATCACACAGCATAATACAATGACAACATGTCAATCATTTCGTCGCAAAAACATTTTAAAAAGTCAAACTAAAAGATGTATCTAAAAAAGTCCAAAGATGTATAGTATTAGTACACACTATACACACCATGCACAATTACACATGTGTTTTAGGAGTATTAGATATTTAATGAGACAAACAAATTATGCTGACACATGTACACAATCAAAAGATATTCCCTTCTTTATTTTGTAGCTAGAGTTAAGCAAATAAGTTTTTGTAACGGTCCATTTCAATGTTAATGCAATTGAATACAGTTCTACTAATAATGATTTTTTAAAATATCAATTACATTATTTCATACATATAGACCAAATGTTAATAGTAAAAGTAACGAAACGAAAAAGGAAGACATTTTTTTAAAGTCATAACTTGGAAAGGAAAAAGAGCACCGGCCCAAAAGGTTGCAAGATACACTTCCTCTCTTACATCTCAGGCTCCATGCTAATATACGCTACTTTGACATTCTCTTCTATCATACGCACCTTCTCTAAATCTTCCAAAGTCTCACACCACTCACACACGTCCCCTTTCCCAAATCTCAGCAGAGAAGAAAAACATTTTACAAAAGTTTATATTATTGCAACGGAAAAAGAAACCTCCTTTGTCATAAAGTTAATTTAATTTTAATTTTTTGCCTTAATTGTTTCTGCATAATCATAAACATAGTATATAAATATATATCTTCAGGTTATAAAATCAACCAAAGTTGTTGAAAAGCAAGACACTTTTGGAACAAAATATTCAATTTTGTAAAAATCTATGCATTATATTTTACATTAATATAATATTCTCACTCATGGTACTTATTTTTACTATCTGCCTTATAACATAAGCATTTATAGTACTTGTACAATCAACTACGTTTCTGTGCGAATCAGAGATTACGTGTGCTTACTACTCTACTTTATTAATTTTTGACGTAAACTGTTGTAACATTAAATAATTTAAAATATATACTACTATATTTCAATAACAAAAATATTTTAATTTAATGTGAAAACAATAAAATAAAATATTATTCGTTTTGAGAGTCTAAAGCTGCAACGGCATCGCCATATACAGAAAGTTTAAGCGCAGGATAAGAGCATGCACACTCTTTCCCATTTCCAAGCAAAAAAAAAGAAATTATACATACACACTTATATCCATATACACACTTAGATACATACATCTAGAGAGAGAAGAAAAATGTGGGCTTTTTCAGAGAAATAAAAAGGAAAGTTTTTTTTTTCTTTTTTAAAGCTTTTGTCTCTCTCGCAATTCCTTCTTGTTCTTGTTTGCATCCGGAAACAGAAGAAAGAAACTGTTGTTTCATGATGGCACCTTTGGTTTCTCTTCTTCATTGAAGGGTCGAATTTGGTCTCAGAAAAGAGGAGAGAGAGACAGACAGAGAAAAGAAGTGAGAGAGAGAAAGAGGCAAAAGCCCCACAAGAGAGACATGCTTGTCTGTGTGTAGTCCCTTTTTGTATGTTCTTTAATCTCTCCCACTCTCTTTCGTTCTGTTTTTGTCATGTGTAAGGGTTTTGTCCTTCGAATTTGGAGTTTTCTTTAACCAAAATAAAACCAGATTCCATGAATTGGGTTTGTCTTTAATTCCTCTGGTTTCTGGATTTATCTTGTAGCCTGTTTGCTCAATAAGGGCTCGTTGTCTCTTCTTTGGTCAAAATAATAGTAATGAAGACTCTGTAAAGAATAATAAGCTGAGTCTTGCTTAAAGCCTAGTGTTGAGTGTGGGAGAGAGACATACAGAACCCAAAAAAAAAAATCTCTCTATGATGGCTTCATTGTCTAGTGTTGAGGACAAGATGAAAACAAATGGAGGAGCAACAACAACAACTTGTCAATCTACTCTGCTTGAAGAGATGAAGCTGTTGAAAGATCAGTCAGGTTTCATCTTCTTCTTCCTCAATATTTTGACTGAAAATTCCTTTAAGATAAATTTTCCTGGCAACACTTTCTATGTGTGTTTACTTTTACTAATGTCATTAATGAGAAAGAAAAAAACATACAAAAAGGTCAAAACTTTTTCATGTAAATCAAAATCCGAAACAAACTGAGCTAAAAAGTTCCAAAATTTACGCCAATGACATTAGAATATTGCTAACTTGCCCTGAAATTCTGTGGTTTCGTACATGTTCAGGAACGAGAAAGCCGGTAATAAACTCGGAGCTATGGCACGCTTGTGCAGGCCCTCTGGTTTGTCTCCCTCAAGTTGGGAGCCTGGTGTATTACTTCTCACAAGGTCATAGCGAACAGGTAACTTTTGTGATTTTTCAAAACTACATTATAGCTCTCTTAGATCTTGTAAGCATCTGTTCAAAAGGTTTGGTTTTTTTTGAATCAGGTTGCTGTTTCAACCAGAAGATCAGCAACGACCCAAGTTCCTAATTACCCAAACCTTCCATCTCAGTTGATGTGCCAAGTCCATAATGTTACTCTACATGTATGCCTTTTTTCAAATGTTTTCTTCATTTGCTTTGATATGCAAACTTATCGCAACCAGTTTTGATTTCACTTGACAATGGTTTATGTTTTCGTTTTGATAGGCAGACAAAGACAGTGACGAAATCTATGCTCAGATGAGTCTTCAACCTGTTCACTCTGTAAGTTTCTGTACTTGCTTAACTTCCTTTGAATTCCTTCATTTTTGAAAAATCGAATGAGTCTTAAAGTGGCTTGTGTATTAGGAGAGAGATGTGTTTCCTGTACCGGACTTTGGGCTATTGAGAGCAAGCAAGCACCCGGCTGAGTTTTTCTGCAAAACACTTACCGCGAGTGATACAAGTACACATGGAGGTTTCTCTGTGCCACGTAGAGCCGCAGAGAAGCTATTTCCACCTTTGGTGAGTCTCTCTCTCTCATCTCTAAGGAAAAGCATTTGTTCCTCTTGCTTCGATTGTTTTCTTATGTTATGTGTAATACATCACAGGACTACACAGCACAGCCGCCAACTCAAGAGCTTGTAGTTCGAGATCTGCATGAGAATACTTGGACATTTCGCCACATCTATCGAGGTAAAAGGCAATAGATTTGCCTCTCTCACTCTCTGTGTATATATATATATATATGTATTCAGATGATATTGAGTTTAAATTCCTTCTTGTATTTTCAGGGCAACCAAAGAGGCATCTCTTGACAACAGGATGGAGTTTGTTTGTTGGCTCCAAAAGACTAAGAGCTGGGGATTCTGTTTTGTTCATCAGGTGAAATTTATTTTAAAACCTTGTTGGCTTCTGAGTCATTTTAGTTTTTGCACAACTTCTGATGTTATTGGCCATTTGAATTATAATGTGTTAAAAAGGGATGAGAAGTCGCAGCTGATGGTTGGTGTGAGGCGAGCTAATAGACAACAAACAGCACTTCCTTCGTCAGTTCTCTCAGCAGATAGTATGCACATCGGTGTTCTTGCTGCTGCTGCTCACGCCACTGCAAACCGCACTCCTTTCTTGATATTCTACAATCCAAGGTTTGCTCAAAATGAAATTTCAAAAACTCTCAACATATAAAGACATCTTCGTAGTTTCTTCTCACATAACTCTTACGGTATCTGTGCTTTCAGAGCTTGTCCAGCAGAGTTTGTGATCCCTCTCGCTAAATACCGCAAGGCGATATGTGGCTCTCAGCTCTCAGTTGGTATGAGGTTCGGAATGATGTTTGAAACAGAGGACTCCGGGAAACGTAGGTCAGTGATCAGTAACACCACAAAACTCTCTGTTTCTTCCCAAGCAAACAAATATGGTTGTTCACTTATTTTTCATCTGTTGGCTGTGTGTGTTTAGATACATGGGAACCATTGTTGGAATCAGCGATCTTGATCCATTGAGATGGCCTGGTTCTAAGTGGCGTAACCTTCAGGTTGAATGGGATGAGCCTGGATGTAACGATAAGCCTACTAGGGTCAGTCCATGGGACATCGAAACACCTGAAAGTCTCTTCATTTTTCCTTCTCTGACCTCAGGACTCAAACGTCAGATCCATCCATCTTATTTTGGTAAGTAGAAATGAAGTGTGCCTTCTTGATATAATCCTTTCATATGATTTTGGAGCCTCAAATCATTTTGTATATGAAATTTGCAGCGGGTGAAACAGAATGGGGTAGTTTGATCAAACGGCCTCTTATCCGTGTTCCTGATTCCGCAAACGGGATCATGCCTTACGCGTCATTCCCAAACATGGCTTCGGAGCAGCTTATGAAGATGATGATGAGACCTCACAACAACCAGAACGCAACATCTTTCATGTCTGAGATGCAGCAGCAGAATGTTTTGATGGGGCATGGAGGTTTCCTCGGAGATATGAGGATGCAGCAGCAACCAATGGTAATGAACCAGAAACCTGAGATGGTGCAGCAAGAAAGCAAGCTGACTGTGACACCGTCTGCTTCTAACATGAGTGGCCAAGAACAGAATCTGTCACAGAGTATGAATGCTCCTGCTAAACCGACGCTTTCTGGTTGCAGCTCTGGGAGAGTCGGTCATGGAAATGAGCAGCAGTCAATGGAACAGGCTAGCCACGTGAAGACAGCCACAGTCTCTAATGAAGAAAAGCAGCTAATCCAGAAACCGGCTGCTTTGTCTCCTTTACAAGCTGATCCATGTGCTGACATAAGCCAACAGATATACCCACCACAGTCTGATCCAATGAATGGGTTCTCTTTCCTGGAAACCGATGAGCTGACATCACAGGTCTCTTCCTTCCAGTCACTTCCTGGGTCATACAAGCAACCATCCATGCTATCCCCTCAAGATTCTTCAGCTGTTGTGTTGCCGGATCCGACAAACTCATCGCTGTTTCACGATGTGTGGGACACTCAGCTGAACGGACTCAAGTTCGACCAGTTCAGTCCCTTGATGCAGCAGGACCTTTTTGGCTGTCAGAATATGTGTATGAGTAACAGCACGCACAGCAACATACTAGATCCTCCGCTCTCAAACAGAGTTCTTGATGACTTCTGTGCCATCAAAGAAACTGATTTCCAGAACCACCCTTCTGACTGTTTGGTCGGGAACAACCACAACAGTAGCTTCGCTCAAGATGTTCAGTCGCAGATCACATCCGCTAGCTTTGCAGACTCACAGGCCTTCTCTCGCCAAGATTTTCCAGATAACTCTGGAGGAACTGGTACATCTTCAAGCAATGTTGACTTTGATGATAGTAGCCTCCTGCAGAACAGCAAAGGAGGCTCATGGAAGAAAATGCCAACACCACGCGTCCGAACCTACACTAAGGTAAAAAACAAAGTCTCTCTCATTCCTTCCATGAGCGAAACATTTTTCTCATAACGGTTCTAACATGAACTTTGGTTTTTTTCTTGGGGGAATGTTTTTGTTTGGCAGGTTCAGAAAACCGGGTCTGTCGGGAGGTCAATTGATGTCACAAGCTTCAGAGACTACGAGGAGCTGAAGTCTGCAATCGAGTGCATGTTTGGATTGGAAGGAGTGCTCACTCAACCGCAAAGCTCGGGGTGGAAGCTTGTGTATGTTGATTACGAGAGTGATGTTCTGCTTGTAGGAGATGATCCATGGGAGTAAGTCTTTTTTGAACACTGTCCTGTGAATCCATTCATATTTCTGTATAACAATCTTTTTTGTTTTCCTAACATGACTACATAAACTGGTGCAGAGAGTTTGTGGGATGTGTGAGGTGCATTAGGATACTTTCACCTACGGAGGTCCAGCAGATGAGTGAGGAAGGGATGAAGCTTTTGAACAGCGCAGGCATTAACGATCTCAAGGCTTCTGTTTCATAAATGTAGCTATGTAAACAATTATCTCCGCAAGAAAAAGAGAGAGAAAGAAACTGTTGTTTTTCTCGATCTGGTTAGAGGAGGACCATGTTGTTGTATGCATTTGGTATGTTGTTCTGATATAAAACCTGCAACTATTTTAATATAATGTAGTAGAGTGATTAATGAATTAATATTCAGCTTATGAGAGATAAAATTCTCTCAAGTGCTTACCAAATTTTGCATGGTTTCACTATTATAATACTAGATACATTCAGCTTAAGAGAGATTGTCAAAGCCCCGCCGTTGAAAGGTATAATTCTTCATTTGTTTCAAAACTTGGTGGGTTTGATGCAGTTTCCGATGATTAACAACGAAACATAAAACTCTTCACAAACCACAAATTTTCAGTGTTTTACTATTGCAGAAAGAGCTATAAGCCGACATCACTATCAACCATTCAAACTTCACTGTTTTACTTCATCATTTTTGTTTTTACTGTAGATACAAACATCGCTGCCACATTACTGATCATTTGAAACAGAGTTAAGAAACCCAACATGTTAACTTGCCTCTGGTTTACAAATCATTAAGAAAAACCCAGAAATTCTAAAGATGAGAAATCTCAACGTTTTCAGATGTTACAACTTACCTCTGGTTCATTTTCCTCACGAGTACTTGGTGCTGCAAACATGTGTGGATGCGGAGGGAAGCTGAAGCACTGCTTGAAAAACAAATGAACATTGGGGACACTCAGCTAACATGTGTGGATGCGTAGGGAAGCATTGCCACGTCGGCTTGGAAAACTAATGCACATAAAGTTAATTAAAAAAAAAAAAACCTTAGGCAAAACAAAACAACAAGTGAGAAAGGGTCAAAATTAGACAAACAAAACTTAGAAACCTCAACCTTTGCCTTTCGTTGAATCAGCCTCACCATGAAAGCATGTAATTCGCTAGAGAGATGCGTGGTGAAATTTTCAAAGCCTTGGCCAGTAAGACCTTGGCATACTGAGCAAACCTCAAGTGCAGAGATGGTGAGAGGACCAGAGTAGCCTGATTTCTCCAAGAACCGTTTAATACACGGACCGACCCGACAAGCATCAAAGCCAGTGGGAACGGGACACGTCCCGATGTTCCAAAAGACCGATGTTACAGCCACAGAATATTATATATACAACTTTCAAAATATACAAAACTTGTATGGGTTGGTTTATATGGGTCGGATATGCGTGGCCCATTAGTTGTATATTACCGACAGCTTTTCCTTCTTCTTTTTTTCCTTAAGAACCCATGGCCCAGTAGTTAGCCCAAATAAACACCTAAAAGCAAAGTTTGGTTTCTGTATGGTGAAGAGCTTTTAATCTACCTAGCCATTACCTTAGCTTCTAGTGAATTTTTGGCTCACAATGGAATCCGCACTCTCCCTTGCAGGTTCTTCATAACTTGTGTCTTTTTCTCTATTTCATTGGAGTATTAACTATATGTTGCCTTCTCATTAATGGTTTGTGGTATGTTATGCTAATCAAGCCAAGTTCAGTGGTGTTTTTGTCAATAGTATGTATAATTAACATATGTGGCTGAAACCGTCAGACCTTTAGGTGATAAGTATGAAGATGAATACTCCAAACTACTTATCTATAAAAAAGTAATCATCACTCATCTAAAACCGAAACATATTTTATCAAATTAACTAAGCACATGATAAGGTTTATTAAAAAAAAAAAATGTGGCCCTCTTATCTTTTAAAATTTTGGTGGGCTTAGGCCGATGCCTTTTTTTTTAACACCATTAGACAACCATCAAAAGTATCAAGAGTCTATGTGGTATTCTGATTCAGTCCCTATCAAATCTCATTCTTTTTGCGCTTTGCAACTCAGGATTGTTGATATTTCCATTGTTCAGATTCCTCGGCTGGTAAGCTGTAGCATCGTGCTGGTATAAACAGCTAGCTCCATGGCGACAACCCCTCGCGCTGTTGAAGTACATGCAAGGCTTCATTATCTTAGGTTTTGAATCCCTTGGCCTCTGGTTATTATTGTTGCTATTCACCATCTCAGGGTTAACTCCTCCTCCAGGCTGGACGTTATAACGATAGCCGACATGTTGTTGAACTGGCGGAGTCTCTTGTCTTTCCCCGCCATGTTGCTGAATCAGGCTCTTGTAATAACTAGCATCTCTCGCTGGTGGTGGTGCTCCGTAGTTGGGTTGGTCTGAAGGTGCTGGAGGAGGATACACCTTGGGAGGAATATGTGTTACAGATGGCTGAGGGTAATATTGTCCATTTGAGGAGGCAGGTGTTGTGGTTACTACTACTCCATTGGCTTGACGCGTCGAAGATGGGTGTAGGGTACTTGCGTTGGAGGAGACTGTGCCTGCACCGCCACGACTTGCGACAAGATCTTCGACCAGCTTAGGGTTGCTTAGGATTTTGATGAGCAAATCTTGGTCGATCATGCTGCTGCCTTCTTCTTTGCTGTTTGAGATTGCAGATAGTGCAGCCATTATCTCTGATCCCACAGGGAGTGTTGAAGCGGATGATGTGTTCTCAGCAGTTACCGATGGCTCTGCTCTCGCTTCCACGCCAGATTGGGTTGAGTAATCAGACGCTGGATCCGTCGTCATGTCATCGTCTTCTACAGGTAGAATGGGTATGACAATGGTTTGCTGGTCGTCACAGTCTGAGTTCTCAACATCAGCTGGAACCGCAGGGCTGCAGATTTTAAGTTTAAGAAAAGACATTAGTCAAAACAAAAATTAAAAAGATGTGAAAATGTATGTATTGGAAGAATATGTAGGGAACAGATACGGACTTTGGAGGAATAGATGATGCGCCCGGATAGAATGCTTCAAGAACTCTTAGTTCCCTCTGATTTTGCGCCTCCACTTCTTTGCTTTCGTCCCCTGCAACCACTCTCCATTCCTCATCTAACAGAATCTGCAAGAACAAATGTTATAAGAGGTTGAACATATCTCAGTCTCACCACCATATACACGGTATTATGGTCAGTATCCTAAGGGATGAACGGAACATACTCAACTAGATTAACAAGAAATATGGATAACTCAACCAAGATCACCTTACCACCATATTTACGACATATAATTCGTATTAAACGACCATTGGGATTTGGTTAGACAATTAATATGGTTTTCAGAGGAATAGAGAATATATAAGTGCAAATAGTACTTTCGAAGATCTAATGATTCTAGCTCAAAAACAAGGCTTAAAGAGTGCGATCAGCAAGCTCACCCGGACGAAGCATTTCCATTTTATTACTGGAATGTCTGCTAACTTAATCTGCGACTCATTTGCAGAAAGAGGTCCACCGAAACCAGGTGGCAGATTATCATCACTTGGATGTGAAGCCAATGATGACTTTGCTTGCAGGTGATCTTGAGTTTCTGATCTAACTTGTGAAGGTGAATCATCTGATATGAACAGACGTACCTGCTCAACAAGAAAAAAACAGATTCTCAGTTGAATGCACATAAGAACAGTAGAGAATGTTGATCATATCATACTAGTTAGAATCTCATACAGGAAACATTATACACACACAAAAAAAAAGCTTGGTCACCATTAATGTATTACAAGAATCTTGGTTGTTTGAAAAAGCTTAATCAACGAAAGAAACAATCAATGTTGCAATGTATAAGCCAAGGACGTCATAATCCAGAACAGCCTGACTAATCAACTAATTTTTCAAACCATGCATACATGAAACAACATAGAACATTCGTCCATGTAGCTTCCTCCTCCTCCCTCCCAATAAATCAACTTAGCTGAACAACGAATCATCTCCAAGACAGCATTCGAGAGCGTGTCACCATGCCCAAATGTTTGCTGAAGATAGCCAAAAACCCTTCAGACATCACTCATTTTCTTGGTTCGGTCTCTTGCATACATCACCACTGACTACTTGACTAGATTGATCTCATGAGTAAAAGAGGTTAAAGGCTGACCATCCCATGATGGAACTGGATGTATCTCAGCATTAGCCCCTTTTCCAAAGAAGCAAAACATGGGCAAACAATTTTAGACTATGATGCCAGAAAAATAGAAGAACAAACAAGAGAGAGCAAAGTTTTATAACATGTACTCCAAAGAACTCGAGATTACTGATTGGTAGGTTTGTCTCCATGGTTCCACACGTATTCCCAAGAACCAACGAAGTCACAGGCAAGCATAAATTTCGAAAACAGAGCACATATACACACACTATAAACAATCAACTCCTCAAATTATGACTTAAGCCAAGTTATAAACATCTAAAGGGACATTATGGAATATATAGAAAAAAGCCATTTTAAAGCATATCACGAAACATAACAAAACAAACATCAATCATCGAGAGCATACATAAATGATTCATCACTGATTCATTTTTATGATGTTTCAGTCTCAGGCAGACTCAGGAAGACAAAGAAAGGGAGTTTGAAACAAACATCAATTATATTCCACATAGGTTTCGATCCAAGGAAGTGCAATGTCTTTACCTGACAAAGTTTAAAATCCGGTGGCCACGATACCCTTTTGGATTTGTGCAATGCCCTCATAGTTACAGAAACTCACTTCTTTTTCAATCAATCTAATTTTCTTCTTCTTTTGTTTCCAGGAAAAGTGGTCTAATTGTCTTTAAAATCCCAATAATTTATCAAGCCAGCATACTCTTTAGATTGAGCCAATCATCGTTTTCATCGAGAACCCTAATTTTTCAGGAAAACATTTGAATATCGGAAGATGGGAATTGAAGAAGAGAAGACGATGAGTTTATGAAATCCAGAGAGGAAACGTCAGCGTGCTAAATCCGTCGAAGCAATAAAGAGAAAGAGAGAGAGAGAGAGAGAGAGAGAGAGAGAGAGAGAGAGAGAGAGGGAGATCGAAGCGATGTGAAGCCCTAGATCCTCTGGGTTCCTCTGGTCACCATCGTCATTTTATCTGTCCTCGGGATTTTTCTTTCCTCCGCCTATATACACGTGTCTTTCACAGCCGTACCCTCTTAATGTTTAGCATTTCTCCAGATAAGCCACTAGTTTCAATAGATTTCCATAATAGTCCCCATATTTTATAATCTTTTGTGCAAGATTTTGATTTCTGTTTTGGGAACGAAGTCAATAGCAGCCCGTTTCATTGACTCATAGTTATGGTCCGACAATCCCACGAACCATTATTCTTTCTCAGATAGTAGTAACAGATGGAAATTAGAACCATGTTGTACAATGTTTTCAAAACTAGTACTAATAGGATAGAAATTTCAAAATGGCTAGTAACAGAGAAAGCCTCTCTTATATTTTGTATGGTTTGATTGATTAAAATTTAGGCTTATATCTTCAAAACAAATGTAATACTCACAGATTATAAATCAAATATACATAATTTTGTAATCCTATTCATTTTTTTCTGCAAATCACGATCTACATTCAGCCATTTTGACATACAACCAAACTAGTAACAGATAGAAATTCGAACCATTGTTTAATGTTTTCAAAAATTAAAGATTAAAGCATTTTCTTTTGTAATCTGTGTATGCCATTCGAAGAACACGAGAATATAAGAATAACCAAAATATTATTACACGACTTTCAAAGTGAAGTCCTAATTCATTGTTCACGACAGGCTTCACTTTCAGTTAAGCAGGTTATGTCCGAAAAAACAAAACAACACCAAACCAAACCAAACCAAACCAAATAATCCCATAGCCTCAAAAATCAAACAATTTTTTGAAGGAAGAAAAATAAAAACGATTCTATACAAAAGACTCATCCCTCCGCTCTCCGTTCCTCCTCTCCTCTGCACTTTTTGTCACTTTGGTTGTCTGAAATTAGAGTTAAGGATTGTCTGAATAAACATACCACTCATCAAATATTGCAAATTACCGAATGTCCCCTAAGAATTTTCTTTCCCGATTTCACTCCAGCCAGCTTCATCTCTGCCATTTTCTATCTGTAGAAAGCAAAGGCAAAAAATCAAACATTTTTTTCAGAAATGGTCAAAGCATCAAAATACGAAGAGTGAATTGCAGAGAAACGATAGGAAGAGGGGAGATTCGATTACCCTTTGTTCCCGGTTGTGCTTGAGACGCAGACCGTTGGATTCTAGGAGAAGATCCTTGTTTCCCATTGGCACCAACAGGCAGTGAATGTCTCTTCTTGATGGAAACGTCTCTTTCCTGAAGATCAGGGCTTGATCTTGGTGAGTTATGTTCTTGAACCTTAGCTTTCGCCGACTGTGTTGGCTGCATGAACCGAGGAAGAGAGTTCTTGCCTCCGCTGCTTTCTCTTGCTTCTTGGTCATACCCGAACGAAGTTCTTCTCCCGCTTTTCTGTTCTTTCCCTTCTTCTTGTTCTGTAGTATTATTAGCCTCGCCGGTACCAGCTTCCTGTTTCGGGCTTGATGTTATTTTCTTGCTCACTTTCCGCTTTTGGCTTGAACCACTCTTTTCGGATTTTCCCTTTCTCGCTTTAACTGAAGAAGATGCTTGACTCGCCGGTGTTGCCTGAGATTCAGTGATTGACATTGGAGTTAAAGCTTGAGGCCCTGATTCATCTCCTGCACGTCTCTTTTTGGAATCCGGTGTGTTAATAACCGATTCATGCTGTGTCGCTGAAATCTCAACTTCATCCTTGACATCCTCAACTTTCTCCTTAGGGTTCTCTACAGCACCCAATGGAGTTACATCTTTGACATCAATTTCTATCAACTCTGCTTGATCAATTTTGAGAGTGCCGTTCTCTAAAAGCTTAGCTTCAACCTTAGGATCAGCACCCTCAACGTCTGACTTCTTGTCAACTGAGTCAAGAGAAGAAGTTACAGAAAGTTCGGTGCCACACTCAGATCCACTGAGCTCCGCTGGAGAAACATCTTCCAGAGACTGCTCCTTTCTAGAGTTTGTAGTGTTAGCCTCTGATGAATCTATCTCTGTTTTGCCTTCTTCACCTAAACCACCATCTTTAGAAGAAACCGTAATTGCTTTGTTTGAACCAGCAGATGAAGTTAGTTCCTCAAACTTCGACTGTGCGGCAATGAAAGAAGGATTGCTTGCCTTACGCTTCAAAGAATGTTTAGGCTGTTCGTCCACATATTCAGCTTCTTCGAGCAAAGAATCTGTATCCTTCGCAGCAATTGGATGAGTCTGGATCAAGTCATGATCAACCTCCGCAGATGCTTCTATTGAATCATATTGGCTCATTTTCTCTGTCTCCGATAGCTCCACATGCTGAGTTACTACCTTACTTGCTTCAACGCTTGAGAAACCAGTTTCAGTTTCGGTCTCTAAGGCTGAGTCAGCTTGAGATGATACTTTGACATTCTGAGTTTCTTCCAAATGTTGCTCTTCGGTTGCCAAATCCGCTTTTGAAGACTTCTCAGGCTTTGAAACAGACATCCACCTCTCCAACCAGTTCCAAGCAGAACTAGGTTTTGTTGGATCACATTTAATGGTGATAGGCTTCGTCTTTGGAGTTGACTCCATTAGCTAAAATAAAATAAAAAATGCAAGAAAATGAGTATACATAAATACCTCGAATAGTCCACAGCTATAATGCACTATAACCAACAAGCTTAACACACATACATGCTTAGCAAACTTGTTTTCGAGAAGTTTCTGTGCTGCTGCATTTGTTTCCGCCTTATCCTGAAACAACAAACAGTATTGGCCCACGGATTTTACAGCGGAAAGCAAAAATGATAGCGAAACATAAATTAAGCCATCTCCCAAAAACCTTACCGAAATTGCTGAAACACGGCTACCATCTTTCGTGGAATGACGAGCACGCACCAGCGTCTGCATTTTGACAATAGCTTGAACACAACGCAGCGATCCCATTGCCTGGTTCCTAACCAGGTGGCCACGTACTGCAGCTTGAAGTTTAACAACCTTCTTGCGCCTCAAAAGTTCTCTTCGCGCCTGCAGTTTCACAACATTCCAGCACAAATAGTTAAGAAAAGCTTCTCCACATCCTTAATAATATTAGTATGTAAGAAGAGATAGCACATTAAAAGGAAACAAGACCACCATACCAAAAATCCGCGTATGGCGGCTTGGATGAAAATGATAACAGAATCATCAACTTCTTCATCACTTTCTTTTCCGATTATGATCACATCATCGGTCTCAGATGCTTCCGCTTCAGCCTTACCAGCAACTTCAGCGCCAGAAGCAATTCCTTTCTCTATCACGGATGCATCAGCAGCATTCGGTCCATCCAACTTAGCTTGCAGATCAGTGCCAACCAAATCATCCTCCTCAGTTTCAGTCCCTTTAGATTCCACGACAACAGGCAGCTCAGTTCTGTGGTCGGCCTGTTCCTCCAAACACGGAACTGACAACTCCGTCGTTTTGTCCTCGGCGGATTGGGTTTTTTTCTCATCCACAGGCTCAGCCACGTAAGTAACAGGTAACTGGCTCTTCTTCTCATCACCAGACTGAACGGAGAACGTCTGCTTTTCAGAAACGACGTTGTTGTCAGGAGACGGAGACTTAAGGAGAGCAGATTCAAGAGTCTCCCTTGTCCTAGATGGAGGAGTAGTTTCAGTGACTATACTACTGATCAACCCTCGCTGTTTCCCAGATTTCTTCCTGAAACTCCATCCACGCTTGTCACCAGAGCTCTTGTTCTACATCCAAAAACAAAAAACCAATCCACCCAAATCTTAGTGGTTTAATTCACACTCCAATAGAAGATTTGGTATTACCTTTCTCCTAAAAATCACTAAACCTAACAGATCAAAACGTGTAAAGATCTCTCGTAGACAGACCAGACAAAAAAAAAACCTAAGTAATTCCTAACAAATGAGTGTACTCAAGAACAATCAATTAAAAAAACCTAAAGTAGACAAGGTGAGTGAATGCCAAAAAAATCCGACCAGACACTGACGGAAGCCAAAAAAAAAGATCTGCGAAATTAGGTAATAATATAAGGATTTTAAAAATACTACGACTCAGATCTTAAATTGGAAACTTGTTAAGTAAAAAACCCACTAAGTGCAAACGTGAATTGGAAACAGCAATTGAAGATTGCGAGCAGCATAAACAAAATTTAAGTAGAAAAAAATGTCAAAAACCTCAATGACATTGGCCGTGGGTTCGGCGGCGGCGTCGTCTCCGCCGGCGCAGGCGATGATACGGAGACAAGAAGAAGCTGGAGATCTTCCCATATTTGTCGTTGTTCTTCAAATTCAGGGAAGACCGTTTTATCTTCTTCGGGTGTTGGATCAGTGAATTAAAAAAACACACACAGAGAGAAAGAGTTGGAGAGTGTCGTTGGAAATTGGAGCAAAAGCAACGGAACTCAAAGGAAGCATTAAAATACGGTTTAGTCTTTGGACTTGGAATCCGCCAGTCTTTCTCTTCTGTCCGTTGAGGTGCCAATAAAAGCGAAAAAACGCTGTCACTGTCAGATTTCTCTCGTGACATTTTTTCTTATACTTACTTTATAACAAAACAAAAAATATACGAAAAATACTAAAACGCATTATTACAATTTACAATTTTGCTAGCAGAATTAAAAATATTAATCCAAAAACATATATAGTCTATATTGGATTAATATTTCTGGGCGAAAGAAATTTTAAAAAGCTGTCTTTTTTACCGGATTACTAAAAATAATGTTGGATTGATTGAAATCATGGAATTATGTATGAATTAGTGGGGATTATTCAATTATGGCAAGTCGATAATGCTGGTCCACCTAAAATAATAAGACGCATGTGACTGTCATGTGCACAATGTCTTCTTTTTCTTGTACCTTTTTTTTCTTCTTCTTTCTCCTCGCTTTGAGGCTTATCAAATTTATTTATTTAATTAAATATTTGATTGTCTCGTACATTTGGTTAAAGTCTTAAATAGGTTAATAAATTTTTGTTTTTGGAGTGTAAGCAAAAGTGACAATGATATGTTAACAAAAAGTAAAAGACCTGAAGAAAATGGTTTCTTAATTCTTACTTTTTAGTATTCCTCTCTTTAGCAGGTAAATTGCTTTATTTATTTGTTAATTGACAAAAATTACAATTTCCATACTGTTGCCATGAAACTAGAGTTTACCTTTGTAATTTTGTATACTGGATTTGAATGAAATAGAAGAAAAAAAAGATGAGATGCGCTTTGTGGGCTCATAGTGGGCCAGTCAAAGAGAGAAAAATAAAAGCCGTGGCTTATAAGAGGAAATGGAAGGTGTGGGGTATCTCTCTCCTACCAAAACTGATCAAAGTCCTAACCACTACTCATTGTATCGACGACATGCCTTTTGTACATTTGTGCCATGTGTCTTATCCAAGTACTGCCAGCTATGCAGCGTATGTAACTTTTTTTTTGGCTATGTGCTATTACGACAAAAATAACGAAGGAAAGTGTGGGGCTAATTGAAAATGAAACCAATAGATAGTAATTACTCTAATCCTGTGATAGTCATATATATAGCCACTGCCCGATCTAATATTAGATTTTCTTTCGTTTTTTTCTTCTTGTTATGTATTTGACCCACGTATGTTCCACTTCTATTGAATTTTGATTAATAGTTTGATACTATATACTTGTGATATTGTAGATACAGTGATAATGGAGTACTGGACAATATGTTAACCAATATCACATAGAGTAATGTATGACGTCTCTACTGGTTTAGGCGTGTAATCTTTTGTCTTTACGTTTGCTCTTACACACGAATTTCTTTTATATTTTGATAAATATAAAGTCACTTTTGATAACGAAAATACTAAATGGTGTCGACGCAAACTAACGAAGAAGCCGTTTCGTAGTCGGTAACGAAAAGGTTTGCGTGATAATAAGCTCAGGGATTGCGTGTGAAGATTAAACAAACCTTTCTCGACCTTAACCAATATGATTAATCTTAAGACCAGAACCTAAAGTATGATATTGTTAATATTCAAAACACAGAAGAAGCATCCGTAATTGCTTTCATCTTAAGTCAAATTTCTCAATCATGCAGTTTTCATTAAATGTTTTGTCGCACTCGCCGACAGAAATGATAATCTTCCTCAATGTTTACAATATTAAAACTCTATTTTAGTCATTTAATTATAACTAAAAACGATTAGAGGAGATTATGTTATACGCATAAATATATTTATCAGTCGAGGACAAAACCGTGCCACTTTTTTATGTTTTCTCCTCAGTTCAGAAAATTGTTCAAAGTCGAAAATGTCTTCTCTAGAAATAAATCATGCGATGTGGTTTACATCAGAATACATGAGCCGATAAAAGTTCTCTAGGGGGCTAAAGCTTAAACAAATGTTTGACAAAAATAAAAATAAAGTAAAATTTTAGCCTCAATGTGTGAAGAGAGAAACAAAAACTGTTAAATAAAAAACCACATCGAAAATTCTGAGTCAAAGTAGTTTCTAAGACTTGCGTGGCCTTCCTCTTTTTCCACCGGTCTTCACCGGCGAAGCTTTTCCATTACTGGTGCGGCCGCCGCGGCCACGTCCTCCACGGCCACGCCCACGTCCTCTGCCACGAGTGCTCTGTTTTTTGCCACTGGCTTCTTCTCCATCTTCACTGTAGTCGCTGTCCGCGTCACTACCTTGAGCTTCCTTCTCCTTGTCGCTGTTTTCTTCATCACTGTCTTGTTCAGATTCGGATGAAGCTTTTGATGCTTTCCTCTTCTTGGAAGCACCTCTTTTCGCAGGTTGTTGCTTTGGTGTCTGAGTTTCCTCCTTGACTTCTACACTCTCTGCTAAAAAAAACAATCAATTACATCAAGAAATGTTCAAACTCTCTAGGGGATAAGTATTAATGTGAGTATTACCTTCTAATGACCCTTTCCCGTCGTAGATCTCAAGCTGCAGAGAGGACAAATCGTATAAGAAAAGCAGCCAAAAACACACCAAGCCTTCAAGAAAGTAATACCATAAGCTCAAAATCAGTACGAATTGGCTTTCTTGCTTTTGTTACCTGCTCAAGCCGATCAGCGATATCGGTTCTGTCAACTATGACCATAGAATGGCAAAAACCGCAAGCCACACTGGAGAAAACATACACAAGGAAGTTAAAGAAAAAAACTTCCAATCAATCTGCTTAAGGTAAACACTCGAGAACTCACCCCATTACATGCATTCCCTCGAGTAAATCCACTTTTTTAGGCGCTGCAGAGGATCTGAAAACGAGAAAGAAGCAGAGTTTTTAAGTGATAGTTCAATGTGGTTTTTAAAACGAAAAGCTAGTTATGGTGTGGGCATACTTTTGACCGTTGGGGCCATAACCAAGTTCTCCATACTGAGCATGACCCCAGCTAATGCAAGAACTATCCGCACCAACAAAATGATGCATGCTTCCTGAGTCCATCCAACGCAAGTTCCAACCACTGCGTAAGGGATTATAATGCTAAATTTAATCATCAAAAAAGAAATAGAACACCTATAAACAAATCTGTCGAATCTGACTTTTAAGACAAACCTTAAATCCATCATAGGTTTAGGGTACATCCAATCATCACCATTATTCTTAATCTTTCCCCACATATATAACTGTCCTCCACCTGAAAAACCAGACAACTTAAATTTAATTTTTTGACATAGGCACAGAAGAAGAGGTAAAGGCAGTTCAGGTTAAAGCCACTTGCCAGCAGTACAAGCAGAGTTTGCAGAGCCAGCAGAAACAATGGCATTAGGAGGCAAAACATTATTCCTCTGAAACACATCAATACGGCGAGGAGACCATTCATCTTTCTGCTCCCTATGTCCAAGCCTGCAATTAACAACCAATATCTAATTCCAGTCTTCAAAACGCTAAAGTAGAAACACACAGAAATGGGCTAGTAGCTTAGTACCAACCTTCCATATCCACCATAGCCCCATCTGCAATATGTTTCAAGATTAAAAAATCGATGTATCAGACATATATATCGAACAAGCAGATATCTAAAGTGAATGAAATGTTGAACAGAGAAGCTACTTACGTGTAAACATATCCATTCTTATCCACGGCCACTGATGAAAAGAAAATTTTAACAAATTAGAATGAGTAATTAGCTTTCTTGGAAGGCAAAGATTAAAGACAGAGATAAACAAATACGGTTTCTACCAGTATGATTTGTTCCACATGCAACTTTGACAATTGTTTCCCCTGCAAGAGAGGCTATGGCTTTAGGACGTGGCTGAGCTTCGTAGGCGAGTCTAACTGAACTATCCTTCATATTGAACTGAAAAAGGCAAAAAACAAAATGTAACTTGGTTTAAAGTAAAAGAAAGAGACATCTAAACATGACCTATTCATTAAGTACAACTCAGAGAGACTATGATTCAGCAAATTTTCCTTTTAACATGAGAAGATACAAGAGTTCAAAAACTGGTTTAATGTTTCAGAATAATCACATGCAAACTCTTCCAATCATGAGATTAAGTTACAAGTAAGAGACAAGAATCGAAAGAAAGCATTGGTTGCAAGATCTAAAAGTTCGCAGATAAACAAATCACCTCATTATCAGTTCCATGACCAAGTTGACCATACTGTGGGAGGCCGGCAGTCCTATGAACAAACAAACAAACACTCTGAAATTGAGCAAAACCATTCAAAGGCTAAATAACAGAACAAGACCGAAAAGAGTAAAGAGACCATACAGTATAGAGGCTCCTTCAGTAGAAGATAACCACACTGTGAAATCACCCCCACAGGCAATGTTTGTGACCTCATCAGAAACAAGACAGGGAAGCGGCGACGATTCCACTTCTACAGAAACAAAGCCTGTAAGACACAGACTCATACCATTGAATCGGTAATACATACATACAAGCAGAGACAGATACAGTTTTATTCAATACCGTTTTTGGCTGAGCCCAAACCCAACTGTCCATGCTTATTCCAGCCAAAAGCAAAAGACCTGCCGTCATCGCTAACCACTACCGTATGGTTCTTCCCTGCTCCTGCTTTCACAATTTTGTACCTTCAATAGAAACAGAACCATGGAAAAAAAAACAGCTCAATGCCTTAACTTTAAAAAAGTCAAAAATGTTCAAACTCTTGAGGATACAGAAACTCACTTCGAGAGTCCTGACACAACCGTTGGCCTGTCACGTTGTATCATATCTCCATGACCTAATTGACCTTTCTGAAACACACACACAGAGAAACCAATTCATTCATTCTCATTTCAGAGAAGCTTATATAAAATAAGAAACTGCAAACAAAAGAACAGAAATGAAATCAGAGCATGCCTCATTGCGTCCCCAGGTGTAGCAACGACCTTCAACGTCCAATGCCACACAATGACACGAAGCTACAAAGACATTTACACAAATAAACAATAAAAAAGGTGTCGGTTTCTCCATTATCACAGATTCACAGATCGGGAAAAAAAAATATATATAAACTCTTAGGAGAAGAGAAGTGGAAGTTACCGCAACCAGAGGCGACGAATCGAATGTTGATGCCGACGAGTGGTCTTAGGCGAGTGGGAGAGACCAAGTTGCCTTCGAGCCCACCTTTGCGTCGTCCGATGATATCCCAAGAGGTACCGCCACAGAACAACAACTCACCTCCCTTCTCCTCCGAGCTCTCATCCTTCTTCTCCGACGACGAATTCATCGCTGCCATTACTTCTCCGACCTCACCTTCGCGTTGGGTAAAAATTGAAAAGAACAAAAAACAAAAAAAAAGGATTAATTTTTCAAATTGAAAAACGGATCCAAAGACGAAATGGAAATGGGTACGCGGCGAATCGGGTTGAAACCTTTGAAAGTGGCGGGAAAACAACGGCTAGTGTACTGGAGCGGATCGGGAAGCGACGACAGAGATTGGAATGTAAGGGGAAAAAGAATGGAGGACAAATTCAGAAACCCTAAACACAACAAAAATAAAGTACAGAAGAAAAACTACGAAAGAAGCAAAAAAAGGGGAAGATAAAGTGAGGAAAAAATAAAATATAAAAAAAGGGATTAATTGCGGGATTTCCAATTACCAATTATTTAATTCGTTATATTTTTTCTTCGGCTTTGCTTTTGTGTAACGTTTGTCTCCTACTTTTTTTTGTCTTTGTTTTTGCCTCTATCGGGAAATTTAACTAATTGGGCTTTTTCTTCTTATAATACAAAGTTTATTTCCTAAGAAAGGAATAACACAAAAAGATATTTCTCTCTCTCCCCCTTAGTAAAGTTGTTGAACTGAAACGCGCTGCTGTTATCTTGAACCCTTTTTTAGATTTACTCTAAAGTTGATTGAATATTAATTGTAAAACTCATTTTCAAGATAATCACAAACTTAACAGGTAAAATTTGATGATATAAGTACAGTAATCATATATGTCTATCTCATCCATGTTAAATTAACAGTTATTATGTATAAATTCAAAAAATATTACTTTTAATACTGTAGAAATAGACAGGACCGTGCCTACTTAACAAATAAAGAAACATTCGCCTAAGTCACACAATTTTTATGTAAAACTTACAAAATAAATTTATGATTTCGTCTATGTCATTTAATTTTTATATAATTTTTAGAAAGTAAATTTAAATATATTATTATGATATGAAAACTGTTAAGTTTCTATTTCTGTGTATTGATGATCACACTAATATCTCAACTCTTTTTATAACAAAAAATTAAAAACTGGAAGTCAATTAATACATTAGCTATTAGGTTTATATTTTTAAGCTCTTAATTTTTGTTCTTTATAGTATTTATATAACCACATATTCATTTCTTTTTCCCATTTTTACCATGTTAGCTATTGTTTTTTTTTTAAATTTCACCAATTTTTTTTGTTTTAAATATTCTGTTCTTTAAATTTTTAAGTTTAGTTAAAAATTTAAAAATATGTTATATACAATATAGTCTCTTTTTGTATTATATTTTTTATATTAAACAAATGATTTAAGATATATGTTTTTGTAAATTTTTAGTTAATATTATGTTTCAAAAAGAAATATAGCTATTTCATATATTATTATATAAATATAACATTTTAATATATATATATATATTTGGCCTACGGCATCCAAATGCTTAGGCACGGCTCTGGAAATAGGAAATAGTGTATATTCAGAAGAAAAAAAAATATAGCGTATATTCAAATTGTAAATAGGTGAGTATACGGAAACCAACGTACATGTACATCAAAATACAAAAGCCTTTGTATTATATGATAAATGTTCATCAATATATATATACTTAAAACCCCCTGCACTCTATCTTGATTTTTTTTAATTAATTTGGTCTCAATAAGATTGCCGGGATTAAAGGATATTTCGAATCAGATAGAGATCAATGATAGAGTTAAACTAACATAACTCATGACCTTCTTGAGATGAAACATTTCTATAGCAATGTGTTCTAGCACTCTCGTTTGATATATATCTGCTACACACTTTTTTTTTTTGGGTCAAAATTGAACTCACGTCCAACAAAATATTTGGTTTAGTTGCAGACCCGGCCCAAATATTTAGTAAAGTCAGTGTCATTTTATAGATATAACAAACAAAATTTGTAAAAAGAGTCCAAAATTTGTAAAAAAAAAAATATATATATATATGGATCTTGTGCAAATGAACCTTGGGCACATGCCCAGAACCAGGCCTGTTTAGTTGTAATAGACTTCCACATCACATATTGGAGGTTGAGGGTTCAAGGGTTGGCAACTACATATTTTCTGTGTAAATTTACCTTTTTTTTTCTTCTTCTTCTTCCAGCCCAAATTTAAACCAGGGCCAACACTGTAGAGATCAAGAATAAAATTAACAAACATAATTTATGACCTTTTTGAGATGAGATAATTCTAATACCAGTATGTTTGATCATTTTCAGATGATCCGCCACAAAGTTTTCAGCTTTGGTCAATGCTAAACCCACCTCCGACAAAGACATGTGTTAAATGTTGAAAATATCAATTGTATTTGCTAAAATAGACACAATGCAATCATCATTTAGCCCCGTCAACTGAAATTTCTGCATTATGTTTGCTCATCAGACAAGAATAAAAACACTTTGTCTCAATAAATGAAAGAACCGATCCCCACAATAGTGTAAATCACGATTATAACAGAGAGTGTCTTATTCCATGTCTTAGCAAACATCTAACAGTTTTCACTTGTTTATAACAGAGAGTGTCTTATTCACTTGTTGATATAACAAATTTCTAACTGTTAAATCACTTGTTTATCGTATGATTGGAAATTTGTTATTTTATATTGTTTATTAATTTATCAAAGATTAATTTATAAATGTTTTACACATGGGTCTTCCAAAGGAATCGTAATATTCAGCTACTTCACGTCATTCTTAGACATGATGATTAACTACGCCCTCAAGGAGATCAATCATCCAACCTCTTTATTTAATCATTCGTTGCCAAATCGTTTTCTTATCTAATGCAGTACTTTGTTGTTGTATATAATAAATTAAGAACATGCGTTCGTTTAATTGATTCATTAATTAAACCTTTTTATTGTTTTTTTCCAATATTTTTCTATATCATACGTACTTCTTCGATCTCCTTGATGCACTGGTTTTGAATCTCTAATACGTGAATGATATACCCACATGAAACAATAGTATCCAATTAAAAAATCGACAACACACATTCTTATTACAAATACAATTCATTCAATAAATAAAATACAAGTCTTCATCAGAGGATTAGGAAGACATCATTTCTTTTTGTTGATCATATTAATAGAACATACACTCTAAAAAGAAAAAAAATAATAAAAAAAGCCAATGAATAAATATATGAATTACTGCAACTTTACCCAAATACCTTCGCTTGGTATGTTTTCATTCACCACAAACACCATATAATAACCAGGCGGTGCAATAATCGCCGATCTCGGCGTTTTCACTTGAACCTCATAGTTCGTCGATCGACCTCTCCTCGTAAACGTAACATGATCCAAAACCAAAAGCCTCTGATTCATGGAGAAGGAATGAGTCGTGAACGACGGAGACACCATTGTCACTCTCACCGGACCCTTAACTACTCCTGCGACCTTAAACGTCAGCTTCAAATTCATCTTATACTTAATCGTCGTTTGCGATCTAGGAGACTGAATCTGCGGACGAAGACTCGCAAACCCCCGTTCTAGATAAACCGGAGAGAAAGCTTCCAAGCGTAACTCCGTCGGGAAAAGCACTCCGGTGAAGTTATAATACGCGTGAGGATTGCTTCCTCCGACGAGAACTCTCCCGTCACGGAGGAGAACCGCCGCGGAGTGATACATTCTCGGGATTGTAGTCGGGTTTAGGGACTCAAATCTCCTGTTAGCCGGCTTCTCGGGATGGTATAGGTCCGGTACGAAAACCGGGTCACGACCGAGCTCCCAAGCAGCCGAACCGTAAGAACCACCGTTGATAAGCAAAACATCTCCGTTTGGCAAAAGCGTCATATCTCCCATGACTCTAGGACGTGGCATCCTCTCCACCGTCCATCGAGGATTCTCGTCGTTAATCTTAATCCTCGCACACGTGTCAAGCGCTTTGACGAAAACACTCTTCCAAAAAGCGAGGTTGTACGATCCTTTCGGTGCACCTCCACACACCAGAACCTCCGCGTCTATTCTAGCCGCTTCAAGATTCTTCAACGGTAATAGCACGGCTGAGCCAGTGCTCGGATAGTTCCTCGGATCACCGCCAGGAATCGCCGGAAAAGTTTTCACCACCTTGTTTTTTGTGTAGTCGAGTAATATCGCTCGGTTATTAGCGAATATAAATAAATTCCCATCGGTATTGAGAAAAGTGAAAGGGTAAAGATTATTCTCCTCTGTATCATTAGTCTGGACCAAAAACGGGAACGCGATAACGCCAGGAAATGTCGTTTTCGGGAAAAACTCGTAGCTGTATTGTCCTCGACCTCCGATAATGATTTGTTTACCGTCGGGAAGAATATGATTAGTAGCGTACCATCTTCTCTTCGCTAATGCGTTGTTAATCTCGACCCAGTCGCATCGACCTCTGTTGCATGGCGAGAAGATCCTCGCTTTAAATTCACCGTCCCTGTCTCCACCGGTTTGGACGAGAGCACCGTCTGGTCTGACCGAACCGGATGAGCACCATGTGTTGGATTGTACGGTTAATGGACGGATGGTGTTTGCTGCGACGTCGTATTCGATCGAGTGAGCTGTGCAGTCGATTTTGGAAATGGCGTCTTCTGGGTTGTTGCGGCACTTATGATTAGGGAGAGAGATGTTCGATGGGCCGAAGTTGGTTCGGTCGAACATAACAACACGGTCGTTGTGGAGGAGCTGCATGTGCATCGCGGAGATTCCGACGTTGGGGAGGAGGAGATTCCATTTTCCTCCGGCGGCGAATGATACGTGGCTTGTTAGGAGGAGTTGGAGCGAGGTAAGGAAAAGAGCATAAAGTATTGCGGCTCGTGCGACCATTTTTTGGGGGACTTGCTTTGATCTTTGTGTCTTTGTTGTTGTTTGTGAGTGTTGTGATGAAAATGTATCGTGGCTTGTTCGTATATATAGTGGTCGATCGATGTGACATTATTAAACGTTAGTAATTTAAATAACAATAATACGAAGATTCATTCTATTTTTTTTTTTAGTAGGCTGTAACTGGATTGGAATTTTTAGAAACAAGTTCATATGGAATAATTTTTTTTTTTTATGAAATTATACAAAATTGTCATCAGTTAAAAAAGAAATAATATGAAAAATTATCCCACTTATTCCATTCAATCTATAAAGAATAAACAAAGCTTTAACTAGAAAACAGCTTTAAGGAAATTATGAATGAGAAAAATCAAGAAAAAACAGAATACAAAAAAATGGAATAAAAAGTGGAATGAATAGTTGTAGACATTTGTTTTTGTTATTCAAATGGTAACTATTTAGAGGATTATAGTGGAACAAATTTAGTTATTCATTTTTTTAATTGAAATTATCTCTATTTTATCTACTCCATCTATTCTTGTGCATTTTAAATCTAGAATATTTTTACACTATATTTTTTTATATTCTATTTATTCCACCTATCCAAAAGAATAAGATAAACTTCTATTCCATTTAAATAGTAACAATTTTGTGGAATTCAACTAAATAAGCCATTCTATATAATTTTATTTCTCAAATTGCAAATACAGTTGTAGCAGAATCTTTTTGAAAAATTCCAATTTAAAAATGTTAAAAAATAAATGAAATTCCATTTTTATTATGTGTCATATCTTTTATTCTAATTTGTTAGTTTGTTAGTACGAGTTACAATTATAATGTATTATTAAGTAAAATTACGTAATTTTTTTTTTCTTTTCTCTAAGTATATACTGTCTCTATTTTATAAAGAATGTTGTTTTAAAATTTTATTTTTGTTTTAAAAAGAGTACTGATTTATATTTCCAATATAAAATTTCAAATAAAAATTCAGTTTTAATTTTATTATATTAGTATATTAATTAGAAAGAGAAAATTATTTAATGTATTTGTAAGGATAGAAAAGATTTTTATTAAATTTTTAATATATATGAACAAATAAAATAATACTAAAATAAAAGGAGTATATTATATTAAATATCTTTAAACAATAATTTTGATCGGTGATTTGATGTTCTTTGTAGTAACTATTTTTTCTGATTTTATATCCATTGTAATGGTTATATAAAAAATTAAAAGCAAAACACAATTAGGAGTTTAAGGAAATTTTTCAATGTACAGTAAAAAATTTATAAATTAATTTTTGATAAATTAATAGACTATAGAAATTAATAAATTTCTTCAATTCTAAATTGGCCGGTTCAAAATATAATAAATTAACAGGATAATAATTCTTTTAAGAAACTAATGTAAATATAAGTCACATTTATATTATAAATTAATAATTAGCAAACATAATTTTATATAGATATATATAACTACAGTAATATAGTAAAATATGAATATAATAGTATTTATTTTTATTAAAATTAATTTATTTTTACAGCTCATCTATAATTTCTAAATTATTATTTTTTAAATGTTTTTAATTAATTATTTATTTATAATTTACCTTATTCAAAATTGATTAATTAATAACTTTATAAATTAATATAATATCAAAATCTTAACATTGTTAATTTATAAAATTTCTACTGTATATATTTTTTAAAATCTTCTGAAGTTTGTGTATTCACGTAGCCAGAGATAGACTTATAAAATATAAAAAAAAAATCGTCAACTCTGTTGTTCTTTTTGTCTGTTTGATTTGACATCAATTAGTTTCCTAAGTACGATTGCATCCATGTGATTATAATCACTATATATGACAGATATACATAGTAGGATTTGTCGCGGAAGGAACTTGATATTATATCCTCGAGGGACTTGATATATAAGAATCGATTACTTGAGATTAATTAGTTCGGGAGATTTCAAGGACGAATTAATGATGGAGATGTTGTGTCAACATCAAACATGCAACGATAAATTAAACAAAAGTCCGTTACGTTTGAAGAGAGAAAAAGAAAAAGAGTCCGTTACGTTTTACTTTTCATGGGGATATTTCTTGTGGTTCGTTTGCATGTTAATAATATTGGTCGTCGCTATTTTTGTTGTTATAATTAGCAAAACAAATACTAAACTAATAAACAAACGCATGTCAATATTTAGCAACAGATTCATGCACACTAAAGTGTATAACTTGTTTCAACGGTGTCATTCCCGTTTTTATATATGTTAAAAGTATGTATTATGAAAATGTGTTGGCACAAGTTTAACAAACATTCATTCGATCAAAAGATATAATGAAAAAAATTCGTATATTTTTATTGATCTGTATAAAATTATACATTTTTATTTTGTTTTGCTTAGATGTATATATTTCTAATCCAGAGTATGATTCACAGGTCCGGTTCAAATAATTTTTATATACGTCGTCGAACGAACATTTTATATTATTGAATTTACATTATCCTTGGTTGACCTAGTTTATTATTGATTATACATTATATATCCTTGATTGACTTAATATGTAATCATCGATGATTTGAGGTTAATTAGTTCGATCGGTAGGCTGCAAGGACGAATTAATGATGGCGATGATGTGTTAACATCAAACATGGAATTATAGATTATACAAGTCAAAGTCCTTTACCTTTTAGTCGTCCCAGGGGCTTTTTATTCTGGTTCGTTGCATGTTAATTATTTTGGTTGATCGTCCCAAGTTTTCTAACAAAACAAATACTTATAATTTATAAACTAATAAGCAAACGCATGTCAATTTTGAAAGGAACTCAAAACATTCATGCATATAAGTTAATAGAATCTATCCCAGCGATGTAAAGTTAGATACGCAAACTTATTTGAGTTTCCAACGGTGTTTATTTTTCATAATAGTTCTGAAAAGGTAAACATGCATTTTCTGATTTTGTTTATGTCAAGATAGTTAATTTCAAAAATATAATTTGCCTCCTTGGTCACTAAGGAAGGGTGCTAGAAGATATGTTACATTCTTTTTCATATTTGAAAATTGTCCATCTATTTTCTAATAATGCATACATTGATACATATCTACTGTATATCTTTTCACACTTAACTATATATGTACATACATAGTTGGCATGTTGAGTCCATTCATATGTGTTATTATTGACTATGCTTTTCATTTTTTTTCTTCGTTCATATATTGACATATATATTTACATTAAGGAATTAATATATAGATAATCCGTATCACCAAATCTAATGATTGACAGATGACATTCCATTCATGAACGCGGTTAGTTGACTCTTATTTTTTACATGTTGCTAATAGTGTGCCTCCTATTTTTGCGTCATCACATTATTCATACATACATACATATACATAGTTTTAAATTTGTCATTATTAGATTATGTTTTAACAAGTGAAAGAAACAAAAGATTTGGTTTTCGAAGCTGTTCAATATATAATTTATTTTTCCTATCAGAACATAGAATGTTCGCTGCCTTATGATTATTACACCTATCCAAAATAATTGTTTTGAACGTTAACCTCATCTTAAAACATGATTTAGAAGATATGTCACGAACCATTGTGTCTAAGTTATATGCGCCGACTGCCGAGAACGGGTTAAGCAATTATAGGCCACGAGACAAACTGGAAAAAAAGAAAAGATCCTTGACATATCATAGAACATGTAAAAGGTATACAATTTTTTTTGTTACAATCCAAAACATTGAACCATACAGCTTATTAAGAACAAGCAAATCAAAACTAAACACTGGCTTATCTTGCAACTTTTGTTCTAACTAACGTAGACAATAACACTTGCAAAAATTTCACTAGATTTCATAAGTTGAAGCCAAACATCCGACTAACTATTTATAGAAGTTGGGGCCGGGCAATGTTCCCGTCGTATAATAAGAACCAGCTCTCTCATTTGATCATAGAATCAAGGTCCAAATAACATTTTTTTTGTTACACTTTATACTATAAAATTAAAATAATGTTGTCCGGTTTCAAAACAAGAACAAAAAAAATAATGTTGGTACGTTTCGGTTTAGGTGGGTTAGCTAATTTAAGCCCGGTTTAATTTTACAGGCCGACTTACGGCCGGCAACAACAAACTATTCAATCAAAATAATCATTGTTGACATTAAAATTGGTTTCCTTCTCTCTTTCTCTCGCAAATCTTCATCAGTTTGTCTCTTTGCGATCAGATCTCACCAGAGACACACAATTCACGACGAGCCATGGCTTCAAGTTTCAGCGGCGATGAAACTGCTCCTTTCTTCGGATTCCTCGGCGCTGCCGCAGCTCTCGTTTTCTCCTGTAAGATCAGATTCCCATTCGCGGATCTCCAGTTCCTTATTTCCCCCCTCAAATTATTCGATTTTGATCCAAGTCCGATTCCGATCCGATCTGATCCAATCGGATTATACGTTTTTCAGGCATGGGAGCAGCATACGGGACAGCGAAGAGCGGGGTTGGTGTGGCGTCGATGGGTGTGATGAGACCAGAGCTCGTGATGAAGTCGATTGTTCCGGTGGTTATGGCTGGAGTTTTGGGTATTTATGGTCTCATCATTGCTGTTATCATCAGTACCGGAATCAACCCTAAGGCTAAGTCTTACTATCTCTTCGACGGCTATGCTCATCTCTCTTCGGGTCTTGCTTGTGGTCTCGCCGGTCTCTCCGCCGGTATGGCTATCGGAATCGTCGGCGATGCTGGTGTTAGGTAATTAAACATTTCTCTTAACTCTATTTAGGCTATGCAATTGTTCTGCGATGTCGAACTTTTCAGAAAATATCTTAGGCTTGCCTTAACTCTGTGTCAAATCTCGAATCTTTGTTCGTGCGTTGAGTAATTCTTTTCTCACAATGGCTAGAATTCACATTTTCATGATACTGTGATGAAGTTTAACAGAAACGTAGTTTCAAAGACTCTTTTTTAAAGGGTCGATTGAATCTTTTTTCTTTATATGCTGAATGTGAGACTAAAGATATATGATATGATGATAATTGCTGCTCCTGGTATCTCATTGAAAATTACGAATTTGGTGTGTGAGTTGTTGTTTGGAGCGAAAGGGATGATTGAATGTGAGACTAAAGATTTTATGATATGATGATAATTGTCGTAATTTATAATCTGTTGTGTGTTTGCAGAGCGAATGCGCAACAACCAAAGCTGTTTGTAGGAATGATTCTGATTCTCATTTTTGCTGAAGCTCTTGCGCTTTACGGTCTCATTGTTGGTATCATCCTCTCTTCTCGAGCTGGTCAATCCAGAGCCGAGTGAAATCAAAGAGTCTTTTCATAAGGGCTAAATCCTTGTAATGTTTTTTTTTTTTTTTTTTTTTTAATATATATTTTACTTTCAGTCTTCTTTTGTGGTATTGCGAGTTTTCGAGTTTCTCATGAAAACAATGAACATGGGTTCTAAAACCATTTTTTGTTCTTTCATTTGAGTACATCAATACGAAATAATTTATATGATGATTCAATGAATTTGAAGTCTTTGTAGCTACTTAAAAAAAAACAACGATTCTGGATTATGAAACGGATGTCAATGATATTAAGTAAGATATGAATGATCCGTTTTATTTTTAGAACGCTCCTTGTAATCACAAATCCGTTGTAGTCTAGCTGGTCAGGATACTCGGCTCTCACCCGAGAGACCCGGGTTCGAGTCCCGGCAACGGAGTTTTTTTTTGTTTTGTCTGCTGATGCGAGATCAAATTATTATGGCAAGAGTTTTCCACTAGCATTGAGGAAGCTTCTCGTAATGAAGTCACCGAGTTGTCCTCGAGCTGGAAAGTCATGAAAGGAGCGATATCTAATCAATCGAGAAAAATGTAAGCATTATTGAACCTGACATTTAAAATTAACAAACTTTGTCCCTGCTCAGCAAGAACATTATTTGGTTTCGAGTTTGAAAGACAGAAACATGGATCCAAGAATAGTAGTGTAAGCATTACAATGAAAGGTGAATGGAATTGGTGAAACAAAAGCCTTCAAACAACGGCTTGTTGTTTTGATGATTCATCGCTCTCTTGCAAGCTAGCATAGTATTTGACAAGAACACTCCATCCACTCGGACACATAAACCCATCTGGAGGATTCTCCCCTGTTCTTGCATACGTTCGCATCTGTAACCAAAACCAGAAAAAAAACTCAGGATGTAGTAGTAATGGCAATTAAGCAAAAATCTTGAGAAATTGGAGCCTTCAATAAGAATCTTAAGATTCAAAACTATCTCTTGCCTTTGTTCCAGAAATGAAAAGAAACTCTTTAGCACGTGAGGGATCGAAAAACGCCATTTTCTTCTCAATTGTATCGTAAGCTGCAACCTGAAGGATAAGAATCACAGACAAAAAAGGACACACAATTAAGCTTTGAAACCAGCATATTCCGATAATCAACAAACTTTGGATTATGCAGTCAGAAAAAGATTCTTGCTTTACCCTAAACGGAAGAATATTTAGTTTCTCAAGTCCAGGGGCCATGCTCAAGACTTTCTTCCCATGATCAGGATCATATAGATCTCTCTTCTCAGTAGGATGGCCCATTCCCGCAGGGTCACGGCCTACAATGTAGAAATTAGCACCAGCATTAATCCTAGCTTTGGCGTGCCATTGAACTTCGGTTGGACCAGCATAGTGCATCGGTGAAGGAAATATCGAGACAATAGTAGTCTCCGGGTCAAGAACTCCATCCTCAAGAACCTATACATCAAAAGACCAAATAAACTGATTAGATCAAAACGAGTTACTCTATCGGTATATGATAAATGATACCGAGATTTTCACCTTGCTGTGTTGTTCCATGCGTACATCAAGAGGAACATCATCAGCTTTTGTGAAGCCTCCTAAAGGGTGAAGCAAGAGAATAGGGTTCTTGTAACCCATATCCAAAAGCCTTTTCCGGGTGTCATTCATCAACAGAGCGTGGCCATTGTGCACAGGGTTCCTTAACTGGAACGCAAAAACAGCATCCGCTTGACGATTGTCGAACTCTTTCCTAAGCTGTTTGGGAGAGAGCCTGTAATGATCAAGCCCGTCGTTATACTTAATCGGCTGGAAAACTTCTAAGTCCCCACCAATAAGCCAGTTTCCAGATGGAGTAATGTGTTCTTCCACATAAGGCAATCCTGGAGAAGTAGTTCCCCAAGTTCGAGCAATCCTTTCTTCCTTGTTGTGTTTGTATATCTCTACACTGCAATTTTACAAGCAGAGATTCAGTAAAATGTAAACAAAACAACAAAGCCAGCGAAATTTCGTATACAAGGGAACAACAACGCAATTTGTTTAATTCAATGCATCCATAGCTATCAAAAAGAAGCACTTTTATAATTAAGACCACACTTAGATGCGAAATTGCATTGTTTTCTTCTTGAAGAAAAGCTACCACTAAAGTTCTGATTTGATCTCATATTAATACTCTCATTCATCAGCAAATTTTACTATATACAAGTACAAACTAGAGAAAACTATTTCGATATACATTTTACCTTCGGAGAGAACCGATGGTATCTCCTTGAGGGCTAACAAGAGCAACGTTCTGGGATGATCCGATCTGTTCTTTGGTCTCATCATCAATGGCAAGAACAATAGGAAGCGACATGTTCACAAGAGTCCCGTCTTTTAACCTAAGAGAATTGAAATGCAAGCTTTGCAGATACTCGTCTTCTCTCATGAACCCTTTTATAGGACTAGCCCAGCCTTCGCTGATCACGTGTACCCACTCCAGATCAATCTTCGTCAGCTTCACTTTCGGCATCGTCTCTGATTCCGCCTTCTTCGACCCAATCTCCGATTCCGGCACCACCAGTTCCACTAATTCCCCACCGTCTGGGTCAATCAAGGAGCTCTTCACAGTCATCGAAGAAGAAGAGACGGATTGCATTGCTGGGTTGCGTTTATACACCAAATTGACGAGCGGGTTGTGATTGAAAGAAGAAACGAACACTGGTTTCGACGGGAATTGATCGCCGAAAGAGGATGGTTTTGAGTTTCTGGTTTGGAAGAGACTGAGGTGAGATTGAGAAACGTAAAAGGATCTGATCAGAAGAGACATGGATCTTGGTGAATAAAGCTCGGCGAGAGAAGTGGAGAGTAGAGAGTGAACAGTGAAGCTGAGATTTGGTGGAACATGTTTGGAGGAGGAGGAGGAAGACGACGAACAGTGATGGGTGTGAGACTGTAAAAGAGATCCACACATTTTGCCACTTTTGGCTCTTCACAATTTTTAGTTTGTTTGAGGAATTTTGGTTTGTGGATGGAATTATTTGCCTACAGTCTAAAATGTCCTTTTTACCCTTTCTTTCTGAAGCTGGGCCCTTAGGGAGACTGGGCTTTTGTTATTCAGAACCATATACATTATTAATTCAAACATACATTTACAGCTAGAATGAGGCAAATATAAGGTTTGATATGTGATTCTAATTAAAAAAAAAGGAGCTCTATAAAAAATCTCTCACATGAAAGATTCTAGTGAAGAAGACGAAGTAACCAAACTAGACAAAAGACCAACCACAAGAGCACTGTTGTAAGTGCTTGGCTCATTTTGCATGGAGTTGTTCCTTGCGTCTATAAACGTCTCGTTCAGAAACGGTCCTCCAACAAGCGCACCATAAGCCACGTTCGGGTTTGGTTCCTCCGAGTTAAGCCACTCGAACCCATCTTTGCATCCTGTGGTTGCATCAGCTGGTATCGAGGCTCCTCTGTGATGCACAAACTCTGGATATTTCTCACCATAACCCACCAAATAGCTCATTTTCTCTGGATTCTTCCCTAACATGTAATCAGCCTGTGAAAAGTGTAAATCGAGTTATATAATGCGGTCAAACCATATTAGTAGTATATGGATTCATCTCAATGGAACACCAAAAAGAACCTGAGATCTGGCGAATTTTCTGAGGTCTGAAGGTGTGAAGGATGTGTCACTACAAGATAGTGTCTTAATACCGGAGGTGAGCATGTAGTCACTATAGAGTGTGGCTAAAAATGCAGAGGACACAGGGTGTTGCATTGCATTCCATTCAGCAACCCATATCAGACCACCTATAACAAACAAACAAAAATCATTCAAAGTAATCAACAAAGATTCAGAGATTTCTATATATCATTAGTGAATAATGTATGGTTTTGATGGGTGGATGTAAGAAAAAATACCATCAGTTCTACTAGTTGTAGCTGTTGGTGAAGTTGGTATAAGCCCACACATGACAGCTTCTGCTGTTTCTTTATAACCTTGAAGTCCTTTGCTTCCTGATAACCCTTTTTTGAAGAAGGTCAATCTTGATAATAGTATCTGCAGATGGTAATACTTTCATAATTCAGCAAGCAAGAACAATATTGATCAATGATTTGTAAGTAAGAAAGGGTCCTGTCTTTATAAACCTGTGTTCCTGGAAGCTTGTTGTCCCAACTAAACCATGACGGACTTCCAAAATTTCCAAACTCCTCTCCATTTTTAGAAACAAAGTCCAGGTAAGTTTCGTCCTCTGTCGCATGGTAAAGCCACGAAGCTGCCCAGAGGAGCTCGTCGCCATAGCCCGTAGAGTTGTAATACTTCTGAACCTTAGGGACGTTGACACTGTAAGATCCTCTGTTATTGTCTGCGAAATCGAACAACTGCTTGGCGTGCTTCAGAAGCGTGCTCGAATATTTGGGGTCGGTTTTTTTAAAGACCAAAGAGGATGCAGCCATGGCTGCTGCTGTCTCTGCAGCAACCTCAGTCCCTGGAGTCTTGGTATCAATCTTAGTGAGAGTTCTCTTACTCGACATTGTTTCTGGCCTATCCCAACAGTTATGATCCGTCTCCGGATCTCCCACCTCCAGAAATTGGATAATCAGTACCTCTAGTGTTTCAAAACTTTCACAAAAGATATACACTTTGATCATCGTACCTGAATGTAGAGAACGTTCGGAGAAGGATGAGCATTGATGAGGAAGTCAGTGGTCCATTTGAGAGCGTCTTTAGCAGGATCCAGCTGTTTCACGGAATCCATCTGATCTCCGTACTCAAGAATCGCCCAAGAGAGAATAGTGGCAGTGAAAGCCATCGGGAAACCAAACTTCATGTGATCTCCAGCGTCGTATAAACCTTTGGAAAGATCCAGAGTCGCTTCGCTTCCGTCTTTTAGCCCTGAGTCTCCTCTCCATGGTATTTTGTTGTTTTCCAGCTTACCAGCTTCATACAATACACAGATTAGAATTAACAAGAAAAATGTGACAGAGACATTTGTTGAAGAGACAATTTAAGAACCCTAATTCAAGGAAATGAATGAAACAGGAGATGTAAAATGTGACAAAATGGGAAAGTGGAAGGGATATATGGTTTACATTTCTGGATATCGAAGAACTGCATAGAGATCTTGAGAGCATCAGCATAGTTTTTATTAATGGAGCCAGGAGCATCGGATTTGCTTGCTTTGTGCCTGAGCGTGAAGACGATCGCTAGCACTACAGCGATCAACACTATGATCCCGAGGAACCAGCTACAACAACAACACCTCGACCTCGATTTCACCCCCATTGATCAAAAATGCGTTTTTTTTTTTTTTTCAAAAACAGAGGAAGTTTCAGCAGAGCTAAGTTTAGATCCGATGTTCCGATGTCAATGGACTCGCATTGCATTTAGGGATGGCAAGAGTTTTTTTTGCTGGATCTATGGATTTTGAAAATCTTAACGAAAGATTCGAGAAAAGGAGGAAAGTAACAGATTTTGGCTATATTTAAGGAAATGTGGTAGAGAAATTGAGAGAGAAACAGAGAGACACCGACACTGATCAAAACCTGTAACCAGGCGGGACGAGATCTGTTTTCCTTTTGCTGTTTTTATTTTCCTAAACTTAGCCATAAATACGGAAATACCCTTTCCTTGAAAGGAAGCAATGTGGCGAGTACACGGTCCCAATTAGCGGTTGCGATGATTTTTGATTTTTCATCATTTTCTGCTTAATAATACTTAAATTCTTACCTGTCAAATTTATTACGAGTCAATTTCATCACGTCGTCTGATTTTCTGTAATTTTTATTTGCAGAAAACCCAAATCTATAGAATGCCTAAAGAACCTTTGAATATGATGCCCAAAAATCAAACAATAAAGTGAAATTGCGTACGGGCTTGATTAAGGATTTACTGGGCCATATCATTTGATTACGGCCCATAAATATGTAGTTCAAAAATCCATATCTATAAAACTTTTCCTGAAGAAACGCACCAACTTTGGCAAAATTATTTCTCAACGTTTGGGGTCTTCTACGAATTCATGGAGGTCGACACCTCTTTGTTAAGAATCTTGGATTTAGACTTCGGCCTGGATCAAGTTAGAGTTTTGGGGTTGTGTCAGACTTGTTTTTTTAGGTTTGGGCCGTTTCTGTTTAATTGTTTGGCCAAAAGACCACATTTTGTATAGTTGTGTAACATTGCACCATATTTTTGATTTTATGTTGTATCTCACCACCCTACTTTTGTTAGTGTGGTCATGCACTTTTTTGTTAGTTGGGATGTACAAACTTTTTGACGTTATTTCTTTCTCATGTTCTAGTTGCTAACATCAATATATCTTAGACGGTATAAGCTAATTGAGATTAAAAACTCGAATATATTATGTATATATTTGATTTGATTTCATAAGATGATGATAAATTTCATCTCAAATATAAAAGAATTTTTTTTATGGTACGTGGATTCCCTAGTCTTACAATATTCAGATATACTTAAAAACTTCTGACATTCAACTCTTTAAAAGCTTTTGATCGCTTTAATATAAACTTGGCCCCATTTCTTTTTACATTTGAGTTGGCATTGTAACGTTGATGTGAATATATATCTACCGATCACCAATATATACGTTGGTGTTTCTGTGCTACTTTCTTTGCTTTAATAATTGCAAACAGTACCCCTCATCCTCTTTTTGTCGACAAAACCTTTTTTTTTTTCGGTTCGGCTTTCTTGGTATTTAATCTAACGATGGAAAAGCTTATCAGAACTATGATGGTATGATTAGTTTAACTAACCGAAATCAGATTGGTGGAAAACCGTTTGGTTAACGTCTAATTAAGCAGTGTCTTGAGGAGTTTTAGCTGTGGGCGTGAACGCAATTTACTCCTTCATAATTAGAAAGGACATAAGCTTATAAAGCATGCTAATGCTAATGTTTCTTTCTACTCATGTAATTAACATGTTTTGTCATCATGATGCATTTCCAATATCCAAATATTAATTGGTTATAAGTTTATCATATTAGTTAGTGATGTAATCCAATAACATCAAAAAGAATTTACGAGGACTAAAATAAAAACGAAAATGAATAAAAAAGAAGATCAAATTAGTAAAAGAAAAAAATACCATAGAAGGAACTAAAAAAAAAAGTGAAGCTTACCAATTCCGAACCGTTTTTGTCATAATCTTATGAACTAATATAGCCATACTTATTATTTTGCAAGATGATGTAATCCGGTCACATTAACAAGATCAATAGAATCCAATGAAAAAAACAAAACATGATCAAATTTAACAAAAAGGATAAAGTTCCATCAAAGGATTCACAAGAAAAGCTTGAATCGTAACCTGGACTAAGGAGTAGCAGCAGTAAGGTACGAAGTGAGTACAGTAGATTCATTCTTTATGTCCTAGAAATTATAGATCCTAACCGTCCATTTCAAACATCAGGGAATTAACCTATAGAAATCGTAGTGTACGCTAGGCCAAGACACAGACGATTGTTTAACTCTCCTTCCAAGAGGAGTAAAATTTCGTAACGAAACCAAAACAGTGATTTTGAATTTAAAACAACCACCGCTGGTATTTTCAGTAAAGCCACAAAGATTTTTCAATTTATCATTAATTTTACTTTTTGATTACATATCTTTTCCCTCATTATATTATTTTGTCTCTTTCCGCGCTCTCTCGCTCTCGCCGCCGACTGCGTAACGGTCGCCGGCCGCATTACGCCGATCAATCCGTTCCGTTCGCAGACGTATCAATTTCAGTTCCCCCGGAAGTCTATCTGCAGTATTCCGATTCGATTGCATTCTCATTCACTCTCCCAAACCCAAAGGTTTATCTCAGGAGGTAATGTTCCTTCGGGTTTATGTAGAAATCGATTCCTCAGTTTCGTCTTGTTTGAGATTGTGTTTATCAGTAGCGATCGATCTGAGCTCGGCATTTATCTTAGATCCTAGTTTTAATTTCTGTATCAGATGCACTGTTCTCGTTTTTTTCGTCGGTCTGTTTATAATCGATTTCAAATTTGTGCATCTTCTCTAGATTCGTAACTTCGATTTCAAATTCGAATTCGAAGGTCGAGAACTCTGTGATTACTCCTGAAAATCGAAACCAAATCTTGTTCGCTTTCATTGCTTGTTAAGTACACTAATCCCATTTCCTCGAGTCAATCTCGTCGCCGACACTAATCTCATTTTACCAGCTAAATCGAGGATAGTGGATTTCGTACACTAGTTTCTCGGCTTTAATTGATTTCTCGTGCTTCAGTATGTGAAGTTGGATGGATCATCTCATGGTTGATTCTGCTTGTTTATGAACATTGCTGAAATTGGATACTCGCATCTTTTCTCTTCGTTCATCTCCACATAGTAGGGATTTTCTAGTCTATAAAGCTATCACATAATAATTTGTGGCTTGATGATACTTTTTTTACCACATTTTGTGATTCCTCTTTTTCAGGTGTGCAAAAATGATTGGATCGTTTCTTACAAGAGGGCTTGTGTATGACTCTGATCTCTTCATTGTGGTTCCAGAAGATACTTGGCCTTTTTTTTTTCTTTCTTTTATGAAATTTGTTTTGACATTCCATATGTTGGCAGGATGGTATTTGGATATGCGTATCCTGCTTACGAATGCTACAAAGCGGTTGAAAAGAATAAGCCTGAGATTCAACAGCTTCGATTCTGGTGCCAATATTGGTTTGTGATTTGGCTTTCTCATCTGTTCTTATCTTGAGCTTCTCTGCCTTGTGTTTTCCATTTGTTAAAGTTTAGCCACTTCTTGCAGGATTTTGGTGGCTGCTTTGACGGTTTTCGAAAGAGTTGGCGATACTTTTGCTTCGTGGTTAGTGTTATTTGATATACAGAAATACTTTCAAATGAAGAGAGATAATACATATATACTTATTTTGTTTCTGTCATGTTTTCATGAAGGGTTCCACTGTATAGCGAGGCGAAACTGGCATTTTTCATATACCTTTGGTTTCCCAAGACCAGAGTAAGTAAAAGAAGACTATTATACTTGTGTATAATTCATCCGCTAAAGTTCTGTCTCATTGCATTTCCCTCTCTGTGTATGGTATACCTTTTCTTTCCACAGGGAACTACATACGTTTACGATTCTTTCTTTAGACCATATCTTGCAAAGCATGAAAATGAAATCGACCGCAACTTGGTAGAGCTAAGGACCAAAGCTGGAGATATGGCAGTGATATACTGCAGAAAAGCAGTGTGCTACGGACAAACAAGATTCACAGAGATCCTGCAGTTTGTAGCTCTACAGTCAACACCAAAACCTCAACCGAAGGTAAATATATGCACTTACCAAATACCAAAAGCTTTATGAAACCACAATAGGTTTCTGCTTACGCAATGGTGATTTGATGGATTACTCGTGATTCTAATTTTCGTATCTAACATTAGGAAAAGAAGCAGTCGTTACCAGAAGAGGTGGAACAGAAGCAATCGGACCTCAAGGCGGCGAACCAAGCAGCGTCTAGTCCTCAAGTCCGTCCACAGCCCAAGAAACCACAACTTCTAACCAAAGAACCGATATTGGTAAAGCCTACTATAACATCTCCACGTAAGCAGCAGCAACAACAACAACAAACAACTGAGACCAAGGAAGTAAAAGCAAGCGTGTCACAAACCAAGCTCACTCCTCTTCCTCCACCATCATCACCCTCAACCGCCACGAAACCAAACGCTGATTCGGCACAGCCATCATCAACTGAAGCAGAGACAGCGTCACAGACTGTTGCAGCGTTACCAGCGTCTGCGATTCAGCGAGCGTCATCTTCTTCTTCTAAAGAGACTATAATGGAGGAGACACTAAGGGTCACTCGTGGGAGTCTGAGGAAAGCTCGTTCAACGGGAGCGCGCTAAAAGGTTAATAGAAAAAGAAACACACAAGTTCAAAACTCTGCTCTTTATTGTTTCTTCCGTCTTACGAAGTCAGCTTCAACAGAAACAATCGATTTTATCATAATAATAAAAAAATGTGTCATTTGTCTTATTCTTTCGTCTTACTTATTTGGCTTCGCATCATTTTAGTTTGTTTTATAATAACTTTTTATTTATTTTTATTTTATCAATGTAGGACTTTCAAACACATACTTATATTTTTTTTATTCATTGTTTAGGCAATTGATGTTTATTTTACACAATTTTAGTTATAACTTGTTAAAAAAGTATATATTTTTATTATACAAATAATATGATGATTTGTCTTTCAAGATTAGATTTACAAGAAAAAATAGTATTTAAACAAATAATTAATATAATATATTTTGATAAAAAATAAAAAAAATAGAATATCTTTATAAATTAAATAAGAATTATGTATAAATAATTAAAATGACATCATTGTAGATAACACATAATAATAAAATTATTTCTCAATTGATATTAGATTCCCAAGTTAATACCATTGATTTTCATCAATACTACAAGATACTTACAAAATAAATATGTACCAACAATAATCATGAGTTTATTTCTAAAAAGAACATATTGATTAATGACGTCATTATACATGCGTCATGCTGAGAGAGAAGGCTTCAATAATGGAGATGAGTGGTTGTGTGGCGGCAGCATAATAAATAAATGATGTTTGTTGCAAAAAGATCGTATATATAACAAATGGTTTTCCCTTCTTCACCGTTAGATTCTATCTCGAAGATAAGATCGCCCAAAATCATTATACCAGTAAGTAGTAGTATCAATTATTGTTATTAAATGGATTCCAATCCAACGTGACTAGTGTTTATTTTCTTATTGGTTGTGGCAATTAACCATGCCAATGCATTATTTTACAAACGAAAAGTACAGCTGAAAACGAGAGTAGAGGTAGAAAAAAAGATTCCTTTTTGCGTCCCCCTCTCACTCAACTCCGACTATAATTATATCCACTGAGTTTTTTTTGTTGTTGTTGTATGAGCACTCTTAGCACCCCACGAGTCCAATAAAAGACAGAACAAGAACAAAGAGAAAAAGAAAAAGAAAAACATGAGCGATCCAAACGGCCAATATCCAGCAACAACTGTCGGTGGAGACGGTGGCAGCAGCGGTAATAACGGCGGTGGAAATGGCGGAGGAAGCGGTGGTTCGTTTGCTAGTCAGCCGCAGAGAGCAAAGGTGAGGAAGCAAGTGTGGGCTGGAGTTCTCGGCATCTCTTCCGTCTCCACCAACAAATAATAGTTTTCATTTTTCCTTTTTACTTTGAAAAAAAAAAGTCTCAAGTGAAAAATGTCGGTGGTTAATATTATGCTTGATAATCGTTCTTCTTAATTGGCTGTGTCTAAAAAACAATCTTGCGAGGTCACTAGACCATCACCATCGTCATTGTAATGAGATTATGAATTTTTTGTTTTTGCCTCCAACTTGTGCAGTAAAATTTTAGAAATTCCTCAAAAAAGTGATCCAATATTATTGTGTCTCAGTTAGGGTTTTCTCGTTCGAATCGATGCATAAAGCGATATCATTGAGAGTCAATTAGGTGAGATCGTTTGCAGAACATTTTACTTGGAAATGTGATGCCTATATTCAGAAAAGAATGAATAGTAACTGAAAAACATGTCCAACAAATTCAGAAAAGAATGTGCATTAATTATATAAAAACATTTTTAAAATAATTGCAAAGAAAATAAATAGGATATTATTCTATGGTGGTGTGTGTTTGAATGGTATACTATCCACTATATAATTGTTCTTATCCATCCTCGCAACAAATATTTGTATATACTTCCCCAGCTTAAAAAAAAAAACATGAAATCCTAATAGATATGTACGTACACCGTATATATATATGTCATAATACGTATCACCATGATCCATATCCATATGGGTTTAGGTTTCCTGGTTTATAAGATTTTAGTTTGATATGATATGTATATACATCTACTAATTTGTCAAAATTTGCAAATGTTTTTGTCATGATATGATAAAATGAAGCAAATTTCCCATACAATAATCAGAAATGTTTAAATAGACCAACCTCGAATAGTTTACTAGAAATACATTGGGTGTTTCTTTTTGCTAAAGATTAATGTATACATTCTACTTTTATTGAATTAGTCGTAACGAACTGAGAGAAAGGGTAACTGATTGGCATTAGTTTTGATTATCCAGGTGTTGTTTAATCTTAAAGTAGAAGACATAATCATAACTGTCTTAAGTTAACTATACCAACAAGTTTAAACTAAGTTAGAACCCCTCATCCATCAATCATTTCACCAAAAGCCTCTGCTCCTCTTTGCAAAGCCATACTCAGTTTTAAAATAATAGTCTTATTTTGTTCTCTGAACATCACAATGATCATTTTCAAAAAAACATATATATTTTGAAGTTTAATTTTATCGACTGTTCCCAAATCTCCGTGACTAGATTGAACTATATATGCCAAAGCCAAGTGTACATGATGTAGCAGGACCACAACTTATTTCAACACCTTACAAGTACTACAGCTTTTAATTTTTCTTGATTACATTTATAATCAGCTCATGATTAACTGTTGATCAATTCTCGGCGTCATGTACTGTCAACAAACGGTTGTGAAACAGTGCATGGTCTCAGGAAATTAAAATTCTAACATAAGTCCATGTTACTTCTAAATTTTCTACAATTTAGTCAAAAGTGATTTAAGGTTCAGTTTCATAATATTCGCTAGACATCGGATTTAATTTCTAAAGTTAGTACTATACATATACTTCATGTATTTTGTAATCATACTGCTGTCCAAGACTTTGTTGGGTTGGTTTCAAAGTAATCATAGAAACAATTAAAAAGCATCCTGAAGATGTTAGCTGATTAATCCATCCATATAATTTATTTATCCATATCCAAGTTTTATATAACAAGGAGTTCACTTTGCCGAAGACAAAGGAAGCCCATACAAATGATTTGTTCACATGCAACATCATACACTTAATCTCTCAACTAATTTGTATATTAATCCTTCACAATTCAATATTTTGATATTTTAAACCCCTATATATATATATAAAATAAATAGTTTCAAAAAGCAAAATATTAATAAATCAACCCCTGACTATGTGTGTGTATATATAAATGAGTCTTATTAATTCAGAATCAAACAAAACATATATGCAAGACAGACTTATGAAACTTTATAATATACACCAAACTATGCAACATCCATCTCAGAGAACTCCTCCTGATACACACTCACAATCCTTCACCATTCATATAGACGAACCATTTAATCATCATCATTACTTGGATCATCATCGTAATCACAACAACAAAACCTTCATAGGGTTCTCATCATCCATGAAGCTCTTCACAAAGTTCCGCAAGATTCTCACGAAGATCATCTTCACCCTTCCGTCCTCTTCGTCTTCCGCCATCGTGCGCCGTCACAAAACCGCGGACTCCATCAATGGCGGTGAGAGGGTAGAGACACCGAAGATATCGTGCAGTAATTCGTACTACTCCTCTCATTCTCACTACAGTGAAGCTATCTCAGATTGCATTGACTTTTTCAATAAGTCATCCATTAATAATATGTCTCACCAAGAACTTGAAGACCCGAAAGTTCATGATCACGACTGTTATTACGTTTAGTCCTTTTTCTTCTTCTTCTTTTGTTAACTCGAGTGTTTTTCTTCTTGTGCTCGTGAATCAAGAATTTTACGTTTTGAACATTTTCATAATCTATCTAAAATATTTAATGATCCGTTCCAGTCCGATATATAAAACGGCTGGTTATATTTCACTTTACAGTGTCATTCAAAGATGACAAAAGTTGGAACTGTAACTCTGTAAGCGTGGTATCTGAAATTATATGATCGTGAAGTCAAAACGTCATCACAACAAAATCCGAATTAAACATTATTATAGAAAACTAATTCTAATTAATTAATGCCTCTTTTGCTAACAAAAGCATTAAATACTGTTTTCAAAATCTCTAATCAGTTTGAACCTCCACAAGCTCGAACCATCCATTTCACAAAGCTTACACCACGCCAGAAGGGAGACGAAGAACGAGCTGTCCACCCATTAAACTGTTCCCAAAAACAGAAAAAAAGATCCAAATCTTTAGACATTTATAACATTGCAACATTAGTTACATCGGGATTATATTAAAAAACAATAAACATTTTTACCTCTGAACATAGTAATAGCAGAAATCTGCAAGAATGAAGGTTTGGATGATTTCAGAGAGAAGGACCATTAAAGGCCATAGTCCATACCCTAATGCAGTCAATAACCGCCCTCTCGAATCCAACACCTACATGAGTTTAAATCATCTTTTCAGAAGTTGTACAGAGGAAGAAACAATAAGAGATGTGTGATTCAAGAACCTGAAGGATCCAGTGTGCACAACTCAAGAACCTAGCGATTCCCAAAGCAAATACGTAATGTGCTGTGAATGGTTCCACGATCTGAGAAGTAGACATAAACATTCGAGTAAAGATACAGACAGAAACATGTTTATAATTTATTTAAATAGAGCACAGAGTTGAATTAACAATAGACCTTGGTGTTCTGCATGACTCTTAATTGAGGAAGAACTGAAACAGCTTCAAGATAAACACAGAATGCCCAAAGGAGCCTGTTTATGATGTGGTGACGTGTTGACGGGTGAATGAGGATAGATACAACAGCACATGGGATCACCTGAAGCAAGAAGATAAAATGTATGCAAAACATATATTACATTGTTCTCAAGATTCTCATTGTTCATGATTACTCATCCAAATCAATGAAACAAGTTCATAAAATCCTTTACGAAGCAATCTAGCATCGCACATAAACACATTCTTCTAATACACAAGACTTGACACTCAAAAAGACAAAAACACAAAAGTGGAAACAGAGGGTTTGGTAACTTACAACGTAGTAGATAGCGAAATTGTCTTTGTCTTCCATATAAGTGGGTCTAAGATTGAAACGGATCATATAGATGACCCAAAGAGTCGTCGCCAAAGCAGCTGAATCGAGTAATGTGTGAAGATCAAACTCCATTACAAAACTACAATACAATCGCACGGCCAGAAACAAAGCCGTTAGCTCCTGCGTCTTGAGAGATATCCCTGTTCAAATCATCAAAAATTATCAGACAATTCCATCATAAGGACACAACAACATCATCCCAAATTCACAAAATCCCAAATTTTCACAGTGGATCAGAATCAAATCTAATTCAGAAGCACCAGAAATTTCAATTACCAGCGCAAGTCTTCTCCTTTGTGAGCTTGTAGATAAGGACAGCGATTCCTACGGCATGGACAGCCTCGGAAGCGATGAAAAGGTTGTCGTGCTCATGGACAATCACCCTCAGGAAAACGAGCACCGTCATTGCCGAAACCACAACCAGAAACGCCTTTACCTTCGGCGGCTGCCGGCGAATCCATGACATCACCGACTGAATCGGACTCTTCTCTGCCTTCATCGTTTCGCGAAAATTTGATGGTTCCAAAGATTATCAGATCTCTCTCTCTCTCTCGCTGCGATTAGTGTGTGATTAATGATGATCACACAACTAACTTCTTCTCTGATTTCAATTAAGAAGGAATCTGTATATTTCTTAACGCAACCATACAACGCCATTTCTTTCGGGAAGAAGAGGACACGTGGGGAACCTAGAGAAGCTGTTAGGTGAGAGGCTGATAGTTTCTGGTTTTATTGCAAAAGCACTTAACTTGTTGCTTCATCTCTTTTCTTTTTTGCATCTAATCTATTTATTACTCTTAAACCGGCTTTGGTTTATAAAAGAACGAATTCACAAATCATAACCATACCATTTTCCGGTTTATTCAATTGGTACGTGTGGAAACGGGTGGGTTTGAATCGCGGCTCACTAAAGGGCTCTCGTTTAAGAGTGCGTGTGGCTGTAAAGTCGAAAGAACACCTTTTTTTCTTTCTCTGTCTTCCAACTTCTAACGGTCTAAATCTCTCTCTCTCTCTCTCTAAATCTCTCTAGTCAATTTTTGTTTTCTTCCACGATTGTTCTGCGACGACTGCTTCTTCGATTGGAATTTGGAACTTGGTATTGCGAGATGGGTGTGAAATCGGTTTCTGGAAACTCTTCGGATCGAGAAAGCTGGGACAAAGTTTTCAAGACTCTGGTCAAGATTCTACAGTCGAAACAGGAACAGGTCGAATCGCTTCTTAAAGACAGGAAGATTATCGAAGATAAGATCAAGGCTAAACACGATAACTGGATCTCTGATGTTCGGAACTACGAGGAACAACTCTCTCTGGTAAAAATTTCCCCCCTTTTCATGAAAAAGTTAGGGTTTTTAAGGTTTTCACGCTCCGCTAAGTCGCTGCTTGTCTCAATTGCAGACTGCATTAGAAGTTAAATGTGTTTAATGTCCTGGTTTTCGTTTTCAGGTGAATAGAGAGATTGAAACGATGAAGATGATGCAGCTCGTTGAGACCTCTAAATGCAATCTCTTGTCTGGATTGAAGGAAAGGGATCTTTCTATTTGCAATTTGAAATTAGGTAAGTGAAGTGACTGTCTGGAAAAACAAATTCAAATTCGCTCCTTTCTTTTCCTAAAGAGAATAAAGTTTCATTCTTTGTATAATGAAAACCAAAATGTGTGGAAATTGCAGAACCGACGGTGGACGAGTTAAGTGACTTCAAGGCTTGGTTTGATTTCCTCACTCTGAATACAAATGTAAGTGAAAGTTTGAAACTTTTCATTAGCTCTTGTGGGTTTTGTTTTAGAAAACTCGTACAAATGATTCTTCTTTTCTTTATATAAAATGTGCTGATGCAGAAGGAAAGTGGCAACTCGGAAGCTGCGGATGGTAAATCAATGGAAGAAGAAATCAGAAAACTGAAGCTTGAGTATGAGAAGCTTGCTTCTGAAAAGAAATGTGAGGTATCTGATCTTCTACGGGAAAACGGGTTTGCTTGGAGTCAGTTCAAATCCATAGAAAGTGGGTTCAATGATAAGTTAAAGAGGAAAGATGAGGAGATTGCTCAAGCTAATACGAAAATTTCAAGTCTTTTATCTTACGAAGAGCAGCTTCAGTCATCTAGTCACGAGAAGGACAAGATTATCTCAAGATTAAAGGCTAAGGTTGCTGAAATGGAGACGGATTCTACTAGGAAAGATGAGGAGATCTCAAAACTCTCACGGGAACTAGAGTCTTTGAAGAAGTCTCGTAGCTTTACACCGGTTCTAACTCGATGCACAACACGTGACAAAGGTAGCAATGGTAATACTGTGGGATCTCACGTATCTACTAAGAAAGAGAAGTCTGCTGCATCAACACCAAACTCAAAGGTACTTATGAATTAGGGGAAGCAGCATTTTTAGTGTTTTTACATCTTGGTTTAGGGAAGCAGCATGTATTAACTTTATATTTATACTTCTTTGATTTCAGGAAATTAATATCTCGAAGCGGAAAAGAGCGGACAAGACACCAGTCTCAGTTTCAGAGATACCAAAGCTGTTCACTTCAACATTTAGAGTTCCCAAGTTAAAGCCTCCATCTTCTGAAGCCATATAGATTGTCTTTTGAATTTTTTTTTTTTTTTTTTTTTTTTGTGCGTCTGCTTCTATTAGATTTAGAGCTATAAATACCTGCATGTAATCTATCTCTGTATTTAGGATCATCCCCTGATGTATATTAGCTTATATGACCTTCATTATGACTTAGGAGCATTAGTACTGCATCTAGCAGCTGCTATTTTTCTGTATTATTTGTCTTGAACCTTGAAGATTTCAGCAATGTAACAAAGATTTTAAGCAGCTTTGAATAAGAGTTGTCTCGGTTTGATTATGTTTGTAGCTGAAACCTTTTTTTCGTTTGGCTTTGATATTTTGCACAGATCATATGCTTCTTCTTGTTTGGACTATATCTTGCAGAACCACTGAGTCTGAAAGTGAGCTTTGTCCTTCACACCAAATCAATATCTCGGTTAATGAAAGACTTGAAAAATGTACTGTAGTCGTCTGAATCTATTATACCGGAATCTTTTATTAACCATCAGATTTCGGTTCGGTTCGACAAATTGATTTTGCTTTTTGGTTTAGAGGATGGAACGACGCCGTGTAAAGCTCCCTTTAATTTGGATTAGGGCACAATTGTCGGAGGGGAGAAACACAGCGGTTTCCGTCACAAATCTCCCGAAAAATTCAGCTAAAGGTTTCGATTATTTTTGTTGGGGGAAGAGAAGATGCCATCGGAGGATGCGAAAGCTTTGAAGAAAGAGGAGGCTGAGGATGACGACAAGAGCTTGGGTTCCTTTGTTAGGAAGAAGAACACAAACGCCAACAATGCTGGTTCGTCTACGACAGCTTCGAGGAAATTGAAGAAAGAGGAGAACGAAGACGATGATGATAATAAACCCATCAAGTCATCTCTATCTGGGTCTCGCCCAAAGCCAGTAAAGAAGAAGGAGATTGATGAAGACGACGACGAGAAGCCTGTTTCCAAGAGGAATTCCTCTGTTGGAGTCTCAAAGGTTCGATTTTTTCTCTCTCTCTCTCTATCTGACGCTGCCTGAGTATAAATTCTCAGAGATGAGATTAGTGTTTCAGAAATTAGTTATAGACAGCAGTGGTGAGAGAATGTAATCGTTAGGATGGTGTGAGAATTGATGTAGCCTTGTGTTGGTGACTCTCTCTCTCTCTCTCTGGTATTTTTTTAGGAAAAAGAGTTGAAGAAGAAGAAGACAGAGAAGGAAGATGAACCTAAGAAGAAGAGGGAAAAGAAAGTCTATGATTTACCTGGTCAGAAGAGAGACCAACCTGAGGAGGTAACTTTTTTCACTGCTCTTGTTCTCTGATTTCAGATTTGTGGCGAATTCGTTCGAATGACTTTACCTTGTTGGTTTTGCAACTCTGCAGAGAGATCCACTTAGGATTTTCTACGAGTCACTTCACAAGCAAGTTCCCACTAGCGAAATGGCTAAGATTTGGTGAGCGTTTCTATTCCTTTGTGTGCCTAACATTGTTGTGAATCTGATTATTGTTTTTGATCTCTCCGTGTGTAAACTGAGTTCTACGCCATGTTGAAATATCTTTGTTTTCGGTTTTCCTCTGGGACTTCATCATGCCTACTTGTGTGTTAGTTTTTCTATTGTCTCTGACTCTCCTGTGTGTTTGTTACACTGGCATTAAAGCTCGTCTGAGTTTTGAAAGAAGAGTCCTTTCAAACAACCAACCACACAAAGCATTAATATTACATCTCTGATGGTTACTGTGTAGGTTCCTCTGTTTATTTGAACACCGCTTTGTGTGTTTCTGATCACAGGTTGATGGAGTCTGGGTTGCTTCCAGCTGCAGAAGCAAAGAAAGTTCTTGAGAAGAAACTGCAAAAGAGTGGGAAGTTCAGTTCTCCAGCAAAATCCGCAGCTTCTACTCCAAGAGCCAGCTCCAAATCGGTGACTGCGAAGAAGGAATTAAAGTCATCCTCTGAAGCTTTGTCAGGTAGAAAGAAAGGAAATGATTCGAAACCAACCACGAAGAAGCGGAAGAAGGATTCTGATGATGAGGACTCGGATGATGATTTCTTGGCTAGCAGAGTCGCTAAGAAATCCAGAGCCAAGTAGTTTGGAATTTGAAATATCTTTGTGTGATATGAAACTTCTAATTGTTGTTTTAGTGACTTAAATTGTAAACTTATCTCAAAGGCGAATTCTTTTAAGAGTAATGGCAGAGTTGGTTTATTGTTTCTATTGCACAGAAGTGGGAGATAACCACGAGCTTTGACTTGCAGTCTTGTAACTTCTCTACTTTGTGGTCTTTTAGAGTTTAGACCCTTTTTTTCATCTTTCACTTAAAAGTTCGATCCTAGATATGACCGACCATCAACCTTTGTGTCATGTATATAGGCTGAACATAAATGATTGACTTAATGTTAAAATTCAGATAAACAAAAAAATAAAAGTGTATTTTATTGCTTTTGTTAATATCTACATACTTGATAAATAAATATTTTTAATATATTATTAAGATAATTATGATAGTTGTTGTTTAGTGAATTTGTGAGATTTATCAAGAATAATAATAACACAGATTCTAAACACAAATTTATACCCAAAAAAGAAAACTTATACCATTTACACGGTTATTGTTTTGTAATATATACATGATTTTCTTATTGGACCTAAAAAGATATATACCAACTATAAAATAGAAGAAGTAAATTTTAACAAATTTGTTGTTTATAAGAAGTAAAACTTTTAAAAGGTAGTTTTTTACACATTCTCTCCTTCTTAATTCTCTCTCTCACACCATTGACAATCCTAGTTATATAATTTCATCCGTCGTAGAAATTTGATCAGCTTCTTTTGATCAAAACCCTAATTTGATTGTCTCTTTGTATACTTCTAAACAGATTATCATGAGAGCTGCCGATGAGCTATACAATGGTTGTATTGAAAATTATTTCAACGAAACTGAACTTGAAGTTGCTTCAATTTTGTTGAATATGTCTCATCTAGATTTCTTGTGTTATAAAACTTATTTTTTATCGGTTAAATGGGGAGCTACTAAACCGAGGACCAGCTTTCTTCCCCAGCAACCGCCTAAAGTTCATCAGTCATCATCGCCGGTTTCAGAGATTGGAGGTACTTCGAGTTCATGTTTACCAAGTGATGATGATGTGGAGAATACTCCTACAAAAAGGGTACGTGTTTTCTTTTTCCCTTTCTTTTATAGAGGGTTTAATAAACTAATTCATGATTAGGGTCTAGGATCATATATATACTGTATACTACAAAAGGTGTGTGTTAATTTTTGTAAGTCCTTTCGCAATAAAAAGTTATCGCAGAACCTTCAGGCAGAGAGGGAAGGTTTCCCCATTCCCGTGATGCAGCAGTCACTTTGGGAACGTCAGAGAGTGTTTAGAGAAGCGAGACAGAGAAGAATGGCCATACGTAGATCCAAGAAGCTCAAGCTTCTCCGACGTCATTAGGAAATTTTGCTTAGTAGTGATTAGTTACTCGTTAATCCTCAGGTCATGTCAACTGGTCATATACCTCTCAGATCAATCACGGTGATAGTTTTCATTTTTTTTTTCTTCTATATTTAGTTTGTTAGGAAACTCTAAACTTTTGACCAGGAACGTTCACTGTGTACGTTTTGTCAATGTTTTACCCGTAACGTCTCTTGTATCCCTCTAGTATACATGTTTATTTTAAGAGAATGATTAATAACAATGATCGTCTTATTTAGTACTTAGCCGATGAAAACTGGTTTATGTAGTAGGTAATTGACACAATATATGCGACAAAAATAGCTAAATTTTGATTTTTCAGTAAATAAAAATATGGAAAACTTACAGAAGATGGGAATGATGTTTGGTAAGAACAAATTAAACTCTTTTTGAAGGGCAACTTAAAGAAGATGGGAATGATGTTTGGTAAGAACAAATTAAAAGGACAGAAAAGCTAATACAATATGTGTGTGAATGTGATTTCTTAAACTTTTAGTATTTTAGCCCTGAAAAAAAAGAGTGAAGAAGAGAGAATAAAAACATAACGACTGATCATCAAGGCAGAATTGGAGTTTAGTTTGATTCAAATGATCATCAATCAAGTTGGCGTTAACCAAAACTGCAACCATTTTAACTAAAACTGCAAACCTCAAGATTGGTAATTTGGTTTCCATCTTTTACATCTCGGAAACGTTAAATCTGCTTCCGCATGCGAGCGAATGTGGGACTCCGATAACATGATGTGTGTGCAGCTGATCCACGTCAAGGATCATCATTTCTCCTCTGCACTCAACGCACAGAACCAAGAAGTCGTCTTTTAAAGAAAGTTCGAGTTTCCTTTTTCTGGATCAATGGGTGCCATTTTAGTTAATTTTCCCTTGCTTCTCAAGCCACTGTGCGTAGTAATCACATTTTCTTATACTCTTAGTTAAAACGATAATCTCAAAGCAAAAGACGATTCAAAACACCAACACCACCAATACACCATATCCCAATTAGGAAATGTGACAAAGGCGGGAAAAGAAACAAAAAAAAAAAAAAAAAAAAAAGGAAATCACCAAACGAAATCCACTTATGCTGCGCGCTACTGCATCAGGTAACACGACGGCTCTGTGACCTTGTCTGTAGAATCGTTATAGACGTCACAAGTTAGCAAAAGAGAAATATTATCAAATGGTTAAGTTTCAACCATTTCATCATTCAATAATACCTTAGGCTTGTTCATAAAAACCGCTCCATCAGACTCGGCACGTTTTCTTTTGTTGGTGACCCTCGGGATCTTAGAATCAGCTGAAAGGAAGGCACTGAACCCCATAAGAAGATTCGGGTGGTCTCTCGTGAGTTTCTCTACCTTCGCAATGGCACTAGCTTCACGGAGTCTACAAAAAAGAATCATAATAGAAAAACATGAGAATCACTTGACACATGTTGTTGTTGTACACATTGGGAGTTGAAACCAAAAATATTAAAGGAAGGGAGAAAATAATGCACACCTCTGAGCTGAAAGCATTATCTTGACAAACTTGTCATAATTTGCAGGTTCATACTGAAATGCTTCTTCCACAGAAACGAGGAATATAAGCGCATCATCCATAGTTGGCACTGGTGATGGTGATGGTGATATTCTTTTGCCAACCATTGTTTGAATGGTTTTAAATTGGCGTAACCCTTTGCTAGCCTCAGCAGAGTGGATGGGTCTGTCACGGTCGGGAACTAAGACACTGAAACCAAGAAGCAGCCTCGGGTAATCTTTCAAGATTTCCTCTACCCTTTTAATGTCATTAGGAGTAGTAACTCTACAAAGAAAAGACAATATTACCATCATCAGGATCAATTCACATTTTCTGTTTCTTGTTTAGACTAGAAGTTGAAATATAATCTCATACCTTGTACCACGGGAGGTAATATCTTGCATGATATTGACAAACTTTTTATATTTTGAAGGTTGAAGCCCTTTTTTCAAGGAACCAAGGTATAAATACATCTCATTCGTAGTTGGTTCCCGTGGTGCTCCTCTCCCAACCATTGTGGTGGCCTAAATGGTTCATTAAAACACATCAGATCATCACTGAATCTCTCTCAAGTATCTCAAAGCTATTACACAAAGATTATATTTATTACATCATACAATTGCATTTTTTTTTTTTTTTGGGGTGTGAGTGAAACGAGTCGATCCCAAATCAAATCTAGCACTGGATTCAGCGTCACTCTTAACGATCAATAACTCATGTAATTTTCATAGATCAGCACCCTTAGAACACTGGATCAATTCAATCTCGATGGTGAGAGAACAGCAAGAAACAGACAGAATCGGAGGAGAGACCAAGTATGGTTACCGAATTCAGCACACCGAAGCAGCAACAAGCAAGAAAGCTTCCTCTCTTCGCAGAGTAACGGACTTCAGGATCTCCAGACACAAAGTAAAGCCGGCCCTAATTTTTGCTCTACAAGCCAGAATAGAAAAACGAATATTCTAGGATTTTTTTTTCTTGCTCGTAACAAATAATAGAAAAAATTATATTAAACTAAATTAGATCAAACTAAAAGGTCCTTTAATGCATAGAGTTTGTGTAGGAGAAATTCATGCATAATTCAGTATTAGCTCGATGTGGATACAGAGCATAAGCAAGCTTCTTGTCAAAGAAGCTCGAGCTTCTCCCACGTCATTAGGCAATTTTGCTTAGTAGTGATCAATTACTAGTTAATCCTACGGTCACACGGTGATATGATATTCTTCATTTTTTTCTTCTATATTTAGTTAGTTTGTTAGATAACTCTAAACTTTTGACCAGGAACGTTCACTGTGTACGTTTTCTCACTGTTTTACCCGTAACGTCTCTTGTGTCCCTCTAGTCTACATATTTATCTAAGAGAATGATTAATAACAATGATCGTCTTATTTAGTAATTAGCCAATGAAAACTGGTTTATGTAGGTTTTGACACAATATATGCGACAAAAATGGCAGATTTTGATTTTTCTATAAACAAAAATATGGCAACTCAAAGAAGATGGGAATGATGTTTGGTAGGAACAAAACTCTTTTTGAAGGACAGAAAAGAAAATGTGATTACTACACACAGTAGCTTGAGAAGCACGGGAAAATTAACTAAAATGGCAACACACCCAGTGAGCCACACATAGGAAACTCGACCTCTCTTTAAAGACGACTTGTTGTTCTGTGCGTTGAGGATTTGCTCGTCGACTTCTTTTGTGCTGTGAGGTCAACGTCCGTGACGTGGATCAGCTGCACACATCATCTTAACAAACCAATCTTGAGTTTTGCACTTTTAGGTAAAATGGTTGCAGTTTTGGTTAACGCCAACTTGATTGATGATCATTTGAATTAAACTAACTCCAATTTTGCGTTGATGATCAGTCGTGATGTTATTATTCTCTCTTCTTCACTCTCTTTTCCAGGGCTAAAATACCAAAGTTTAAGAAATCACATACATATATTTTGTATTACTCTTAAGTTAAAACCATAACCCGTATTAATTAGGATCTAATGCTCTGATACGATGATGATAAATTGATGAAAGTAAGTTTAGGAAGAATTATTATTAGACTCATTAGAATTTAGATACAAAATACATAAATTTATATAGAGATCAACCAACTTATATTTCTATATGTAAATAATACACTTAAAATTTAAGATAAAAGTAAATTTTTTTATTTCTAAAATATTGGTGAATATTAGATATTTTTATATCTTTCTTGATTTCTATAATTTTGATATAGTCGATCTCATCGATCTCCTAATAATGAAAGCTTAGGAATCAATAGATCTGTGTTGTTCTGGTGCACTCGAATTTCTCTAGAAATCATCCATGTGAAATGAACATGAGATTCCAATCCTCCATGTTATTGTGAAATGGAACTAAACTAACCTGAATGGCCTCATTTCCTTCCAAGTTGACTTGATCTCAGCAAATTCCAGCAAACCAAGATGTTTCTCTATAGGTGATGCCCTTTGCTTTGCGCTTAGAGTTCTCCTTTTCTCAGTTTAAGTGCCAGAAATGCAATCATACGATGATTGATGAATTATGGATGAGCTTCCAAGACTAAAGTTTTTTTTTTTTTTAAGAAATAAAGTTTGAGAGTAAAAGTAGAGGTTTTTTGAAATATATATATTATATATTGGCTATAAAAGCCTATAACTAACTAATCGAATCGACTTTATGAAATCCGATTGGAGTCCGACTCTGATCAATTGATCAAAACAGTGACAATGGATGTAACATTCCAATCAACTAATCGAGTTTTTTGAATTTAGTTTTCTAAATATATTTTTTTTTCAAAATTTTCAAGGCCATAAGGGTAAATGGTATACCCCAAGTAATAAAAAAATATATAAGTATCAAATTACAAATTTATATAATGATATATTTTTTAATTAAAATGTAGTACAATATGTTTTTATTATACGGAAATTCCGCAATTTTGAATCTTCCCAACTATTATTTCCCCCCTTTTGATATACTTACTGGTAGATGTCGCTTATCTTGTTGTTTGTTTGCAAACCCGCGAAACTACGATGTTAATCTGTTTCAGGTTGTTTTCTGCGATGATTAAATACAAAGGCCACCTAAATTCTGGAAAGAAACTCTTGCTCTCACGTGCACTGCAAGCACTAAGCTGTTTTCTCTTGTTATTGCTATTTTCTCGATAAAACTAACATGTCTGAGATGAATGGACAAGCCTCTGTGATGCCCTTGCCTCGAATTTGATAGCTGTGCGTAGGAAATGTCGAAAAAAGATTAGAAAAACTGATGCCGAGCGACAATAATCCTCTTTTCTTCCCTTCTTCTAAAATGAAACAAAAATAAGTCTCTCGCCTATTTCTTTTCCTGTGTAAACAATGCAGAAGCGATTAACGCCTAAAGATTTCTTTTGTGCTCATTTGTCCTCTGAACATAAGCGGAAGCTGTGAGGTCAACGTCCGTGGCGTGGATCAGCTGCCTGCACACATCATGCGAATATCAAATCTGTAAGGCTTTTGAATTACATAAGTCGATCCATTTAAATCATAAATGAGCCACAAATATAAACAAGTCGGTGAGCCCATTAAGTCAAACGATGTCGTATCCGTTTAAATAAAACCCTAGACTTGTTTCAATCATCCCTATATAAAGCCATCTATTCTACGATTCATTAGCAGTATCGCCGGTTTCTTGCTTTTTCTTGTCGCCTCTCTCAGTGTGTTTTTTGTTTTCTCTTTTCTCTTTGTAGCGTTATCGTTGATCTTGTTTTATTTTGCAAAAGAAAACTGATTTTAATTGCGTAGTAGCTAAATTCAAATGATGAGATCTGATCTAAAATTCTCACGACGGTCGTCTGAGACTATGTGTTAATTGATGTACCGATCGCTCTTCTCTGATGAAAATCTTTCTCCTTTTATTTTTCAACCAAAACTTTGTGTATCCTTTTTACTGGTTTGTTTTATTTTAAAGTTTCTTCTGAGCAAAAGAGATTCATCGGATTCGTTCTGGAATATCTTTGATTACTTGATCTCCAGATGAAATACTAATACCACTCTCGATAAGGTAGATAATGATCGTATAATAGTCAAAGGATCTTAAGGATGAGCCATAAGATCATAACATTGAAACCCCCAGAAAGAAGAGTGTCGTATTCTCTAAAAAATAATAGAGGATTAAAATTTATCATTCGAACAGCTATTTTACACAAACAATAATTGCTACAGTATTCGGCTTATCTCCTTGATCATAAACCCTGACACTCTTAATTTGTAATTGGATGTTGAATTGGTATTTGTTGAAATTGAACTGGATTTAGGTCTTACAAATTACTGAGGATTTTTCAAAAACTCACTGAGTTGTTTAAAGAGAGAATATAAAAAGGTTATTAAATCTCTGTTTCATGATTGATTGTATATCATTGAGGATTGTACGTCAGGTATAAAGAACATCATAGAATGTCGCAGTGGCTGTTATGTTCTGTAAAATACACAAAAAGTGGTGAAGAAGGTTGCTAAAGCCGTGTCTTGTAATGAGTATATTCCCTAGTTCTTCTTTACCGGCACAAGGTAAGTGGTGAAGAAGGCAAAGCCAGCTATATCAAGAGGCAATAGAAGATAAACAAGAGTGGATTGGGATGGGTTGTAAAAGATGTAAAGGGTGAATTGGTTTGGTTTGGTTTGAGATCAGTACCGAGACTTGACGATATTGATCTAGCGGTTGTAGCCTTTGGTGGGCAATGGATAATCTCCTGAGTCTTGGTTTTTATGAAGTTACTTACAGCCCAAGAAAGAAACAAAGTAACTGATCTCATTGCGTGCAAACCAAGGTTTGTGTTTAGATTATTCAATAATAAAATAAATGGCTCACTCTCTTAACAAGAGAATTCTCTCTCTCGACACAATCTTCTGCGTGTCGTACTTGTGTTTTGCACGTGCTGGGAAGTACAGTGTGTTAATCCGGTTCGGTTTTCGCGGTTTTGTAAACTATGAGATACTCTTGTATAGTTGTGTTGGTATATGTATTTTTATTTATACACATGACACACGCAAGATATTTTTAAAGAGAAAACAAAAGAGATATATATAGCTCCTAGTCAAATAACGATAACCACAATTTGGATCAAAGAAGATACTCTCTTCTTCAAACCTCATCCACCCAAAAACACAAATGTCTTTTACTCCTTCTCTTATCTCTCTCCTTCTGATTCCTTTTAATACTCCCTTGAAATTTTCTCCCATTTTCATTTCATTTCATTTCCTGGGCAATGGCGACTACTTTGAATGCTGCTGTTTCTCTCACATGTTCAAAATCTTCTTCTTTTCCAGCTACAGGCTGTGCCATTGCTCCTGAGAGGATCAGGTTTGGTAAGGTATTGTCTTAGCTTTTTCTCAACAGTATTGTGATGAACGATGAAAAACCAAATTGAGTAGTCGAGATTCTAGATATACTCTGCTTTTAGTGTTTTGCTTGATCTTCCGGTTCTTCTTATAACATGTTCAGTTAGTAAAGTCTGCAACTTCTGCTTCTTACATTGAGATCTAGAGAAATGAATAACATTTGAAAAACTGATTGGTGATTTCTCTCAACTGTCCCCAAAAGATGGTTTCTAGATCAGTGTACTAGATTAGGTGTCTAGATCAGTGTACTTAGAATCTATTATCTCAAATTTGCCCCCAAAGATCTAAACTTTTGGAAGATCGGTGCACTGTGTTTCACCTGCTGTTTGATGGGATCTTGATTAGGTTTCTCTGGTTTTGTTGTTGTTGTTGTGTTCTAAAAGGGTGCGTTTCACTACAAAAGCAGCAATGTAGTGACAGGTAAAAGAGTGGTCTCCATAAGATCCGAAGCCACAACAGACACTCCAGTGAAGAAAGCAGAGAAAGTGTCTAAGAAGAACGAGGAAGGTGTGATTACTAACAGGTACAGACCAAAGGAGCCTTACACCGGAAAAGTCCTTCTCAACACCAAAATCACAGCAGATGATGCTCCTGGAGAGACCTGGCACATGCTTTTCAGCCACCAAGGTTTTGATTCCATTTACTTTACAGTTTGTACTACGTTATGATTCATCTCTTGATGGTATTTGAAAATGTAGCATTCATGTGTCTTTGATAGGAGAAATCCCGTACAGAGAAGGGCAATCTGTTGGTGTGATTGCAGATGGAACTGACAAAAATGGGAAGCCTCACAAGGTCAGGCTTTACTCCATTGCAAGCAGCGCTCTTGGAGATCTCGGCAACTCCGAAACCGTAATAAACCATTTTCTCGACAACAAATTATCCCAAAAGAAACCGGTTTCTTTTTGTCTGGTTTAGCTGAATGAACAGGTTGTTGCAGGTCTCTTTGTGCGTGAAAAGGCTTGTCTATACTAATGACGCAGGAGAAGTTGTCAAAGGAGTTTGCTCAAATTTCTTGTGTAAGTACCAGTGAACAAAAATACTTGTCTCTCCTTAAACTTCTTTTATTTATTCGACTTTTCTTTTTCAGGTGACTTGAAACCTGGAAGTGAAGTTAAACTCACTGGTCCTGTAGGAAAAGAAATGCTTATGCCAAAGGACCCAAACGCCACAGTTATTATGGTATCTACCTTAGACCTATAGTGTCTTGAGTTGCTTATGATTAGACCTCTATAGTTTCTGATTCTTGAAACAACATTAATGACTAATAGAATCTTGATGACCACCACAGCTTGCCACAGGGACAGGAATCGCTCCTTTCCGGTCTTTCTTGTGGAAGATGTTCTTCGAGAAGCACGATGACTACAAGGTGAATGAATGCTTTGTTCAGTCATTTCTTTGAATTTGGACCGAATGTATACGAAATCTAACATATTTGCAATCGTCGTGATGCAGTTTAATGGCTTAGCTTGGCTGTTCTTGGGAGTGCCAACCACTAGTTCATTGCTCTACCAAGAGGCACACACACTCAAAAAATTTCTTCTGATTTCTTCTAGTTTCTCAAACCCATCTATTTCAAAAGAAATCAATCCTCTTTTTGTTGTGTGATTGAAAATCAGGAGTTTGATAGGATGAAAGTGAAAGCTCCAGAGAATTTCAGGGTTGATTATGCGATAAGCAGAGAGCAAGCTAACGAGAAAGGAGAGAAAATGTATATCCAGACCAGAATGGCGCAATACGCACCTGAGTTATGGGAGTTGCTGAAGAAAGACAACACTTTTGTCTACATGTGTGGGCTTAAGGGCATGGAGAAAGGAATCGATGACATTATGGTCTCATTGGCTGCTAAAGACGGTAAGAATAACTGATTAACATTAAGTCTCGAAACCTCCGTTGCATGATCAAATTTAGTTAATGACTTTGTGATGGTTTAGGTATTGACTGGTTTGACTATAAGAAGCAGTTGAAGAAGGCAGAGCAATGGAACGTTGAAGTCTACTGATTAATATCTCTGTTAACATTCGGTGGCAAAGTATAGTGGAACCAAAACTGTAATTTTTCGCATTCAAATTTCTGTAATGTGAAGTTAAGTTTTTTTTTAGATATATTCTATACTAAAAAGAGGAGGTTATCATTCATTACTGCCATTATTTTGCTCTAAGTTAAGTGGTACATTGATATTTGATAGATAGCCATCTAAAAAGATGTCAATTTTATTTAATTAATTGATTTTTTTTTTGTCAACATTATTTAATTAATTGATAAGAAGAAAATAACTGGTTAAAGAGTTTGTCCTCAATTGACAGAAATCTGTATAGTAGGGTAGTAGATAACCAATCCTGTGACAATGAGATGAGGCTTATATCCAAATCTTATCAATAAACATTATCAAATAAAATTCTACCACATAAACTCATACATGATACATCTATTGGAACAAGTAATGGTTTCGTAAGACACTTGCATTGTTGAGTAGTTGATTTTGGGTTAGACTAATTCATCTAATGAAACTAACATTTGCGTTAAACCTTAACCTTGAAGCCATAAAATATCATGAGAATATATGAAAAAAAGAATCTCGATGGGAGATATTTTTTTCAATTTACGTCAAGAGTATATGGTTGAGATTTTTCCTTGAAGCCGACCAAGAAAAAGGAGAAATCTAGCGAGGCTAATGTTTCTTCTCTCTCTTTTTTTTTTCTTTTGTCAGAGAATCAGAACGGCTAAATCCTATATCCACTAAAAAGCAAGCACGTCATCGGACATACCGTAAGCTACCCACATACAGCAAACACTTGATTATTGTGCTAATTGCTAAATAAAAAGACTGTCAACAGATTCTTTAACTCGCTCCTCTGTTTTACAATCTCTGTTTCACTCCTAGAGGTAGAAGAAGAAGAGAGCTTTTTAACATTTTTCTTCAACCCAATCATGGCATTGATCTTGTTCTTCTTCTTATTATCGAATTTGTGCTTGCCCGGTAAGAATATCCTTTAGTTTTCCTGAAAATCTCACAGACTCAGCGACTGTGTAATGATTTTTTTAAGTTTTTCTATCTCAGGAGTAATGTCGAGGAGCTTCATAGTAGCGAACAAATGCGAATACACAGTCTGGCCGGGAATTCTATCTAACGCCGGAGTTCCTCCATTGCCGACCACCGGTTTCGTCCTCCAGAAAGGCGAGACGCGTACAATCGACGCGCCGTCTTCATGGGGCGGTCGTTTCTGGGGCAGAACACTCTGTTCCACCGATTCCGACGGAAAATTCTCTTGCGCCACCGGAGATTGCGGCTCCGGGAAACTTGAATGTTCCGGAACCGGCGCTGCTCCTCCGGCGACTCTAGCCGAATTCACTCTCGACGGCTCCGGTGGACTCGATTTCTACGACGTGAGTCTCGTCGACGGCTACAATGTCCAGATGCTGGTCGTCCCTCAAGGCGGCTCCGGTCAGAATTGCAGCAGCACCGGCTGCGTCGTTGATTTAAACGGTAAATGTCCGTCGGAGCTGAGAGTGAATAGCGACGGTGGTGGGAAGCAGGCGGTTGCGATGGGATGTAAGAGTGCGTGCGAAGCGTTTCGACAGCCGGAGTATTGCTGCAGCGGCGAGTTTGGGTCGCCTGACACGTGTAAGCCGTCTTCGTACTCGCGGATTTTTAAGAGCGCGTGCCCACGCGCTTATAGCTACGCGTATGATGATAAGACAAGTACTTTCACGTGCGCCAAATCTCCAAACTACGTCATCACTTTCTGTCCTTCTCCCAACACTAGGTGACTATTCCTTAAATGCCCTTCTTTTGTTTTGGTCAACTAATTCCGAAAATTGCTAAAAAAAATTGAAAAATCCATAAACTGCTAATTTGCTAGTGAGGTGAGCAATAATTGTTTCATAATCATCGTAGCTGACTAACTTACGAATGATGATGAGCCATCAGTAGTTTTTTTGCGTGTTGTATAACCAAAGTCACGAGATACTCAAATTGTACTGTTTTTAAAGTGTTTTTGTATCTTTCGCTTTTCGAAAGTTAGTCTTTTTAATGTTTTCCTTTTATACCAGAAAGACACACATGGAAATATCATTCACTAGTTCCTTCTCATTTTTGCAGCCTAAAATCATCCGAGGAACAGAGCACACAGACGACGATGATGACAACTCCGACCTCTGGTGGTACGACGTCGTCGACGATGGTGTACGAAGGTGCACTGGACGAAAGCAGTGGCTCACCATTCACGTGCGACCTCGGGTCACGTGTAATCGCAGTCGCTTTCTCGCTTGGTTTTTGTCGGATGTGGCGGTTCTTCTGAACAGACTCTATCTGCAACGTATGCGTAGAACACAAGAACTTGTGGCCTTATAGAAGGCCTTTTTCTCCTCCGGCCTATGTGACGTTTTGGATCAACCAATTGAGTCATTGTTTACGAAAAGTCAATTACGAAAATACCCCACGTGATACGAGAAGTGGTTGGTGAAGGAATGACATAGGTGATAGATTTGAAAGATTATTACTTGTATTTTTTTCATCTAATTTGCAAGTATATGATTATATATTGTAGTTATCCTGATTTAGTATTTGTAATGTTAAAGCCAGACGGATGTCAGTTTAGTTTTGATTGCTAACAAGTAAAGCATCTACGAAAGTAACACAAAATTGATAGTTCTTGTTAATCTGTAGAATGTTAAATATTGTAGTGAAGAAACTGATGGGCCTAAATCCTACAACAACTTCCATTTCGATAGGCCTACAAATTTTGTTAGTTTTTTACAAAAAAATAATAAAACAAAACTAATGTCAGAAGTGGGGTTTGAACCCACGCCTCCTTTCGGAGACCAGAACTTGAGTCTGGCGCCTTGGACCACTCGGCCATCCTGACTTCTTTGGTTATAGGACTCATAGCTTAGATATAAGGTAACAAAACACTTTTTTGACCAATGATCATAGAATCAAATCCAATCTTAATTTGCATTTTGAAAGACCCGAAAAATTCAGTTGGTTTTCGATACAAAAATGAAAAAAAATGTCAGCAGTCTGAACAAAGCCTAATGATCTTTTCAGGAAATGAGTAAACTCAATAGCAAAAATGTTCTCCCATGAAATAAAAACAAGGTTTAAGACCAATTAAAGAACAACACTGAAACGGAGCAAGATCAAGACCACACAAACGAGATGATGGACTAGAATTTTTTAGGAAGATTGCTTTCAACGGATTTTCTTCTTCGTCTTCGTCGTCTCCACGATGTTGGCAGCTGCACAGATCTTTTTCCAGCAACGGTAAGAAATGAGTAAAGGTATCAAGACCCACCATCCATTAGCCCCGACGTAGTAGGAGTAATAGTAGAAGGAGTTTGTAGCAAAGTTGTCTCCTTCCAAGATAGCTGTAATGAAATACACGAGACATCCGTAGAGCTGGCCTAGCGAAACCGCAAGCTGAAGCACGTAGCTGTACGACTTCCCTTTAGCAATGGCGTATCTATTCATTTTTTTCAACTACTTAGTTAGTTCTGAAAGAAATGTTTTTGACAAAACCAAAGCTGAAAAAAGATGTTTGACTTGAATAAGAACTTACACAGCAAGAAGAGAAGCTGGGCCTTCGATAACGGCAGTGATGCCTTCAACAGCTATAACAGCAGAATCTCTGCCTACGTATCTCGAATCACCTTTGCTGTACTCTTTCCCTGTAGAGAGTTATAAGTGAGAATATGGAGAAACTGTGTAATTTGGAGAGAATGATTAAGAAGAAGAAGAAGAAGATTTTACTTACAGACTTCAGCGAGATAACAGGAAGTGTTGTCCTTGAAGAACTCAGGGGAGAAAACGAAATAGCCCTCAAGAATCATGTGAGTCAGACCAGTGAATGCCCACCAACACATTAGCAATTTGTCAAGCTGCGGTTTCTTCCTCCCTGTCACACATTCACAACAATAGGAAGATACAATTCTCTTTTAGTTTGTGATTCGATTTGGGTCAAATTTCTCAGAGTAAAATGGTCGAATTTGTTCACTAGATTACTCTCCGATCTGCTCAATTCAACTTAAAAAATCGAGCATCTAGTTTCGAAATCAGATCACAATGCAGAGAAGGGAATCGATTACCGAAGAGAAACCAGACAAGGGTGACGACGAAGAGGGAAACACCGAGGTAGACGGTGAGGATGGTGGACATGGACATAGAGATCGGTACGTATCCCGGCAGTTTTAGATCTCTGGGAACGTAAGGATGCGCCACTTCTTCCATCTCTGTCTCTCTGTGTGTCTTTTGGGAGACGAAGAAAGAAAACAGGACTTGTGTGTTTGTGACTTGATGATATGTGTGAGTTGTGGAACTTAGATCTGAGACTCCGAGTCGTCTTCCACTCCTTGAAACGTAACTTTTGTTTTATTTTCTTCCGGATATACACACACAAGTTCGATTATAGTATGAGATAATGTAATTATTGTCCCTAGCTGTGAAATTTAATAGGCACATTAAACCGAGCAAAATATTTCAAACCAAGATGAAAATATGTTAGGAAGAAGATAATGTGGGCACGGATCACGGATTTGACAATTCTTGACACGTGATTATGATTTCTCCTCTGCACTAGAAACGAGCTATTTTCTCGTAATTGTCAAAAACTATATCTCAATTATAATTCCACAGATTTTAAACCAAAACATCATCTACCACAATTTCGTTTGCTTGCTTCTTGTGTGTTTCTCCACCGTGGCGACACGCGAATCATTCACTGTCGTCTTCTTATCTCTCTATGAAGCAGATGGCATTAGCCGACGCATTGCTCGCAAACCTCGCCACGTTCTACTTGGCCATGATTTTTATTATCAAAGCGTACGGTTTGATAACCGGTCGTAACTTCGGCGCCGGGGTTCTGGTTATCGCGTCGATGACAGTGGTCGTCGTCGTGCTGGTTCTGACGCTCGCTTGGGACGTATCAAGAAGAGCCGCGGGAGGGATCACGCGGTACAACCGCCGTGGCGGAGAGACTCTGAATGAGCGTCACCATAACGAAAGTGGTCGTGGTAGCTGTAAAGGAGGGATTTGTTGGCACGGTTTAGCGGTCCGGTCACAGGCTTCAAAGGTTCATTTTAGGCTCCCACAACATATACCGTACTGAGGATTATTTTTCCCAAAATATTTTCAATCATAGTGAATATATATGCTAGACTGTAATAGTAGTTAAGAGAAAGTAAAAAGACGAGAGACGTTTCTAGTGTTAAATGTCTCTCATCTTGAGGCTTAAAGAAGCTTGGACCAATTACAATATATTTTTACTTTTAAACATATTTCAGAAAGTTTTTGCTTTATATACGAGCAGGATTTGACCTTTTTTTTTTTAAAACTTACCTTACGAGTTACGACAATAATAATATGTTAATGTGAGTTTGTTTGATAGATGTTAGAGATGAAGATTGTTTGTGAGGAGACGGAGGAGAGTGACACTTCCTTGGCTTCTCGGTTGTGCCACTGTTGTCTTCTTTCCGCCTCTGGTCCCCTGCAAGTGAATTTCAGAACGTTAATCACATGATTTTGATCTATAAACTCTTTAATAACATGAGTATACCTTTGGCTCAGCGATATCATCCTCGATCTCTAACGTGTTAATTTCTCTTGTTAACAGCACAGATGAAGCAGGTTGGAGTCTCCTGTTACAGGAACAAAGTTTTTTTTCTTCTATTTAACCAAACCTGAAAAGAAGAGATAAAAGTAAGATTGTCAAAAGAATAACCTTTTTGGTTTCTGCCCGTTCCTCTGTTTTTTAGTTGATGCAGGTTCTGCTTCACGGGGAGCGGTTTCGATTTCACGAACCTCAGTTGCTTCTGATTTCTCTTGAACATGAGTCTCGGCGATTTTAACCTAGAGGTAAGGGAAAAAGTTTAGTTAAAGCAGTTTTGGAGGATTATGACATTTGATTTGTGTTTCATGAGGAGAAGTCATTAAAATTTGTGGAGCAAGAGAATGGCTAAACCTGTGGTTTCTCACTAACTTCAACATGTCCTGGTGAAGGTGTAAGATCACCTTGCTTGGCACATTTCTGCTCGGCACAGGAGATTTCCTCGTATCCTAAGCCAGGTACTACATTTTCGTTTGGCACATGAGTCTCAATGCATCCTTCTCCACTGACTTCTCTTTTTGGCTCAGCTTCAACACGTTCTGGTGAAGGTGTAGGATCACCTTGCTTGGCACATTTATGCGCGGCACAGGAGATTTCCTCGTATCCTAAGCCAGGTCCTACATTTTCTTTTGGCACATGAGACTCATTGCATACTTCTGCACTGACTTCTCTTTTTGGCTCAGCGTCAACACGTTCTGGTGAAGGTGTAGGATCACCTTGCTTGGCACATGATTTTTCCTCGGCACAGGAGTTTTCCTCGTATCCTAAACCACGTAGTACGTTTTTGTTTGGCAAAGGAGACGCAGACTCATTGAATTTTTCTGCGCTGGCTTCTCTTCTTGACTCGATAAGGTTGCAAGGATCATCATCCACAGTACTCTGAAACTTTGTGATTAGCAATAAGTATCTTTGGTAGGTATAAGAAAGTGACGTATCAAGAAGAAGATCAAAATCATATCCAAACTTACTATCGCATTAGCCAAACTTGGGTCGACCTCGAACTGTTCTTTTGCATGGACAAGTGCTTCTACCTCAGGTATACATGGTTCTACCAGGTTTGGCTTGGAAAATAGGCACGAAGACTTGAGACTGATCAACTCTGTCTCCAATTCACGAGATTTGAGTTGTTCACTTCTAAGACTTTCCTTGAGACTGCAAATGTCACCTTCTGCAACCTAAGATAATAAAAATAGAAGAATAGACATTTAACATAATTCAGCTGTGATATGTCCAAATATCAAGGAAAGAAGCTCCATCACAGACTGTTGACTGTAAATAAATGGCAATGGCACGACATTACTTTTAATTTCTCGTTGTACTGCTTCAGGACATTCCATAAGACTTTAGCAAAATTCCGCATGATGATGTGCTCTCTCTCGGTGTTATCCTGGGCAACATGTTCTACGGTTGGAGATGATATGTCTGTTGGATCAGCTTTCTTTTCCTTCAAATTCACTGGTGAACAATCGCATTAGACATCAAGGAAGCCAAAAATTTTAAGCAAGAGACTAGACTCTGTGCAGTCAAAATGTTTGGAAGATTTTTCAGAGCAAAATCCTACCTTCCTGAGAAACTTGGTTTCTCTTTCCAACAACAATTTCTTCAATCTACAGATAGAAAAGGCATCACTTTTTAGTAAATGGCATGCATAATAACTTTATCGTTCCGCTGAAGACACAAAGAGAAAGCCATAGAGGAAGCCAAATTTACTTGGGAAGTCTTGGGAGCACTGAGTTTAACTTTCTTGTTTTTTTCAACTCTTGGAAATGTCTTGAGCTGCCTCTTGTTGCAAATTTCCTCAGTGTTATCAAATCTAAATAATCACCAAACAGAAAGACATTAGCACTTATGAGAAATGTGGAGTTCATCTTTGTGTTCATCATAACGAACATTACTTGATTTTCATATAAGGTGACGCTTGTTTCAAAAGATAGGAGGTATCAAGATAATCCTCTGCTCCTGCTTTGACTGTTAAAATCTGTAACATAGATATAAGCGGAGAAGACAAATTTTCAAATATACCAGGGTCTCGAAAATTAGCTCTTGTACCAGAACTGAAGAAAAAAAATCCCACAAATACTCATACCAAAGCCATCCTCTTCTTCCCTTCTAGATAATCTCGCAAATACCTTGTTAACTACAGAAAAAAAAACCAAAATCACATTAGCATATAGAGTGAACAAATACTCCAATCACTCATACATCTTTAGATTTTCATCAGACTGTATGAAACAAAGGATTAAGGTAGATGCTACCAAAGAATTTTGATGATGTTTCTGCAGTCCCTTCTTTCGGTTCTTCTGGAACTCCAACAGCGACTGCCAACATATACAACGTGCGCTCATGGTTAGTTAAATTGCAGGCGTAAAACAACAAAAGAAGAAGATAAAACTTGGTCATCTTCAAGGAGTCCAAAATCAATGTCCTTACCCGCAAACATTGTCCGAAAACCATGGATGTATTATTGATGAAATTACTCTCAACCAACCTTTCTCCCTGAAAAACAAATCAAACAGGCAAATCAAACATGAACAAGTTTAATTTTACAGATCAAGACTGTTGACCGATTCCTACTGTGATGCTAAGAACAGGTACTGGACAACATCTTATAGTCAAGCTAGGATTCTTTCCTCTTAACTATTACACTGCATATGTACTTAGAAGGCAAGTACTTCCAGACATGACATATATTTGTGGCTTTGCATATCAAATCTGTAAAAGAGTCCAAACACATAGTCTAAAATAAAAGAAAAATTAAAACCTGATTTCCAGTTCTTTTCTCTCTTTCTGCTCCCGCCAAGTCCACTATCGTCAGCATAGCATCAGCAGACTGCATTTTTGTTTCGTTAGAAACGCCTTCGGATGCTGCTCTTATGTTAATGATGCATTGTGAGCGACTGAAAACATTCCCAAAATTACATTACAGCATGAAGACATTTAGTTAAGCATTAGAACATGAAGACATTCCGAAAAGTTAAAGCCAAGTACCTTGATTGGCTGTTTGAATTTGTTGTAGCTGTTGCACGTTTCAGCATCGCCTGTCCAATTAAGGACTCTGCTTCCTCCAAGTTCTTGATTGGGACCTAATTAACACACACGGTTGAACAAAAAAACTGAGCGTTACAAGATTGATCATTATGAAAACTATAATCAAGCACAAACCTCTTTCAAACCCCTGATGGTTGATTGCTGCACAGACAATTCAGAGCTTCCGTCTCCAAGTAAATCATAAGCTTTCTCCCCTTTCCCTCGTTCGGAGCATATTTCAAACACGGACAAGTAAAATGACCTGAAGAAAAGCAAACAAGATTCATTGTTTCATACAGTTTATCTACACATCCATGATGAGCAATTTGAGATGAGGAAACAGTACCTCAAGGATCCAGGAGAGCTCTCATCGCTCTTCTTGAAAACTTGACGGAGCGTAAGTGGAACGATTCCAGGGTTCTTCGGAGTTCCAAAGACCGTGTGAGTCTTCCCGGAGCCGCTAGGTCCCAATGCCGCCAACATTCCGTTTTTCCCTTTCATGAAATCCTCCAACAATGGCTGAACCATTTTACCATACACATCGTTCTACAAAGAGGAAAAATCTCGTCAACGGTAAGAACCATCTAAGGATTTCGAGCAAAAAAAAAAAAAAAAAAAAAAAGGGAAGTGAAATTGTTACGGGATTCGATCGAACCTGGGAACAATCGGCCGGGAAGACGTGAGAAAACCCTTCGTATACCTCAGTCTTGCTTCGTTTCAGCTCTTGCAACGCTTGAGGCGGAGTTAGTGTGACCGAATAAGGATCGTTGAGGGTGATACAAGCCTCTTCGCTCTTCTGATTCTTCTTCGCGTTCTCCAAATTGGTCTTCTTCGAAGGATTCTGGGGCCAGACATTTCTAGGTCTGCTCCTCGCTGTTGTGGTGGTTGCCTTGGTGAAGGTTTTCAAAGGTTTGATTCTCAGGTAAATCTTCAGACTCTCCGAAACCGACGATTTCGGCTCGGGTTGCGGGATTTGGATGGAGAGAATCTCGTCGATCGGAAACGACGGAACTTGGTGCGTATTCGCGGAGGAGCCCAGAGAGGCGGCAGGCGGCTTAGCTGCAGTGGTATACGGCGTTGCTCTAGCTTTCCTCGGAGGATTCCGTCGCACTGTTACAGTGGAGGGACACGGCGGAGGACTGAGACTTCTCTGTAAGTCCTCCATCGTCTCTTTGTCTCAATGGCGGAAAATGGAGCGTTTTTGGAGTTTCAATTTTCAATTGAAAATGTCAAAATCCTCTTCACTCATTTGATATTTTTTTGGTATTTTTAAAATGTTTTTTTTGGGTACGAATTACGAAAAAAAAAAGGGAAGAATGAATGGGCTTTTAGATCAAGCCCATTATATTTGATCAACAAAAACTTGTACCCCTGCTCTGATTCCTCTTTCTGCGTCTTCTTCTCTCTCTCCGCCTCGTCGCCGCCGTTACCGTCTTCTACTCGTCGCCAAGCGCCGATAAACCGTAAGCACATCTCTTTCATCACCGTTTGAAACCTTTACACCTAAGTCTATAGCTCACTACTCGCAAATTTCTATTTTCTGCTCATAAACTCTGTATATCAGTAAGGTTTCGCCACATGTACTGGTTTTGGTTATTTGCTCAGTTTTTATTTAGTGATTTATGATACTTGTTTGAGTTTATGCTTGTTGTTAGTTCTTAACAATATCTAACTTGTGCTGTTTAGTTTTATACTTCGATTCAAGTTTTTCTTTTAGGGTTTGATTGTGTTTCTGTGGACTCTTGGAAATTAACTCTATTTCGGGATTTATTGTAGGGTGGGAGGTTTGTCAATAGTTCGTGCTTGAAATATTATCCTAATCGTTCTTCTGTAGAATCCATTTTTACCCCCTCCTTGAGTTCTATTAATTTGGTTTCTGTAAGCAATTGTAACATGTAGTGATGTCCTTTGGTGTTTTTCTGTTACAGGTTCTCTAATGGAGAAATCTCGGGAAAGTGGTTTCTTGTTCTGTAATCTGTGTGGGACAATGCTGATCTTGAAATCAGCTAAGCATGCAGAATGTCCACTATGCAAAACACCACGGACTGCAAAAGGTATCAATGAGTTCATTTTGGATTTTTAATTGGATTGATATGCTTTATATATCAAATCGAACAGTTTCTGCTTATTGGTTTGGTTAATCTTATTGTGATTCAAACTTCATTGTTTTTAGAAATCATTGACAAGCAAATAGCGTACACAGTTTCTGCTGAGGTATGTTATTTTTTCCCCCCTTAATTCAGCAGTGTGGATTATTGTCTGGCTAATTTTGTAGCATCATATAAATCTTATATGTCACTCACAAAGATCTGTGTTAATCAGTCGAATTTGGCTTCTGTTTCATGGAGTAGCAAAATATCTTTCTCTTGATTACTTTCCGTCCATTGTATTTACTTATTAGGCAGTGAACGCACTCACACCGTCGACTGCTATGTAATTAGTTTCAAACCTGAAAATGGACACTCTGCTTTTGTTATTCTTGTAAGAACATTGCATCATTTGAGCAGTCTAAACCCTCTTTTGTGGTGTTCTTACGGAGTCTATCCCAATGCGGAGTTAAGTATACAACTCATGATTATTGCTTTTGTAGGATATCAGAAGAGAACTAGGAATCTCTCTCTTTGGTGAAAAAACGCAGGAAGAAACTGAGCTACCAAAGGTTTCTAAGATTACAGCATCAAAAACCATATGACGCTTTCTCTCTCAGTCCCTAACTTGTGATTTTGGCTTATTCTCTTTGCAGATCAAAAAGGCGTGCGAGAAATGCCAGCACCCTGAGCTTGTTTACACAACCAGACAGGTAAGTCCAAAGCTTTTCAAGTTCTTGTCTTCTCTTTCATGTCAAAGCATGTATTCATCTTGAGTTTTTCTTATTTGCAGACAAGATCAGCGGATGAAGGGCAGACAACATATTATACTTGCCCCAATTGTGGACATAGATTCACAGAAGGTTGAGATATTTATCATATCGTGAGCTCGATCATTCACTGAGAATACCAATTTTGTTTCTTACATCGGATATGACAACAAACTCTATATTCAATGTCAATCATTATCGTTTGTATTGTTTCTTACATTGATTTATACAACTCAATATATTCGATGTGTTGTTACAAGAATTTTTTTTTTTATTAATCTCAGAGAAGAAACATCAAATTGAAAATCTTTAACGACAAGGCTATATTGTGCCAAGAGAGCCTTTTAAAAAAGTCACGGCTTAACAAATCACACAAAGTAGAGAGAGTTCTATCACTTTCAAAAGAACAAGACAGACCCAAGCCCATAAAATTAACAAAAAGCCCATAGGACTTATTTTATTTGTAACCTCGTCAACGTTAACGTAGCACCACCTTCACCGGAGCTGTAAAACTCGCCGGTTGTTATCAGAGGCGACGCCATTGACTTTCCCGCCAGCTTCTGCGTTGCAGCGAAGCTTCGGTTTGATCGAGAACCTAGGCATGGGCAAACTACTCGGCGGAGGAGATAATAACAAGATCGCTGGACCGGGGTAACCATCAAATCCTGTAGGAAAATCACCCGGGTAGTTAGACCGGACCGGAACCGAACCGGTTCGAGTCAAACTAGCTACCGAGTCAGCAAACTCTACTTTCTTCTGCTGTGTTTCAGACGATGCTCTTGTTTGAGCACAAGGAAGAGTCGTGCTGTTGACACGTTGCCTAAAACTGTTGACGCGTTGCAGAGGGAGAGTAGAGCTGTTGACACGTGGAAGAGGGAGAAGAGGAGGCTGCGAGTAATTAGTCGGCGGCGGAGGATACGCCGGCGAAGATCCCCAAGAAGACGCCGGATTGATCGGAAGAGCCAGACTTCCTCCGGATCTCGAAAGCGAACCACGAGAACCCCTTCTTTTAGGGTTCTTGAATGGTCTCAAACCCGAAACCTGTTTACCCGGTGAACGTTGCACTGATATTGTTTCCATTGGTAATGTAAATTCCAAGAAAAGAGGGTGTTGTATGAAGATATCGAACAATAAAACAAGGGTACGTAGAACGGAAAAAGATATATCTGTATGTGTATTTTAATGGCGACGATCTACCAAATAATACGATCGAAAGCCCTACAAGCTGATAAAATTTTCAATGTTTATTTAACAAAAAAAAAAAAAGAGGGAGAGAAGAAGAGTTTCTAAAACGTGTTAATATTTAAACTTCCATTACAAGATCCGAAGGATCGTTCGATAGTAAATAAACTCGTTCTAAAGAACCCTAACCTCGAGAGGGCAGATGTTGCCAGACACTGGCAGGGCTGTTTCCTTTTATAAAGGAAATCACCAATAATAATGTTTATTTGTTTAATACATAATTTATTTTCTTAAGTATTTATTTGTTTGTTTTAGACTAAAATGTTAAGTTGATAGAATATTTATGTTTATAGCTTCAAGTTTACATTCCATTTGCGCACAAGTCCCGGGAAACACTGTAGGACGGTCACCGCCGATTTGATATTGACCGTAGGATCATGAAATAAGTATTACAATAGCCGTTGGGAGAATCTGAGCCGTCTAACACGGGATCTGTTTTTGGTACATCTTGACCATACACGTCGGTATCATCGGTGGCTTTCTTCCTTGATGACCTCACGTGGAGGGAAAGTGTAGGTCCCAGTCAATTCTGCGACCGTAGATCTTGATTACGTGGCATCATACCAGCCATTCATCGTTGTCGTGAGGTTTTCCTAGAATAGGATTGGTCGGTATCTTCATGCATCGTTTGCATGTGCCTGCCATAAAAATAATAACAAGGAAGAGATATCGAATAGTTGTATTTTATATGGTGGGCATTATAATAAAAACCATCGAGGATATCACTACGATATTGTTTATTGCGTATTGATCCATTTTTTTATAAATAATATAAACGCAAATGATAGGGTATAATGTTACCATTTGAACGATTAATAAGCATAGCTAGAAATCTAATAAACTACTGGATTGCGAATCAAAACACATTGTCATTATCTTAATGTTGCCATCTGAACGATTGAGCCAATCGGCATTACCAAATCTTTAATGGCGGAATTTTGTTTTTGTTTGGTGTAGAAAATAGAAAATTCACAGCTGACGGCTAACATTACAAAATTTAAAAAAAATATACAAAATAGCATCTAACCAACTATAATCCTGCTGCGGCTCTAATCATGATTTGTCAACACATACACGTCTTACATAACAAATCAACATATGTAATTTGTTCACAAACTTCAAAGATTGGTATGAATTTTTGTCCATATTTTAACGAGTGTCGAAAAGAATCAATATACTTTTGAGTTAAAACAATTTAACTCAAGCACTTAAATATATTAATACTAAAACAACATAATTATATATAAGATTCAATTAACTGCAGGTGGGATATCAATACTAATTCTAAAATTTAATTAGTCGATGAGCTTTGGAACACCAAAACAGATATATAGACTTATGTGTGTACTAGTGTATATATATATAGCTTATACGGAGTTTGGTTGATGGATTGTCTATGTAGGATTACTATTATATATATATATATATATATAACTTTGGATGATGATAGCTTTTATTTTTTACTTGTTTTGGGATGATCATGGTTAGGTGTGGTTACTCTTTTCTTTTCATCCTTTCGTCTCACATATAATATTTAATACATTACAGCGTGTTTGGTAGAACTTTTGTTCAATTTGTTGACTTTCATTTTTTCAACCAAAGAAATCAAAATTTAGCACATTTTGCACTTAAGTCCAATATATATAATGTATTAATATATACAAAGATGCATATTTTTATTTTATTTTTTTGTACTCCATGATAGCATAAGAGGTATTTATGAACTATTTAATGATGCCCTTACTGGGTCGGGGCTCTTATGTTATCAAGGAGTGTCTTCTGAAGATTGAACAAAAATTAATTTACACTTCACACATATGTTATATATCAATATGGTTGGATCCCAGACAGAAAAATTGTGGATCAAAATTCAGACTAGTATCAGTATGTATAATAGCATGTAAATTTGTTGCTAAAAAAATATTAGATTACGTATACTATACTAAAAGTAATGTATGCAAAGCTCAAAATATAAGCTCGTATCTTGGTTTTTCTTTTAGCAAATAATTTCGGAGCTTTTGATCCACACTTTTTCGAATAAAAGATATTGCAATTTCCTGTTTTCCTCTTACTTCACAAAAAAAAAAAAAAAAAAAAATTTCCCACATTTACAGAGCTGCCAGCTAGGGTTTAATTATGTGGACTTACCACGAGGATGCATTGCTACTTTTGGAGTCGTCTTTAGCGAATGACGTGGTCCACTATGATTAATATTACTTTGTGCACCGACCATATCCTAGACCACGTACTTCACTTTGTATTCTCCAATACCCTAGTTTTGTTTTAGATCTGCTTTTCTTTATGATCACTTGCATTTAGAAATATTTAAATTAATAGACTAGTACATGCATATATATGGTACTTATGTAGTGTGTATATATGGATGGGATCTTTTTTGTTATATATAAACATAAGATCATTTTGAATGGGATCTTTTTTGTTATATTTAAACATAAGATCATTTTGAATGGGATCTTTTTTGTTATATACTCCTATAAACATAAGATCATTTTGAATGGGATGTAATTATATGGATGTAAGTATATATGTAACCTATAAGGCTATAAGATCATTATTTATCTCCAGTTAGGATATTGATTATGTGAGACATTTGTAAGCACCGAGGCAAGTAACATTGTCCCTTCAGTTTCGAATTGGATCAAATCTCTGTGGAAATAAGTATCAAATATATATGGACATATCACACAACTTACATAACATATATATTGACACTTGTTTAAATTGCTGACGACGCGCGTATAACGCAAATTACACAATAAATATATATATTACAAGTAGGTGTATAATACATATCATTATACATAAATTAAAAAAAAATCTCATATATGATACATCTAAATATTTGTCGTTACATCCGAAAGATTTTCGATGATTATTTACATTGAGATGATAAGAGCTTAACGGGAAGGCTTTTCCATCAATGGGCTGTATACTTCGGCCTTCGGGGGGCATAGACATGTCAAGGCACATTGCAAGTATTAATTTTCCTTGCGCTTTGTCATTTGAAATTAGTTTCAACCCTTCAACCTGTGAACCAAAATAAAATGGTTATGTCTTTTTAATTTCTCTAATGACACCTGTACTGGAATAGTAGTTCCACTCTTGTTGGGAAGAAAAGTTACAAAACTTATCGGATTGTGGACCAAAAAACTTGTTGGATTCTCGAATTATTATTATTTTTAAATTATACAAGATCCCTATGGAATGTTTGGGAAGAAGATCCTTTTTTAAAAAAATCTGATTAATTGGTACAAGAATGTATCTTATTCTTACTACTAGAAAATAGGATAGTGGGAAAGAAGAAGAAAATGTTATATTAATTTCACACAGCAAAAGACAAGATTAACGAGTAAGCAACAATATGGGAAACGAGAAGTTGAAGCAAAGGTTTTATGAAAAGTCCGTATTTATCGACACCATTGAAACAATCAAATCCAGCCAAACAAATGGACGTTTCCGAGAGACTCCGTACATAACGCTCTTGAAAGTTTCCTATTCCAAACCGTTTTTTTTTTAAGTCTCTGATCAAATTTCTCTCAAGTGAATGAAAATAGTAATGTGACTATATATGTTTTTGTGGGGATTTAACTTTCTCTAACGTAAATCCATGGCCAAATAACCATATTAAATTTTTCTCCCTCATCAATGTGATGTCCTCTTTCTCGATTATTTTTTCGTGGTTCTAAATAGGAGAAATCCGAAGAGTTTTTTTTGTTTGGTCTCCAGGAGATTTGATTTTACGAAAAATGGGAATAATCAGCACAATATTGGGTGCGATTGGTTTCGGATTCGGAACGACGATCGGAATCGTTTTTGGTTACTACCTGTTCATCTATTTCCAGTCAAGTGATGTTCAGGCATCTTCCAATCTTTTATTTTTCCCACTCTAATGCGACATTTCGTGTGATGAATCTTATACAATATAATACGACCAATCCATTGATGGAGTTATCTATTTTCGTCTCCATAATTTTTGCATGCATGAAAGCATACAGTCACTTATTTATTTCGTGCAACTTTTTTTGTATTGATCGATTGGGTTTTTATAAACTATACGTGGAAATTTGTTAAAATTCGATTGTTGAATTAGGGATTAATTAGTAATCGGTGAAGCTGAGCTCTGTGAATTCTTATAGTGTGATTCTTGCTTAGCTAAAAGTTTATTTGTTAATTATTTTTCCATTTTTCACTCTTTATTTAGGATCCTGAGACAAAGCCACTGGTGGAGTTAGATTCAGAGACTATAACAAAAATGTTCCCTGAAATACCTTTGTGGGTGAAAAATCCTGATTTTGATCGTGTATGTTTCTCTACTTCCTTTTAATTGACTTATAATATATAGAGATATTATGGTCTAATAAATTTGTAACAAAGTCTCTCTGTTCTCTTTGAAGATTGATTGGCTTAACAAGCTCATTGGCCATATGTGGCCTTACATGGACAAGGTAAAGTCTTCTTCATCTTCTTAGCTTTCATGTTTTTGCCTTTCAGTCTTCAATTACTATCAACATTAATGTTTCTTGTAACGTTTTCAGGCTATTTGTAAGATGGCCAAGTCGATTGCAAAACCCATTATTGCTGAGCAAATCCCAAACTACAAAATCGATTCGGTTGAATTTGAAATGCTCACTTTGGGTTCATTACCACCAACTTTCCAAGGTCTTCTCCTTGTGTGTTTAAATACTCATAGAGATACACATTCTTGTTCTTCAAACTCATCTTCCTTTTGGAAAAATGTTTTGTTTCTAATTCTCAATATCATTTGCAGGTATGAAAGTTTACGCAACTGATGACAAAGAAATCATTATGGAGTTGTCAGTGAAGTGGGCAGGGAACCCTAATATCATTGTTGCAGCCAAAGCATTTGGGTTAAAAGCCACTGTTCAGGTAATTTTTTGATCGCTATATCCCCCAAGAAAACAAGTAAATTTTTTTTCTGATTAATTGCAAGATTGTATCATCAGGTTGTTGATTTGCAAGTTTATGCTACTCCAAGAATCACTCTGAAGCCATTAGTCCCATCTTTCCCCTGTTTTGCCAACATATTTGTCTCTCTTATGGATAAGGTATGGATTCAAAAATAGTATAAAACTTTTTTGTATAACACTTAAAACACAAAGAGAGCCTAAAATGCGATTTCTTCTGCAGCCACAAGTAGATTTTGGACTGAAGTTACTAGGTGCAGATGTAATGGCGATTCCTGGCTTATACCGATTTGTCCAGGTACGACGTTTTTGGAAGAAGCAGTTTTCCTTTCCTTCCCATCCAAGCAAACATTTTTGTTCGGACATGAAGCTGTGTAAGAACCGTTTCTTGGGTTCATTGCTTATATGTTGTAGGAACTCATTAAAGATCAGGTTGCAAACATGTACTTGTGGCCAAAGACTTTGAATGTACAGATAATGGATCCTTCCAAGTAAGTTTTTTTCAACCCTAAAGTACCACTTTCTACTACTATTGAGACTTTTTCTAAATGTCAAAATTTTCATGACCTGCATGCAGAGCAATGAAGAAGCCTGTTGGATTGCTTAGTGTGAAGGTCATAAAGGCAATAAAGCTCAAGAAGAAAGATCTTCTCGGTGGATCAGACCCTTATGTGAAACTAACACTCTCTGGAGACAAAGTTCCTGGTAAGAAGACAGTTGTTAAACACAGCAACCTGAATCCTGAGTGGAACGAAGAATTCGATTTGGTTGTCAAAGATCCAGAGAGCCAAGAGTTGCAGCTCATTGTTTATGATTGGGAACAGGTAAACCACAACTCTCTGTGAATTAGCTTGTTACTGAATCTTTAACGATCATTTTTCTTGTTGAACACATTTTCAGGTTGGTAAACATGATAAGATAGGAATGAATGTGATTCCGATCAAAGACCTAACACCAGAGGAACCAAAACTCATGACGCTTGAGCTCGTAAAATCCATGGAACCAAACGAGCCAGTTAGCGAGAAATCGCGTGGACAGCTCGTTGTTGAAGTCCAATATAAACCTTTTAAAGAAGATGATATTCCAGACAACGTTGATGATCCAAATGCAGTTGAGAAAGCACCAGAGGGTACACCTTCTGGTGGTGGTTTACTTGTGGTGATTGTTCACGAAGCTGAAGATTTAGAAGGCAAATATCACACAAATCCTTCTGTTCGTTTGATGTTCAAAGGTGAAGAACGTAAAACCAAGGTAAACAAAACTTCTCTTACAACCTCAAAATTCAAAACTGAATATCTTTCAACATGTGAATAAGACATCATATTTGGGTTTTGAAACACATTTGGTTTTGATTTGCAGCGTGTGAAGAAAAACAGAGAGCCAAGATGGGATGAAGATTTTCAGTTTCCATTGGATGAGCCTCCCATAAACGATAAACTTCACGTTGAGGTCATAAGTACTTCTTCACGTTTAATTCATCCTAAGGTACTTTTGAATCTCTTTAAAGATAGCATCAGAATCAGATATTTGAGCAAGCAAGAACAATCGTTTTGATTTGATTTGAGTTGGCTTCCTTTTATCAGGAAACTCTTGGGTACGTGGTGATTAATCTTGGCGATGTTGTGAGTAATCGAAGAATCAACGATAAGTATCATCTGATTGATTCTAAGAATGGTCGGATTCAGATTGAGCTTCAGTGGAGAACTTCTTAAGTCAAAAGGTTCTTGTTTCTTCTCCTAGGGCTTAAGAAAGAACACTTTTTGGTTTCGAGATCCTTGCATTGTACGTAATATCTCTAGATATAAAACTTAATTTTTGAATTTTGAGCATAATGGGCCTAATCCTATATTCAAATGGGCTTCGTGGACATTACTGGGCCAATTGTTTTTTTTCTTTTCTTTGTATTGGCCTCATCCTATACTCAAATGGGCTTATTGGAAAAAAATGGATATTTTCACGTTTTTTTTTTCTGGATAAATCTACGGGAAAATATGCTAAAATGTCACTTTTGTACAAAAACGAATTTTTACGTTTCAATCATTCAACGTTTTATTTAGCATTGTGCATATATATTTTAAGTTTTGCAGTTTCTTTTTTTTTTTCATTTACGAATTAAAGAAGCCTGGTTATCAATTTAATGATTATATAAAAAAACTTATTTTATTTGCGAATACAAAATGAGCTGGAGTTAGTTAATGAAGAACAGTGGGATGGTTGATAGTTGGTGAATAGTTGGTAGGGACGAGGAGGAGAAGAAGTAGTAAGATTAACTTCTTTGATAATGATGATTTGGTTAACTCATACCTTCCCCACTATTTTTCTTGATTTCATTCCGCAATTACTTCATCTAACCTCTCTGATTTCATTTAATCCATGTCCCACACACACATACAATCAGTTTCAAATGTCATAACTAAAGAAAATGAGTGATTTGGGAAAAGTATTCTAAAATATCTGCAAATTACTAATCAAAAAGCTTTGTTCTCTTGAAAAAAATCTATGATATTGTTTTATTCTATAAATATAATTATAAACAAATTTGTTGACAAAGAAAAGAAAATCAAAGATATGGATTGAAAAAGTTAAAGATAAGCACAGGATGTCAATTAGCTACACTAATTATGATGGTTTCATCAAATTTAACAACGAAGCTACCGTCTGGTGTGATTATGATTCGGTGATGGGACATTCAGTGATGTGGCGGATCGTTATTGGTTGATTTAGTTAGAGCCGGGCACGTCCCGTTAGACTCTGGTCGCCTATGTTTCGTAGTCCGAAGGGAATTATAAAGGAAAGAAATGAATCGTGCCGTAACACTAAGTGGCACGTTCTCGATGAGAGTTGCCATATCCAATGATTATAGATTTCATTATTGGCTTCTCGTAATGTTTCCATACTAGTATAAAATCTCTCTTTTGCCATTTTTTTTATTTTTTTGGGCTACATATTACAAAGTCTCTCGTAGATCAACCGCGAAATTAAAAACACACAACATACACTTAATGAGATAACAATTGAAAATTTTCAGTCTCAACTATATATATATAGCAAAAACCAAAATTAAAAGAACTTTGAAAATTCGATAAATACAACGTGCAGTAAATATATACCGAAGATGATAATAAAAACATTCATGACATGTTTGTATTCTTCTTGGTTTTAGGAAACGGATCGGTCCTCTTTCAAAATTCAAAATCCGTGACATAAAAGAAAAGAAAAAAAGAGATTTCAAAATTTGAAAAACAATAAACACGAAATACGTGGTGAATATATAAAGTAATAATAAATTTTAAAAATAAAATAGGGATGAGTGTATATGATAAGGAGGTGTTTGGTGTAGCATTAGCTGGCACATAGTTGTATTGTATTACTCTCTCTGTCTTTAGTCTATAGGCTCATCTCAAAGTCCATCAATCAACCGCCAAAAAAAGAAGAAGGGCATCTTCTTCTTCTCTCTTTCTCATCGATTTCACTTTGCCATTTTTTAAAAAAATTGTTCCGTTTGGGGTTTCTCAGATTCATAAGCTTGCGAGTTCGATTTTTGAGTTTGGTTCTTAGGAATGTCGAGTGTTTGAGGAAGAAGAAGCAACGAAGGGGATTTTGAAGGTTTTCGATCCGGCGGAGATGAGTGCTTCGAGGTTCATTAAGTGTGTTACCGTCGGAGATGGCGCCGTCGGAAAAACTTGCATGCTGATTTCTTACACAAGCAACACTTTCCCCACAGTAATTTTCGTCGCCGAATTTTTGTTTCTAATTTCAATCAATATCTGTTTGAGCTCGTCACAACTCGCAAGAGTAGATTACTGATCTGTTGAAGCTTCCTGCGAAATGGAATTTTAGGAGATATAATCTTATAATTTGCTAGTAAATTCTGTGTGGAAAAGATTGATATATATATCTTCAATTCGACGATGTTTTGATCCCAAGATGATGACATATTCGTGATCAATTTCGTTAGAATTTCAGGATTTAGCATTTGATCATGATGAAGCTATGATGTTTTAACACATAAATCCTTGGATTGTGGTCGATATTTTGCAGGACTATGTACCAACTGTTTTCGACAACTTCAGTGCTAATGTGGTTGTAGATGGGAACACAGTCAATCTTGGATTGTGGGACACAGCTGGTAATTCTTTGGAACAAACCGGTTCAGTGTTGTGATTTTGCTTTTTGTTTTCGTGTTTGATTTGGTTTGTTTTTTTTTGGGGTCTGAAAACAGGTCAAGAAGACTACAACAGGTTAAGACCTCTGAGTTACCGTGGAGCCGATGTTTTCATTCTTGCTTTCTCTCTGATCAGCAAGGCTAGCTATGAGAATATTGCCAAAAAGGTTTTTTTTTGCTCTTTTGCATCTATAGTCCATTACAACTTGTGATGAGTGTGTAAAACATAAGTCTAATTCTTATCTTGTTTCCTTATATGCTCCTCTCTCAGTGGATTCCTGAGCTCAGGCATTATGCTCCTGGTGTTCCCATTATCCTCGTTGGAACAAAACTTGGTAATCAAACTCTTTTCCTGATTCAACTGATCATGCCAAAGATCTTTGTTCATGTTCTTAACTTTTTCTTACAAACTTGTGAGATTGTGAAATCTTTGGTATTTGCAGACCTTCGAGATGACAAGCAATTCTTCATAGATCATCCTGGTGCAGTGCCAATTACTACAAACCAGGTACTTAGTTTTTGTAACAGGGTTAGTCTCGCAATGATTGCCAGTTTTTGATGAAATACAGTTTAATATTGTTATGAATGATGCAGGGAGAGGAACTGAAGAAGCTAATTGGATCTGCGGTCTACATTGAATGTAGTTCAAAGACACAGCAGGTAGACATTAAAAAATCCCTTGTACTGGTTCTTAACTGCTTACTGTTTGCATTGTTAAGAGGCTCAAATTGTTGGTGTTTTTCATTTGGGGTTTCTGCAGAACGTGAAGGCCGTGTTTGATGCAGCCATAAAAGTGGTTCTCCAGCCACCAAAGCAGAAGAAGAAGAAAAAGAACAAGAACCGTTGCGCGTTCTTGTGATAAAAATATCGCTAAGACTAGGGTAAACAACTAAAAAAAAATGAAGAAGAAGAAGATGAATTTTCAACTGTTTGATTCGTCCCCATCCCTAATATGATAATTTCGACTTGAAGGGAGACATTTCGAGTAGGCTTTTGTATAGTTGCTAAAACAAGCTGTGTTGTTGTGTCTTTTACTATTTGCTGGTGAATCTTTTGAGGTCACAGTGTGTTCTACTCTTGCTATGTAGACTAATCTCTCTCTCTGTTCTCTTTTGTTCGTGATGGGGGATCATTTCGTATTGACATATGAATCTAATTACTTTTGCAATTTCTTGTTCTTGCTTTAAAGCTGTTGTCATCTGCCTGACACCAATTGTAATATGCAAGTGCTCTGGTTGAACATGATATGATGAGAGTTCATTCTGTCTGATCATTTGATCAAACTATATTTAGAGTCAACGTCTTTGAACTTTTTTTTTTCTCTGGAGAGGTTTTGGTTGCAATAATTTATGTAGACGAAGATAAAAAAAATACAGAGATCATTCAATTATTATTGATCTTTGTGATTGTTACAATCAGTGGAACTGTACAAAGCTAAGGCCTAAGGCTAAGCTGTGAAAGAACAAAAGAATACGGAGACCTAAAATAGGACTGTATATGGTAATGAAAAAATTCCCACATCAGATAAAAACTGAGCTCTAGGCAAAGAGGAACCTCCTGACTTCTGCAAGCTAATGGCCACGCCTTCACCAATCTTCATAGTAGAAGACTTCTCTTGTTGCGCCCTTGCACCAAAAAGCCAATCATCGTCTTCCTCCATCGAAATGGAGGGAAGTACACATTCATCAAACAATGAATTATACCGACATTCTTTGCTAGTCCTATGTTTCTTTCTCTTCTTTGACTCGGAAGAAAATGCAGTCTCAAGAGAAGTCGAAAGCTGATTCTCAGCATGACCAGACACAGAACTTGCTATTTCGCTGGGTCGAACAATCCCCGAAGTGGAGCAAACAAGATCCTCTTGAGGCACAACAACCTCAGCTTCTTTCGGTTTCTTCAAGACAAAACGTATCCGTAGTGGCTTACCAGCAACAGGCGTAGCTGCAAATGATTAGAATGATTTGAGTTCAGTACATGTAACAACACAGTACCAAGAAACAGAAAAAATCTTGAACAATAAAAAAAAAAACACAAACCTGTGACATTACTCTCGACAACAGGAGAAGCTTCCCTTCTTCTCTTCTTACTATTCTGGCTACCATCAGACAAATACCCAACATGGTGTTCTTCTGTCAAACAACTCTTCTCAAGCTGTTCCGATTCATCAGAGACTTGCTTGCTACTAGGGGTCACATACTGCAGTGTAAGGGATATCTCATTCGTTTGTTTCTTTTCTCTCTTTTTCCCCTTCTTCTCTTTCCGGTGCACCTTTTTAGAATCGACTATTTGTCTCTCGATCTTTATAATCCATCAGAATAAAGGATTTAGACTAGAGGACACATTAAGGATTATTCGATAACAGCCACAACCCATAAACGTGGGTACAATCATTCAAAAGCTTACAAGTCAAAATCATATATCAACGACACGTTTCTATGGTTTGACTATAGATCAGGACCAAACCAAACCAAACAACGGACATGTTTGCACGATATCGTTTTGAGAGAAATGGAAAATATTAAGAGGACAATCAATCAATTCGCAAAAGTATGAATATGATTAGATTAATTTCATAGATCTGTATGCATATATTGTAGCAATTCAATCAAGGAGATATCAATTTACCTACAATTATAACAATTAGCATCTTATACGCAACCTAGCCATATCTACAGTTGGTGTATTAAAATCGAATTTTAACATCAGAATTAAATCCCAGGATAGGGAAGACCGTGCGAATCAATCACAAGAACTGACTACTCAACGAACCTTAGTCGATTCGACCAAGTTCTGACCGTTCGCCCAGTTCCTCGCATACACAGGCGGTGGAGATGTGAAATATCGCGACATCGTTTTTTCTCCCCTTTCTCAGATCGAATCGGTTAAACAGTAAAACGGACACGGACAAGGATACAGATACAGATACGGACAGGGACTAATCGAACCTAGGTTTCGTATCACGCCTAAGGAACCTCTTTTGTGGCGCGAAATCAAACGGAATCGAAACGAGAGACGAAGAAGAGAACCCTAAATTTCGTGTTTTTCACGATTCGTATTGGCTAATCGAAGAGAGAGAGAGAGATGAGAAAGTAATGGTGAGGGTAAGGTCTATATTTAAAGACGCGTGAAATACTGAGATCCGCCGACTCGGCCTATACTTACGTTTTGGGGGGAATAGAAAATGAAAACCCTAATCGTCAGATTTTTCGTAAGGGCTATTTTCGTGATTTACCATCTCCGTGAAACTCGGTCCGAGATTGCTACGTAATCTGAAATACCCTTTTTACCCCTTCCGTAACTTTACTTTTAACTTTATTATTGGGCTTAATATCGTTAAAGCCCAATTCCTTTTTCCTATCACTGACTGAAAACCCATTGTTAGTACGAGGAGGAAGTAATTACAATCCTAAATTTCGATTATGATGTCCGAATGGGTTCTTGCACAGAAAAAAACAGCTAAAATAATCTGTACGTATCGATCACGCGTTAAAATCATCTCCTACTTCTAATCGACCGTTCCTTATAACGCCACGTGTATTCATAAGGAAAACTTAACTTAGTTCGCGACACATACAATACTCCCTCACCAAATTATTCCCTTGACCCGATCTATTCATCTTCTCCCACGCTTCGTCGTCATCGTTTACCCTCCGATTGATCCGATCGAATCATCGCCGTCGTGAAAGCGAACAAACTCCGAATCACCGATCAGCGATGCAACAGGGAGATTACAATTCGTACTATCACCACCAGTACCCTCAATTTCAAACCCCTACGCCGAATCCTAATCCCAACCCATCCCCGCCGGCGCCCGCCGTTTCTGGTCCGACCGATCTTTCCCGGAACACGTATGCATCCGCCCCACCGTTCACCGGCGGTTACGGTGCCGCTGATTACTCCAACTATTCCCAGAATTACCCTTCTTACGGGCAAAACACTGATCACGTCCCTCCTTCAGCTCCTTCCTTCACTCCCGCGGCACAGCCACCTCCTCCGTCTCCGCCGGCGACGTCCTTAAACCCTAATTCTTATTCAAGCTTCAATCAACCGCCCACGATTCATCCACCTGCATCAACCTACGGATCATTTGATTCTACTGCCCCTTATCAGCAATCTACCACGCAGCCGATGTATTATCCACCGTATGATCAGCATCAGACCTCTGGCTATTCTTCTGCACCTCATCCTCCGCCTCCATCTGCGGCTGCGCCGATTCCTAATCCCGTTCATGCTCCGCCTTACTCATCCTCCTTGTACTCGGCACCTCCGTACAGTGGCGGAGGATCCTCCATGCCTCCTCCTTCGTATGAAAAACCATACGACAAGCCGGTCAAATTCGATCAACCTGCTTACGGCGATTACAGCCGGAGCAGATCGGATGTAGGCTCAGATCCATACGGGAAACGAACTGAGAGCGGAGGGTACCCTGCTTTCGAAGATTCATATGGAGATGGCGTCTATGCCTATGAAGGAGGCAAAGTAGAGCCCTACGGGTCTCGTGGAACTGCGCCGAAATCATCCAATTCGACGTTGTTCGACGATTATGGACGATCCATCAGCTTTTCTTCAGGTAGAGATTCCTCTGCTGGCTCGAAATCTGCCAAGATCGTCAGAGCTGTCCCCAAGGCTGATGTGCAGGAAGATTCCACTGGTGGTGTTCAGAAGTTCCGTGTCAAGCTCTTGGCTGAGACCTACGGACAGACCACGACAGATGTTCTTTGCCAGGTAATATAAAAATTTGCTTCATCTTGTTCAGTCAATGATCTGATCATTTTAATTTAAACCCTGTATACCTAGGAAGTCTGCTCATAATTAAAGGTTTTTGTGGTAAGCAGATTGGTTTGGATGGTCTACGTATGCTTGATCCAAGTACTAGCCGAACTTTGAGAATATATCCTCTTGAGAACATCACTAGATGCGAAGTAAGTGATTATAGCTACCTTTCTTCCCAATTTTGTTTTCATGTTCTATTTTTTGTGAATGAAAGTCTTATATATCTATTGTAATGATCTTTCTACCAGAAACTAGATTCTTCTATTCTGGCTTTTTGGTCCAAGACTCCTGTAGACATTGAAGCTAAACGTATCAGACTGCAATCAAATAGTTACACCACCAACACTCTTCTGGACACAGTGACGGCTGCGATGTTTCAGGTTCCTAAACACCTGCATGTTTTAGTCCTGTAAATTTCAATTCTATCGTGCTTTCCGTTCACTAATCCGATGTTTTTCTGATGGTGGGTTTTAGGCGAAGGAGATTGGGGGAAGTAGCAGGCCTCCTTCCTCTGGCAAACTGATTGAGCAATCTGCTGAGAAGAAGAAAGGATTGGGTGATTGGATGAACATTATAAAGCCTGTAAATGAGGAGAAAGATCATTGGGTAAGATTTTTTCGTTTCTTTGGAAAGTTAACATTATTCTCTTGTAGTCTTCTTGGTTAGCTGTGGTTTCATTGTTCTCACTCCATTTATCTCTGGCTTCAGGTCCCTGATGAAGCTGTTTCGAAGTGCACATCGTGTGGGTCAGATTTCGGTGCATTTATGCGAAGGGTACTGTTTCTCCTCCTGGTCTTATAATCTGGAATTAAGTTCTCAGGCACGTAGGGACTGACAAACCTTATGGATTGTTATTTTTTGTTTCAGCATCACTGCAGGAACTGTGGTGACGTCTTCTGTGACAAGTGCACTCAAGGTAGGATTGCTCTCACCGCTGAAGAGAATGCTCCCCAAGTCCGTGTTTGCGACCGGTGCATGGTATGTGCTCTTATCTATCCTGCTCATTTTTCTTTCCCATGGATTCCTGAGTATATGTTGATCTAGCTTTGACATCTAGAACCTTGGTTGGCTGTTGTAGTTAAAAAAGTAAAATTGTACTGGAAAAACTTGTTATTGTCGGAGTAGGTCTCTAAGCTTTAAAAGTGTTGCTGCTTATATATGAATCTGATTCTTGATGTGTAGGCAGAAGTGTCACAAAGGTTGAGTAATGCCAAGGAATCCGCTAGCAGGAACGTGAGTGTGCAGAGCCATGAAGACCTCGCTAGGAAACTACAGGTGTGCTTTATCTCACTAGCCTCTTTTACTAAGTTTTTAAAAATTTAGCCGTCGAGTTGATAACGGGCACAAACTATAGAATTGTTTTTCTGATTGCGGATATGTTTGACACAGGAGGAAATGGAGAAAAACCGCAAGTCCTCATCTGGTATAATACTTGATGTTTAATATACTTGATGCTTTTGATTTGTTGTATCTGGTCACATGTATATAGTTACTGATAATGATAGGTATGGTTTCAACAGGTTCGAGGGAAGGATCTGGGAGACGGATGAAGGAAGTAGCTTGTCCAACATGCACAGTGCACTTGCAGGTTAGATCCGTTGATAACACTTCTTTCTTTGTATAGTAATATGTGTCGGTGTGTATGTATCATCTTGCAAATACAATGACGAAATAGAATAGATAGACGAGTGTTGATATCTTGTTATGTTCCATTTGAAATGCAGGTTCAGGTTCCAATCTCAGGATCAGAGACCATTGAGTGCGGAGTTTGCCAAAACCCTTTTCTCGTTAGCGCGCATTGATCCTTCCTTACCTGCTTTTCTTTTTGCTTCACACATATATCCATTAAAAGTATGAGATTTGGTTATTGAACTGGGTTTTCTTATAACCAAAATAAGTTCCTGGTCCCGTCTCATGTGGGTGTTGCTTCCCTTTTGTGTGTATATCAAAGTCGTTTGAGTGAGAAACAGTCGTATTTTATCCACCCTGGCTCTTTGTTGGCTCATTGGTTTATTTACTTACTAAAACAAAACCTTCAATGTCTCTCTTCTTTGTTTAATACAAACTTTTTCCAACACAAGGAAGGATTTTCCAAAAATGGGTAAGAAAGAAATAAATTAGTCCGAACATCAACAGAAAAAGAGTTATTCAAAAGATTGATTTTTATTTAAAAAAGGACTGGCTACTAAAATAGCAAATTAAGGCGGGAATCGAAAGCAGAGCGGGTCGCACCAGAGACTAGACATTTGCGACGCTGCTTTTGAGTTTTCTAATTTCTTCAGGCAAGCTCCAAGTTAAGTTTAATAGAAAAGTGAAAGTGATGGATGGTTTCCTGAAAATAAGGAGTGTTTTATGTGTGTGGATGATATAAGAAGCCATAAGTGATAAGCATCTTTCTCTTCTAGCCATTTAAACCGCATGCTCGTGTCTACAAATTTTTTGTCTATCTGAGTAAAGTCACTTTTGGGTACTTTTGTGACTCGCACTCCTTTATATTTTGGAGCTTTCATAACAAGTTCTTGTTTCCTTATCAAACATATAGAGTAAAGATCCAACATGTTGCAAGATAGAGTGGTTTCACGATCTTGTTCTTTGTCTGGTTCAAAATTATCTCGATCTGTTTTGTTTCTCTCACTCTCTTATATCCTCTTCGTGACGATGCATGCTTCAGCAAACCGCTTGCAGCGAGTTACAGAACCTGGTCCAAGTCCAGGGCCATGTCCTACACCAAAGCCTAAGCCATGTACAAGTCCAAAGCCAATCCCAGCACCAGAGCCAAAGCCAGGTCCAAGTCCAACACCAGCTCCGGCTCCAGAGCCAAAGCCAGGACCATGTCGTGGGCCACGCAACACGACGTTTCCTGCGATATTTGCATTCGGGGATTCAATCGTAGACACAGGGAATAACAATTATATTTCAACATTGGTCAGAGCTAATTTTCTCCCCTATGGCATGAGTTTTCCACATAAAGTTCCCACCGGAAGATTTTGCAACGGCAAAATCCCTGCTGATTTTATTGGTGACTTTGCCTATTCTTTGATCATGTCTTTAGATCAATCATCGAAATTGAGTTATGAAAAAATTTGATCCAACATCTCTATATCCAGTACCAAAAAAAAAAAAAAATTGAGTTATGAAACTTATACGTAAAATATATTCATGCATGCATAATTACGTGTAGCTCACATGCCATTGCATCAGATAGAATCCTCAAATCAATATGGAAACATTCTTATGAAAATTGATCAATCATGTTGGTTTTTTTTTCTCCTTTTCTAATTTCACAGCGGAATTTTTAGGAGTAAAACCAACTTTACCGGCATACTTGAGACCGGGACTGACCCGGGAAGATCTCCTCACTGGTGTATCCTTTGCTTCGGGTGGTTCTGGCTACGATCCTTTGACACCTGTTGTAGTAGTAATAACATCATATCTCCTTTTATTTTTTAACTTTTTATTTTTCATTTTGATTCCATTTTGTTTTGTTTTTTGTATTATCAATCTTGTACACAAGAGGGCGATACCGATGTCGGACCAATTGACATATTTTCAAGAATACATTGAGAAAGTGAAAGGCTTTGCGGGAAAAGAGAAAGCTGAGTACATAATATCCAAAAGCTTAGCCATTGTGATCGCGGGCAGCGACGATCTAGCAAATACTTACTATGGTACACATGCAGAAGAGTTCTTATATGACATCGATTCATATACCTCTTTTATGGCTAGCTCTGCTGCTAGTTTTGCTATGGTACGTTGAAACTAATCCTCTGGTCCGATTGATTTGTATATGAAACTACTAAAACCTGATGATCAAATTTGGCAGCAACTATATGAATCTGGAGCCAGAAAAATAGGATTCATCGGTGTTTCGCCGATCGGGTGTATACCGATTCAGAGAACCACAAGAGGAGGAGTTGATAGAAAATGTGCGAATGAGATCAACGTTGCAGCTCAGCTTTTCAATTCCAAACTCTCTACAAGTTTGCATGCAGTGGCTGAAACCTTGAAGAACGCCACTTTGGTGTATATTGACATATACTCTCTCTTCAATCATATGATCCAAAACCCAAAAGAATATGGTAACTAATGTTCAGCCACATGTTTGTGTATACATATACATGTGTTTGAATGAGTTTAAGATTATGTGTTTTTTTTTTTAATCAAATTTTTTGCAGGATTTGATGAGATTGATAGAGGATGTTGCGGGACGGGGCTTATTGAATTAGGTCCGCTTTGCAACCAATTTACGTCACTTCTTTGCAAAAATGTGTCTTCTTATATGTTTTGGGACAGTTACCATCCAACAGAAAGAGCTTATAGAATTTTAACCAAAATATTTGTAGAAAATGACATGGGCCCTTTCTATGACAAATAAATGTAGTTTAAGATACATTGATGATGTGTTATTTGGCTAAATAAAAGCTGTAACTCGTTTGGCGTAATATTTTAATCCATGGTTGTTGTATGATTGATATAATATTGACGTGGAACGAGTAACTGAGCTGTTTCTCTAAACATTCATATTCTGTAATTTCGACAATAATCGGACGAAAAAACGATGAGGGTTTATTGATCGATCAACTTTTACCATTGGAACCAAATGCTGTTGAATAAACAAAGTGTGATGGAACCAAATAAACAAATTCACTCTTCTTCTTGTTTCACTTAATCAAATCCATCTCATTCCAACAAAGAGAAGACAAAAATAATCGTTTAAAACAAAGTAATTACTAAAAGAATGAATCAAAATCATATTTCGGCCATTAACAACAAAAGAAGTCCAATCCCCTAGGAACTTCTCGCCCTCAGGACAGATGTAGCTTTTGTTTATATGACGCCAAATGAGTTTCATCATTCAAGTTGTGTCTTGTGTGGGAAGCTATATTACATAAATAACCATAAACCCCAACTCCAAAAATCCAATCAAATTATGATAAATTCTTTTGGGAAAATCTAGATATTGAAGATTCTTTAGAGTGAGACTTAAGTTCTGAGAAGTCACGGAATATGGTTGAGAGAGAGTTAAATTCCGAGTGGAAACTGAATATAAGGAAAGTATCTCAAAATGTGTGATGAGAGAAGACTGAGACACAAGCAACTTAAATACGGCCACATAACTCGCATGTCCTAATCTACGCAATGCATATATATATATATATATATATATATTCATACGCACACACATATTGATATATATTGACATGACAGTAGCAAACACTTGAATGAAAACTGCCTTACTATAGTAATATAAAGCATGAAGCAATCTACCTTGGACGATTCGAGAATATTTCGTATTGTTTTCTTTCTCATATCCTTTTGTATCTTCTTCGCGACAACGACCCATGCCCAAGTAGTCCACCGACGGCTCTGGCCGTGGCCATCGAGGCCTTGGCCCTTTCCAGGGTACCAGCCATGGCCATTGGAACCACCGCAGCCTGGTCCATCACCAAAACCAAGCCCGTCACCAAAACCTGCCCCATCTCCATGCCCACCAATACCACCTAAGCCTCAGCCGAAGCCACCACCAGCACCTGCCCCATCTCCATGCCCACCAATACCACCTAAGCCTCAACCAAAGCCGCCACCAGCTCCTAGTCCATCTCCATGCCCACCGCAACCACCAAAGCCTCAACCAAAGCCACCAACACCTATCCCACCGCAACCACCAAAGCCTCAACCAAAGCCACCACCAAAGCCTCAACCAAAGCCACCACCAAAGCCTCAACCAAAGCCACCACCAGCACCTAGTCCATCACCAAAACCAGGCCCAACACCATCACCACCTAAGCCACCTAGCCCAGCTCCAAAACCTAGCCCACCTAAGCCACCATCGCCAAAACCTAGCCCACCTAAGCCACCATCACCACCTAAGCCACAAAACAAAACCATACCGGCCGTGTTTTTCTTTGGGGATTCAATCTTTGACACAGGAAATAACAATAATCTGAAGACAAAGATAAAAAGTAATTATCGTCCCTATGGTATGGATTTTCCTATGGGAGTTGCCACCGGTAGATTCAGCAACGGAAAGGTCGCTTCCGATTATATATGTCCGTACTCTCTCTCTCTCTCTCTCTCTCTTAACCGTTACTTTTGGGCCAAGGTTTGGCCCACTATGTGATCTTTCCGTTGACATTGACTTTTATTTGTTTTTTATTTAACACATAAAGCAAAGAAAAACATACATTTATTTACATTTACTGATTCCAATAGCCAAATTACATTGACTCTAATCACATTTATTTACTGATTCCAATAGCCAAATATTTGGGGGTAAAAGAAATTGTACCGGCATACTTGGATCAGAAGCTACAACAAAATGAACTACAACAAAGCGATCTTCTAACGGGCGTGTCATTTGCTTCTGGTGGTGCTGGCTACGATCCTGCAACATCTGAAACAGTGGTAACGATCGAATCAATCCCCTAGATCATTTTTTTTTTGCAACGTAAACGTTAATGTATCATTAATGTGAGAGGGTATACTGATCATATATATGTTTTGTTTAAATCAGAAAGTAATACCAATGTTGGACCAATTGACATATTTCCAAGACTACATAAGTAGGGTGAAGAAGTTAGTAGGAAAAGAGAAGACCAAACAAATAGTATCGAAAGGAGTAGCCATTGTGGTCGCAGGAGGCAATGATCTGATTTCTACATATTATGGAAGTGGTGCTCAACACCTCCAAAACGACGTCGACTCCTTTACCACTATCATGGCTGATTCTGCCGCCAGTTTCGTTTTGGTACGTATAACTATCATCGAAAACTAGCTTTTTTCTAAAACTAATTAATAACAATTGTGCTAAAGAAATTATGTAAATGCTATTTGGGCAGCAATTGTATGGATATGGAGCAAGGCGTATAGGTGTGGTCGGAACGCCGCCACTTGGATGCACACCATCTCAAAGAGTCAAAAAGAAAAAAGTGTGTAATGACGAACTAAATTATGCTGCTCAGCTTTTCAATTCCAAACTCCTCATCATTTTGGGCCAACTGTCGAAAACCCTACCAAATTCTACCTTGGTTTACATGGACATCTACTCTATCTTCAGCCAGATGCTAGAAAGCCCTAAGGAATATGGTAATTTTTGTTATTATAATTGTGATATTTATAATAAATGATCATGCATATGAATTTGAGATATATTTGCATGCAGGATTTGAGGAGATAAAGAAACCGTGTTGCAGAATCGGATTATTGGGAGGAGGTGTATTCTGCAAAAGGTCTACATCAAAAATATGTCCCAATACATCGTCTTATGTGTTTTGGGATGGTATGCATCCCACTCAAAGAGCTTATGAAACCCTAAACAAAAAACTTGTAAAAGAATACATCCGTTTTCTCTGATTGATTACGACTAGTCTTATAACATTATTTATCTTTTTACTTTTGCAATGTATTAATAATGTAGGCATATCGGGTTCTGTGACTAATAATGCAAACAAGATTTGAGATAGTCATCTAAGCTTTTTGTTTTGTCTCAAACGAATCCTCATCGATCCACTCCCACGCATGTCTGACGGACAACCGCGCGCGGTAGATGCAATATATTAGGAAGTTCCAAAATGTGTGATCAGAGAGATACACAACAGATTCCACACACACACACGGTCACATACATCGCATGTCCTAAGCTATATTGACCTGACAGTGGTAAAGTAAACACATACGCAAATAGATTAAAAAGTTATCAAATATCGATGAAGCAATCCATCACGATACATTCTCCATCCATCAACATCACCTTCGCCTCAACCAAAGCCAGGCCCATCTCCTAACCCATCAGGCCCATCTCCAAGGCCACCAAATGAATTCTTCCTTGTTTGGAGTAATGATTATATTCGAGTAGCATCCTGTAAGAAAATGACTCATGCCACAAAATCTTTGACCTTCTAATAAGGACTACTTATTCTATTTGGAGTGATGATGATTATGTGCATGAACTATATTGACGACGTAACAAGTAAGAATATCATACCATATTTGTATCACTACTATTTCAAAATTTCTTTATAGTTTTTGTTGTAATATATTGTTATACTATCTTTTTTTTTGCTAGGTGTGTTTGTATTCCAACTTTGTATTTTAACCATGTATTTCTCTTTTTGATAATAAATTTTAGAGGAAAAAAAGAAGAAAATATTATTATACTATTAAAATACAATTTCCATTATTTAATTTTACTGCCGAAATTTCAGATACGGAAATTTATTTTTCACCGTGATTGAATATGGACATTTATCATATTGAGATTTGGAAAATTAAATAAATTGTTACTTTTCCTTTAAATTATTAAAAGGATGAGATTTATATTTACTTATAAAAGTTAAAAAAGGAAGAAACCAATTTCAACTATAATTAAGATTTTTGGTTTTTTAATAAGGTCTATAAATAAAGCACCAATTCCCCAACCCTCGAGTCATTCATTCATTCACACGCTTCAAAGCAAACGCCGATTCTTCTCTCTTGACTCGTCTTTGAGACTTTCAACTATGTCGAAGAAGATCGTCCTCAAGAGCTCCGACGGCGAATCGTTCGAGGTCGACGAAGCTGTCGCGCTCGAGTCCCAGACGATTAAGCACATGGTGGAGGACGACTGCGCCGGTAACGGAATTCCTCTTCCGAACGTCACCAGTGCCATCCTCGCGAAGGTTATCGAGTACTGCAAGAAGCACGTCGACGCAGCCGCCGAAGCAAACGCTGGAGACAAGGATTTCAGTGGTACCGCCGAAAACAGCGAGCTCAAGAGTTGGGACGAAGAGTTCGTCAAAGTCGATCAGCCTACGCTCTTTGATATCATCCTGGTTAGTTGTTTGTTTCACCCCTTGCCCTTTTTTCAGCCAAATTAGGGTTTCTAATTGGGGGAATTCGTTTTGTTAGGGTTTAGTGTATTGAATTTTCAGGGTTTGTGTGTTGATACAAAAAAACTCAAAATTGCTTTCTTGGGTCTTGATCTCTGCAGGCTGCTAACTATCTGAACATCCCTGGACTTCTTGACCTTACGTGCAAGACCGTCGCCGATATGATGAGAGGCAAGACTCCAGAGGAAATGCGCAAGCACTTCAACATCGTCAACGACTACACACCCGAGGAAGAAGCTGAGGTTCGCAAGGAGAACGCATGGGCCTTCGAGTGACTTGGAACTCTAATCTCTAGTCTAGTCTTCTTTTAGATTGTGTTTAACATTCGAGAGTTTCTTGATTGGTTTTTTTTTTTCTCTTTCTTTTCCCTTTTGGTTTGGAGTTTGTCATTATCATCTAGAAAAACCTAATGCAATTGTTCTGCTAACAAGTTCTGTTGGTTTCTTCTAAGAACCAATTTTAAGAACTGTTCTTGCTGCTAAAGATCCTCTTTATTCTATTTGGTTATCAAATTCTTTTATGTGGTCTCTCTATTAGGTTTTTATCATTGATCGCTGTCATCAGCTTTGCTTGTTACAGCAAACGGACTCCTAACTCTGTACATTCCATTAGACCATGTGATCGATCCAAACGCGTCTTCTTGAAGTGTGTATGTAGATGACGAAAACATCACTTGGTAGCTTAGTTTATCTCCTATCCTCCTAAAATGTAGCCTCCTTGGTGTAACACTGACTTGTAACCCTTTTGGCGCATCGATGCTCACGGTGTAGACAGTATCCTCGTCTCCGATGAGACGTGATGCAACATTTGTCAATGTTCTGATCACGCTTCTGCTTTCTTCTCCGTTGAAGTTGGAAATTGAGATTGATGGGTAGTTGATATTAGATATGTCTTCCTTGTCGCTCTGTTCAGGACAAGCAAAACCTTGTGGTATGCGGTTTGACATCCTTCTTATCTGATATGAAGTGAAGCCATAGTAGCAGAGAAACCTCAGGTAGTCTGTTTGATCGGTTTCATAAACCAGTCCAGGTGACGAAGGCCCGAATACAGTAACCTGACCAGCACCAAAGTCATAAGGTGTGGCCTTGTCACCTGTTTCTGTAGTTATATGGGATCCTGTGTTGGTCGTTTGCACGGCTGCAGACAGACAGAGAGAGTTGCAAGACTAGGTGTTAGTTTCGTCTGATCGACCTGTAATCCATAAATGAGTTCTCTCACCTGTTGTCATGATGGCAGATCTGATAGCTGCAGGAGTCCAGTAAGGGTTTTCGGATTTGAGACGAGCAGCAATCCCTGAGACATGGGGACATGACATTGAAGTCCCTGACTCGATGTTGACGAGTGGTGGTGGCTTGCCTTGTGGTGCTGCATTCAAGTCACCGATTAGCCACGATGCTAGTATGTTCACCCCTGGAGCTGCAATATCAGGCTGTAACAGTAACAGGTCTCTCTTGGAGTTATTAAACCGTGGAGAATGAGCATGTTTGTAGTAAATCCGAGTGCTTTTTTTTCTTACCTTGAGAAGGCTTCTGGTAAGTAAGGACCTCTTGATGAGAAGGATGGTATGGATGGTGCTAAGTCATGTCCTGTTCGTGATCTTGTAGGCATGATCGTTGCAATTGGTTCTCTACAAATGATATATTAGTCTTCTTCTGTTTGAATGCAATATCTTGTGAAATCAGAACACCTTATAGTTTTTGTACCTTGTTGAGTTGATGTAGGACATGATTCTTAGTCCGTCCACTGGTTTTACAATCGTCACTAGAAACGAAGGATCAATATAAGACAGATCCATTGACTTGTCGTCAACAATGATCATACCTGTACCTCCAAGTCTCTTAACCTCTTCACTTTTCCATTGGATCACCTGTTGACCAACATCATTGTCGCACACAACAATCTTTCCTTCGACGATGGTCCTGTTCATCGTGTCAGGCGCACAGTTTCTGAAGCGTTTTGCAAATGTTGTCTTGTTAGTTATAAACAACAAAAAAAGTTACTCTCTATATAATGTTAAGAAGCAACTGTTAAAAACCTAGCAGCTTCCTCATTAGCATCAATCTTCTTGGCTGATCTTCCATGTATAATTTGGTTAGCTTGAGTTGTATCAATGTTGGCAACATTTATTCCAACCCCCTGCAATATAATTAAAGATTTTAATGTGTTTAATGATGAATAGAGACTGTTCTTGGGTTTTATCTTCGTACCTGGATCAATCTGCTTTTGTTTCCTCCACCAAGAAGAACGTTGGACTCAAAGCCACGGTCGATAGTGCTAGCAGCAACAGTGATCATCCATGGAGCTGCATTAACCACGGACTGACTCGCAGGGCCAAAGTTTCCCGCGGCGCAAACAACAGTGATCCCTCTTTCCACGGCATGAAACGAACCGATGGAGATAGGATCTTCAAGCAAATTGTCTGGCCATAGTCCCATCGATATGGATATAACATCGACTCCATCTGCGATGGCGTCGTCGAATGCAGCCAGTATGCTGGAGCCACGGCATCCCAAGATTGAGCAGGCTCTGTACATAGCTATTCTTGAAGTTGGTGATCCTCCTCTCATGGTTCCTCCTGCCATGCCGTAGTAGGATGCATCAGAGATGATCCTCCCTGCTGCTATCGACGCCACGTGTGTGCCGTGTCCCATATAGTCTCTTGGTGTCTCGTAATCAGGGTCTAGGAGGAATGACGAGTTGTAGTACCTTGCTCCTATTATTTTCCTGTTTATGCACAACTTTCAAAACGTTTTAAGTACAACATATATTTACTACATGTGGTTCTGTTTTCCTCAATGCTTACTTATTGCAACGGAAAGAACCAGGATTTGTCTTCTTCCCTCTCATGCAAGTCCCCTTCCATTTCTCTGGGACCGGACTCATGTGCCTGTCATCGAAGCTCTGTGACTCTGGCCAGATTCCTGTTTTCACGCATTGAGTCTTTTATTTTACTTGAAGTAGACAAAAAAGTGCCCACATCTAATTCTTGTTCACCTGAATCAATGAAGCCGATGATGGTGTCTCCTACTGCTACATCTAATTCTGGTTGATTGTTCATTTCAGTGAAGTAAGCCTCTCTTTGATAACTTTCTTGAACCAAGAAGTCCCATGAACGAGTTGTGTGGAGCGGTATCATCTGATCAGGAAAGACAGATACAACTCCTGGTTGTTTGGCCATAAGGCTTGCTTCATCTTCTGATAAATAGGCTGCGAATCCAGAGAATCCATGTTTGTATCTGTGCCTGGGGGTTTTGCCGCTCCTGATGCAAGTTTGAAAAAAACTGTCTAGATACGTATTTGCATAACATGAATCATGGTTAGAAAAAACATCAAGAGCTTGGATTTAGTAATCACCGCTTTAACATTGAGCTCATAAGCTCAACATGGTCATTGCCTGTTGAGCTATCTGAGGAGGCTGCTCCCATGTATATGATATAATCTCCTGACTTGCTTGCTTCAGATTCACAGTTTTGGATCACAGACAGAAGAAGAAACGTAAACAAGAGGAAGGTGACAGTGAAGCATCTCGTCATTGCTCTCAACTTCAAGAATGCTTCTAATTCTTGTGTTATGTTTCCACTTAAAAAAATTTATGACTATTTCGTGAACAGATAATCTGCATATTTAATGAAGGGAAAGTGCAGTTAACTTTTGCTTGACACACTCATGCATGCCCTTTGTGTGAAAACAAGATTGCCTGACTTCAAGGAGACATTTTATGCATGGATAATAAAACTTAAGTACTACTCGAACTGGTAGGACTAAAGAAAATTTGTTCATCTTCTGCTTTACATGCTTTGATCATTTCATTATTCAGAAAAGGTGTTGTCTTTTTTGCTTTAAATTAAGTTTTTTTTTTTATTCCATATTCATCATATTGAACTTGTATACCATTTATTTATACTCAGTTTGTGCTGCTACTCTCGCTACTAATTACAATTGGGCTCCTGACCGTGTACTTGGCATTAGACCAAGTAAGAGCCCCAAACACATCTTTCTTAAGTGAAGCAGCAGCAGCAGAGACTATCACCTGATATGTCAACTTCTCACCATCTTTTGTAAACTGTAGTTTCTCTGGCGTCACTTGGATGTTAAACCCTGGTGGTGTCTCCACGCTGACTGTGTAAACAGCCACACCGTCTCCACCAACATTGGTCACTGTCCTGTTCACTGTCTTGTTCTCATTTCCTTTGAATCCAGAGATTGCGATCGAAGGGTAGTTGATGGTTGAGATCAAGTCTAGTTTTGAATCTGCAGGGCAAGTGAAGTTCCCTGGAACAGATTTTGATATAGTCTTGATTGTGGTTACGTTGTATCCGTAGTAACATAGGAAGTTCAAGTAGTCAACAGCACTAGTCTCGTAGACCAGTCCTGGTTGCATCGATGCTGTTGTGCTTAGCTCTCCTGCTCCAGTGTCATAAGGCGTTGCTGTTGAACCAGTTTCTGTTGTTATAAGACCTTTGTCGTTGTTCGTTTGAGTCGCTGCAAGAATCATTGTTAGAACAAGATAGTAATTCAAAAAATATGCTAATGTGCAAGGGGCCTATTACATAACCTGTTGTCATAATTGCTGATCTGATAGCAGATGGACCCCATGTGGGATGCTGTGATTTGATGAGAGATGCAACAGCTGTAGCGTGAGGAGCCGCCATTGAAGTTCCTGATATGACGTTAAACTGAGAAGGAGGCTTGCCTTCTAGTGAAATACTTGAGTCCTTTCCGGTCCAAGCAGCGAGTATCGCCACTCCTGGTGCTGTAATGTCAGGCTGTAAAGAGAGGTGAGTAGGTTCTCTACTTCAGAAACTAAAGAAGGGCACAGGTTTTTGGAGACTTTACCTTGAGAATGCTTCTTGTGAGGCTTGAAGGACCTCTGGAAGAGAAATACGCAGTGGAAGGCGCAGGTGTGAACTTCTCAACTGTTACAGTGGGAAGAATTGTTGCAACAGGATCTCTGCAAACAGAAGGTTCCACTCATTAGATCTTTACTGACTCATTACAGTTCATATGACTTTTGAGATATTGCAAGATTTTCTTGTTTAAGTACTTGGTGGAGTTGAGGTAGGAGAAGATCTCAGCTGCTTCCTTTGAGTCAACCACGGTCGTAGGGAAAGAGCCATAATAGCTAGCAACAGCTCTTGTTTTGTCATCCACAAAGATGCAACCGATACCTCCTTTGCTCTTCACCTCGTCCCTAGCGTTTGATGCGTAGTATGATCCATCCACGTTCTCGCATATCACAATCTTCCCTTTCACCTTCTCTTGATCTAGAGAACCAGATTCACACGCCCTGACAACAAACATTATCTCAAAACGTAAACAAATGGTCATCTTCCTCATCCTTTTGTTATGTTGGATCCACCAATGTTTCTGTTTACCTGGCTGTTCCTTCTGAAGCATCAGCGTCTTTGGCAGACTTGCCATGAATCAGAGGATACACAGGAGATTTACTAACATTTCCAAAGTGTATACCTTCTCCCTGAAGAAATCAATTTGTTATTAGCAAACCAAAACCTGAATATTCAGTGTTGCTCTGTATCGTTAATATGTTACCTTGATGACTTTGTTACCGCCGAGCACAACATCAGACTCTAAGTCTCTGTCAATAGTGTTTGCTGCAACAGTCATTATCCAAGGTGCAGTATTCACAACTGTACCACCGTCAGGCCCATCGTTACCTGCAGAGCAGACCACCACGATCCCTTGCTCCACCGCATGAAATGCTCCAATGGCGATAGGATCAGTGTGCAGCTCTATGCGAGCGTATGATGGAGCTCCAAGAGACAGCGACAGAACATCGACACCGTCCGCGATCGCGTCGTCGAAAGCAGCTAAGATAGAGGAACCAGTGCATCCCCCGGGGTTGCATACTTTGTACATAGCGATCCTAGCGTTTGGTGAACCTCCTTTTGCTGTCCCTGAAGCTACACCGTAGTAGGAAGCGTTCTCCACGGCTGATCCGGCTGCGGTTGAGGACACATGAGAGCCGTGACCGATCACATCCCTTGTGGTAAAGTACTCTGAATCATCATCAGGGTTCTTGTAGAATCTTGCTCCAATTATCTTTCTGCATAAGAAACAAACCAAGAAACGTTTTTTTAAGTCTTGGAAAAGAAGTTTTGGTAAATTTCAGCTTTGGTTTTTTTGAAGGTTGTGAAATTTTTGTATAACCTGTTACAGTTAGAAGAGTTGAAGTCTTTTGCTTCCATGCATGTACCTTTCCACCTAGAAGGAATAGGACCCATGTCTTTGTCATTGAAGCTCTCTGATTCTGGCCATATCCCTGTTTGTTTTGTTTTCTTTCATTGTATCAAAACTCATTTTGTATATTTTTTGTTTGTTTTAACAGAAAATGCTATCATTAATAATACATACCTGTGTCAAGAACGCCGATGATGCTATCATATGATCCGTCTGAAGATGCTGATGAAGGTGGACCTGAATCGATCTTTACTGCTGTTTGGTACTTGAGAAAGTCCCATGAATGAGTTGTGTGAAGTTGGTAGTTTGGGTCAGGAAAGACAGAGACCACTCCTGGTTTCTTGGCTATTTCTTTAGCCTCTTCTGCTGTCAAACGAGCTGCGAAACCAGTGAACCCATGTTTATATGTGTGGACAATATCGCTTCCTCTCCTACAACAACAACCATACAAACGTCTCAGAATCCACAGAACATAATGTAAAATAACAAATACATATGTTTAGGAGTTGTATATATAAACCTCTTAAACATGGTGTTTATGAGTATTTGGGCTCTATATGCGTTTGCTGCGGAGGAAGCTGATCCCATGTACACGATGTAAACCCCATCACCGTTTCTCAATGCAGCTTCAGTTTCTGTTTTAAATGTGAGGCATAAAAGACAGAGAAGTAATGAGAAAAAGGGTGTGAAGAAGAAGGTAAGGCCTTTCATGACTCTCTTGTAGTTTCCTCCTAGTGACTTAAGGGACTTATTCACAAACCATAACACAAGAAAAGGGTATTTATAACGGTTGAGAGATCGTTAGGAAACACAAGAGATAGAGCAAAAGAGTCACACGAGTCTCTTTAATAATGCTTGAATTGCTTATCCCACTTTGAAAAATTGGTGGGTTTCTGAATTTGGGCAAAAAGTAGAGATATAACAAGCTAGTGACTGGACCACTATCTTCTGTTCCGAGTCATTACATCAGTTCAACATTGTTTTTTTTTTTTAATTTCCGAGGTTCCAAAGACTTCGAATATTTGCATATTGGAAAATTCAACTAGAGATAAGATTAAGCCATTTGGTTTTATGGTCATGATGATTCTTGACACTGAATAAAAGAATCTGGAGATTTTCTTATGAGGTTATACAGCTGCTCATAGAATAGTAATATCAATGTAACTTTTTAATCAACAAAAAATAAAAAAAATGTACCTTAAAAATGTTGTTTAGTCAAAGAGAAACGTGGATTCATAAATCTCGCAAAGGATTGGTTGAGTAGCCAATAAAAGGAGAGTGTGTGGTGCATTAGCATTAGCTAGAGAGATGACATGTACATTCCACTATTATGGAATCCTCCAAGTCCAAAGCATGCTTGTAGGCTTCTACTTAAACTAATGTGTAGTCGAGATCGTATACAGTATATTATATTATACAGCAGCTTCCAGGAAAATGATTTTAATAAGAAAATGGAATTGTGTTGCCGACCTTTTTAGTGGCTCAAAGTGGATTTCACTCGTGCTGGTGCTATTTTGGGAAAGTATCTGTTATTTATCATCAAATCGCATGATTTTCATTTCTCTATTTTCTATTTTAAGAGCGGGGGAACAAAAAAAAGAAGGAGAAACTGGAATTCGGAGTGAAAGGAAAGCCCATGATGAATTATGATAATCTTTAGAAGCCCAAATAAGTTTCCATCAAAATTTAAAAAAAAGCTCCGATGCCGGGAATCGAACCCGGGTCTCCTGGGTGAAAGCCAGATATCCTAACCGCTGGACGACATCGGATTGTTGTTATGCATGATGAAATTATATATATAGATTAATATGATGGTGGTGCATCTTGCAAATATAGCCGGAGAACTCCACGAGCAGCCGCGTCTTTGTCGATCAAATGTTGTACAAATCCCGACAACGAAGGTTGGTGCCATCTTCCCTTTTAATCACCACTTGAAGAGTTATCGAAGAATCTTATCTCCCCAACTTACAATTGACCTAGACATGTATTTATGTTAATTGAAATATATCAAATAAGATATAAAATATCACGCTCGTTAAGAATTATGCTAAACTGAAATTGGAGCAATTTCCATGATTAGTTATTCTCATATCATACCAAAACATCAAATATTTCACTTTACAGGAAGTTGAAAGAAGAGGGTGACTCTGCTTATTGCTTGAGCGTTTTGAGACATGTCCCAATATAAGTAGAAATTAGTAATCTACAATAGATTGATGATTAACAAAGTTTTATATAAAAAAGCAAATCTAAAATGTTAGATAACATCTAAAATGAGAGAGGTCTACGTGGCAACTACTCGTTTTGGGAAAACGTACGAGGAACTCCATACTAATTAACTCATAACGAAATTAAATGTTTTCTTAATTATTTTAATTTAGAGACGAATTTCAATATTTATCCATTGAAAATGAGAAACAACGCGGGTAAAACCGTAAAAGAAAACTTCTTCACCAAACTAACAAGTCATCCTCAATCACAAGAGCACAACACGTGTCAAAACGCGACGTGTTGTTCCCTCTAACTTGCGCTGAAAGAGATCGTACAAAGCTCAAAAAAAGCAAAATCTATTGAGCGGTGCTAACGTCCACCATCTCTCTAGCTGTCGCTTCTCAATCTTCTCTTTCTTCTCCCTTGTTTCGTCTCTCTCTCTCTCTCTTTGTCCAACCAATCATTCCTATATATACGTTCATATATTTTTATAATTTAATTACAAACCGCCATACCAAAAAAGACGTATGTGTATATAAGAAACCATAAGCTTGTCTTTTATTCACCTAATTCAACATCTGCCTTTGAGCTCCATCGAAGATGATGAAAATGAAGAGTTTTCTTGGTTCTAGATTAAAGTCTTCCTCTGCAAGACAAGGTGAAACTCTTTTTATTTTCTTTTTTATCTACTTTAAATTTTGAATTATTTGTTTCTCTTCTTCTAATTAGTTCTTGAATCTTTTAAGAGAATGCTGAAATGTTTCTACTTCGGCAATTTGTAGATCTGTTCTATAACCAGAGAGTTCATTTTTAGAGATTTTTTTTTAATGTTAATTCCTGCCAAAAAAACAAAACTTCTCGAGTAATACCAACTGTTCATTTTTTGTCAATGGAGCAGGAAATTCCGAGAAGGAATGCTCTCGTAGCTTGACGTGCAAGCTAAGTGTTAACGAGGAGTACAAGGAAGCTTTCAGGACAAACTCCTACTTAGAGATTCGAACAAAAGCAGAAGATCAATTAGGGATAACATTCTGTAGCAAACTCTCTTCTTCTTCTTCTCCTTCTTCCACGACTTCTCCTTCATCCTCAGATATTAGCTTCCATTCTCACTTCACCGATTACTTGCTCGAACCTCCACAAGATACTCTCGATGCCCTAATGCAAGACTCGCGTTTCCACAATCTTCTTGTTAAATTCTTCGACTTTAGCTCCGAGGCTTGTGATGTGTGTGAGTCTCTCCTTCAATGCATCCAACAAATCAAGATCAATCACAACAAAATCAAAAGGGTTATCAAGATCGGGAAAAGGGTTAGCAATGGCGCTAAAACCGCGGAACGTTCCCCGGAAAAGCTCATCGCTTTGATATTTCAAGAGCTTTCGAGATTCGCCTTGCTTAAAAACCCTTTGTATTGTATCATCAACGAAGCTCAGTTCCGCAGAGTTCATGATGCAAACTCGGATTTGCTCGCAAGATTGACATCTAAAAGGAGAAGGATCAAAAGAAAAGCCAGGTTCTTTAGATTTTGCAAGAAGCTAGGAGGTTATAGTCTAGTGATATCTCATAGCGCCATTGTTATTACATTGCTGATCATAGCACTGCACAGCATACTCGGCGTTTTAGCAGCTCCTGCTTTAATCGGTTTGTGCTCATTGGGTCTTTTGAGGAAGAAGAAAGTGAAAAGAAACATGAAGAATAGAAGAAAGACCGATACAACGCTAGAGGAGCTCGGGACACAAATGGACATTGCAGCTAAAGGAATGTTCATATTGATAAATGATTTGGATACTTTGAGTAGACTTGCCGGGAGATTATGCGATGAGATAGAGCATAGAAAAACGGTAGCTGCGATGTGCGCAAAGAGTAGGAAGATTGAGGTGTTAAAGGAAGCATTGAGAGAGTTTAATGGACATGAAGAAAGATTCTCAGAGCAACTGCAAGAGCTTGAAGAACATCTCTACCTCTGTTTCCACACTATTAACAGATCAAGAAGACTAGTGTTAGCGCAAATCACAGGACCGAGTTCTTGATTCTTTGATTCTTTTTGGTTCATCAAAATAAAAACACTTTTGTAGGGTTTATGAATTACTTATCATAAAAATAATAAACCTGTAATAATGTCTTCCAAAGTTTTCTTTATGATTAATGTAAAACTGAGGCCATGGAAGCAAGCTATTTGATTCTGTTCTTTGCTTGTATTCTTCACTGGTTATTATGATTCTTTCATACCGTTTATCATTTTGGGGACTTTCTTCTAAGAACATTAAAAGAAAAATGCATGTTAACATCATTAATAATTAAACCAAAATGCTCAAAAGGAACTTTATTTCAATTTGGTCACAAACACCGAATAACCAAATACTCTCATCCATTAATTATTATGAAAGATTCATTTTAAGTTTTCAAACTCTTGTTGGTTTATATTATTTGGTTAATATCACATTGCTACAGAATCTTTATAAGTTTAAATCATTCAAATTCACAATACAACATATATATATAATCATTTCCTCAAATGCAAATCGGGTCTTCTCCTTTAACAGACCCATCACACCAGAAAGAAAGAAAAAAAGTAAAAACAAAGCGGGCGGGTCGCTCCGGGATAAAAGAAACAAGACACAGAGCGCGACCACTGCCAATAATATTTCAGACAGAAACAAAAAGAAGAAGAAGGAAACCTTAAAACTGAATGTTGGAAGAATAAGTTTGTCCAAAGGACCAAGAAGAAGGAACAACGTTGAGGAAGACTCTTGTAGCACCATCGGTAGTGGTAATGGAGAAAGAGAGAGACTGGCCATCGAGATAAGCGTTTGATTGCCAATTAGCTCCCCAATTGCGAGACATGGCTAACCAACCTGTCTTTGATCCTTTGATCGAGACAGATTTAATCGAACCTGCTCCTCCTACGTTCGATATGTTCACTAGCTCGAAGTAATCCCTTCCGTTTATTCTGAATCTCACTCCTCCTTTCTTGTAACAGCTTACTCTGTTTTCACCGGACCAAAACCAAGAAATCAGACGCGTGTTTCCTCATTTAGAAGGTTTTTAATGGAGTAAAATCTAACCTTTGAAAAACGACGGGAACAATTCCACCTCTGTAAATTCCGATCTTCTCCCAAGCGGGTTGTGCCATGTCGAAATGTTTAAGCGGCGGATTGCACCAGCCACCGTCGTTGTTGGGTAGAGCGAAGTTTGGTGGGCAGAAGTTTGTGGCAGTGATAACCACCGAAGCTCCTTTCTTGCACCACCGTGAGTCCGCCGCGTAATCACACGTTATCCTATAGCATTCGCCGCAAGAAGCTCCGTCGTTGAAGAGAGCTGTGCTTAACGCCGCCGTCATTATCCCGTACCCGGCCGAGTAGAGATCTCCGTAACCACAAGCTCCCCCTGAAAAACAAATTCATCACTTTCATAATCTCATTTCTTATTGAGGAAGAAATGAAAAGGAAAAAAAAGAATCGACTTTTTTTAGGGTCAACCAAATCCATTATAGTCAAAATCTAGTCTCTGTTTTGGGCTTTTAGAATATTTTTTTTGTTTTAAAAAATCAGTTTAACTCCCAATGTATCAGCCTATCAAGAACTGAAAGTGAAGAAACTGAGAGATGCCGAATGGAAATATATTGTATTTTATATGAAATTAAAGTTGTTTATTTACCCATTGTTCCAGAAGCGTCACTTCCTCCATAGAATGTGGCGTGACCATTGGTTAAACCAGAAGCCCTAAACGCATCAACCGCCATAAAAAGAGCGGCCAAAACCGCCAACCCAGCGAGAGACTTTGCCATGATTATAAGTCGTAGGAGGAAGAAAGAGATTATGATGATGATGATGATGATCGAGTGAAGGAGAGAGAGTTGTTTAAATAAAGGTGGGAAGTGTGTGTAAACTATGTAGTAGCAACAAAACCTTACATGTGGTCTTATCTTTATCTAGCCTGTGTGTATCTTTATTTCTTTATATTTTCTCTTTTTTTGGCTATTTTTTTTACATGTGTATATATTTGTAAGTAACAATATAAGTCCAAAAAGACAGTAGATCTGCAAACTCTGTCTGTTATAACTTATATGCAGATGGGTCAGGGGTTTATATTCCCTCAAAAGTTCATACATAATTTAGATGTAAGTTTCAGTAATATCGTCCTTTATTATATATTACAACTTCTTGGAGTTAGAAAATAGCCTTAAACCACCTAATAGTATGAAATATCAAGTCATAGCCAAATGTTTTTAATTTATCAGCTTTGTTTTATTGATGGAAGCCGGATTTTTTATACACATTTTTTGCTTATTGTAAGATTGCAAACTTTTAAACACTCTGGTCACCAAAACAAAAGTTACTAGTTCTAACAAAATATTCAAATACAACTCCTATATCAAATGTAAGAAGAAAAAAAACAGTTGGATCCTAGTTATATTGTCCATTCTTTAGATTAATATCTTGAATATAACATCAAAATAAAGAATAGTCATTGCTTAATGGTTTGTTATATACACTGTGCAACGCGGTGGATTAGTTTTTCTAATAATGAATAAAAAAGAAAGAAGAAAGAACGACAAATTAAAAGGGTGTTTTATTTTGTTTGTGATGTGCAAAATACTATCATGTGCAGGTTGGTCTGTGCAGATTCACCGATCACAGAGTCACATGCTCTCTTCTCCAACATTATTAGCAACACGCCAAATGGCTTTTTAGTTATAATTTTTGGTTAATCGTCCTTGATATCCAATCTAAGTTTGAAGAAGATCACCGTCACGACGTCGGTTGTCTTCTTACACAATCTGCCACTTCTTCTTACGTAAAATCGGAAACCTGAATCTAAACTTTACAATACTAATATATAAACTCCTCAGTCATAAAAGAAAAAAACAAGGTTAGGGACTTGAAGAGTGAGGACCTTGTTTTGATTTGACTAGAGTGCAAGAAACCTTTAGCATTGGTCAAAGACATTGATGATGTCGTTCAAATAGTTGGCAGTTGTAGCCATCAAAGAGCCCGATAATTTATTACTGTTTTTGATCATTATTGAGAAATTAATGGACCACACAACAAATACCTATAATGTAAAGCATATAACATGAGATTGTTTTATTAAGAAAATGAAACCTAGTTTGGCAGGAATAGATTAATGTGTCAATTATTTAATGGTCATACACATGTCTTGTCTTCATTCTTCTGATATTTTAGAGTGTTTATCATAGTAAAAGATAAATGGGTGCTGCTTATATACATTATAAATTTGCATAGCCTGGAGATGATAACATTTCACGTGCCAATGTTCTAATAATGACCCGCCTAATACAGTTAGCAAAAAGAGTAAAAGTATCCAATTCTTAAATGCGAAAGTCTCCCAAACACAATTAAACGAAGTTGAAAAGATTCCAATCTTCTGAAACCAACAATATATGTCTCTTTCCCTAAAGTTGAAACCATAGTAAAAAAGTACAATAACTATCCGGATGGTAAAAAACATCCTCAATAAAACATTTAGTAGAACGGAAGGGCACAGTAAAAAGTAGAGTTTGAGCAGAAACAAGAAACAGAGTGAGAGGTGAACAAACTCTACCGCGGAGAATACCTTTCTCTAAAAATCATCATCGTCTTCCTCAGCCATATGCTTAGCTAACTCTTCCTCCTGTTGCTTCCTCTCCCTCCTCTTCTCATCGCTCTCTTTCTCCTTGTGGGTGTTAGGAGGAAACCTCAAAGCCCTCACCGCCTCGTTATGCATATTGAGGCAGAAAGCGATTCTTGAGTTAAAGGCTGTTTGTGGCTCATTCGTCGAGTAGATGTCGCCTGTTTCTTTGGACACCATGCACCCATTCTTGTGATCTATGGTGGCGTCAATGGCTCCGTCACGTATGGCCTTTGCCACGATGCTTTCAGCATCAGCCACAGGGTTTTCGGAGTTCAGCCTCAGCTTTTTGGCGACATCAGGAAGGGAGATTCTTGAGTAGGATATGCTTATGTTCCGAAGTCCAGTCCTGATGACATTGTGCCGGAGCCTTACGATGAGATTGTGGGTTCGATCTTGAGCAAATGTGTCTGAGAACTTCTCTTGGACTGTCCTGAACAGCTCCAAGTCTCCAATTCTCACCGCCTGCAAAAATTGAAACAGATTATTAACCGTAACTTTCAGATCAGAACCACTGATCTAGTCGCATCATATATCTCTGAAAGGCAACAGTACATAGTGAGACAAAATCCTTTAGCCAGAAATTCATGCTCTTAATAGTTACAGGCAGCAGAAAACAGCAGCAGCAATAAGAGGAATGTAATGCTAACGAGAGAAATTCGGAAAGGTAAAACAGAGCTAAAGTAGCTTATCCTAATGACAGTTTACTAAACTCTTCACTAAAGAGTCGAGCTTATTGTCACAAGAGCAAAATTATGAAGGTGCAGACTCACATTCGTCAGCTCAAAATACGGCCTCAAGGCCTTCTCCATCCCCTTCTGAGTGAATATTGACCTCTCTGGAATCTCGCCAAGCAGCAGGCGAACCAAAATCGCCCATTTATTGCATTGGATTCTGAAGCCTAGAGCTGCAATAGGGGCTTTCCTAGCTGCCTGAAGGAGACTTTCTTTTGCATCTGTATACTCTAGCTGGATGGTTCGGATCTTCCCGAGGTAAAAGAGATACCTACAGAACTGCAAAGTATATCGTTTGAGATATTTCCAGTTGTCATAAACTGTATGTTCTCTATTACTTTGAAATTGTAAGGAAATTAAATAGAAGAAGATTCGCATGTAGCAAGGAAGAAAAAACCACATGATAGAACGACGATAATGACAAGAGGAAGTTTCAAAAAAGGTATTAACAAGAGCAACATGGAACACTTCAAGTAAGTTCGACAATACTTAGTGATATGACTGCAAGTGTAAAATGCTTAGGAGGTAAATGGAGAAAATATTCTCTAAACAGTTAGCATAAGAAGAGTATTGGGAAATCTCATAAGAAACTTTAATCACATCGATAAATAAGAGTAAAATGCATAAAGAAAGAGTTACCTGTTGGTTTGAATGTGCCTCAAATCGAGGTGCCTTTGATCTCAGCTTCTCTGCCTGATCATACAGATTGTAGTGCAGGTAGTTACGAAGCAACAGATTCAGAAGTGTTTCCTGCATCCAATATGATATTTTTCAGTAAAGTAGCAAACAAAAAAAGGTTTCATAGTAAAGAACATAGGCTGAATATGTTAAACACACACATACCTGACCCAACTCATCATGGCGCAGTGTTGCAGAATGATGCAAGGCAAGAAGGTTACTACAAGCAAACACAAGCCAACCATTGAGCTACTGATTAATAAGATGTGTAGGACTAAGTACAAAACTAAAACAACCAGTCTGTGAGCAATACTAACCCTCGGATTTCAGCAAGGTCGCCTGTTTGTTCGTAACTCAAGGAGTAGTAGAAATATAGCCTTGACGCTATCACATCAATGGTCCTTCTGTTAACGTTCTTCAGGCGAGCAATGCTTGCTGAAGAACATTCTTTGGCCTAAGAGATGATTACAAGCAACTCATCAAATTAAAACCACAGCAGTAAGAAAAGTAACTAATGTAAAACCCAAAGAGGTAACAGCATTAACCTCGTTGTACTTTTTCTGATCAATCAGAAAAAGGAGAACAATGAAGTAGCAGTAAATCTCGAGCTCTGCAGGTAGGTGCTTTAAAGGAGCTTGTGTAGCCGATGAAGCTGTATCAACTTCCATGTCATGTTCATCACCCTAAAAACCATTACAAGTTGAGAGTTTCAGTATCTAAAGCAGTTCGTTTCATCACCATTCACAGCAGCTAAAGAGAGTATGATAACCATAACATGAACCTAAACTTCCTGAAGCCAGACGCTATAACTGGAACAAGCATATTACCACATCAAATGCAAGAACTTAAACCCATAAATACCTTGGGAACAAACGAGGAAAGGCGAGAGTGAGCTTCGGATCCTGGAACCAAAGCGAAATCCAGGAAGGAAGAGAGCACGGAGCCGGTGAGTTTCCGCCTAAGCCCTATAGTGAGACGCACAGCACGAGCAATACGGCGAACCTCCTTCGTGTAAGACCCAGTATCGATCAACGCTGCTATCTCCTTCAAAACTGGGAAAAATAAAAACCTAAAAGGTGAGAAATCGATGAGTATAAACTTCAACTTTTCGAAACCCAGAAGGAACTTAGCAAATTTAGGAATTCTAGCTAATTGAAGAGTCCAGATGGAGATTTACGCTGCATCGTGGAGGTAGTAGAAGAGATGATCGACTGAGAAGGGGTCTGGTTATCTTTCATTTCAACGTCCTGAGTCATCTTGCTCAAATCTCGGTGCTCTTCACAATGACAATAAGAAAACCAGGTTAGGGTTTTTACAGCAGTGCATATACGCCGTAGAGATTTCGAAGAATCGAGCGATTAGCTTGACTGAGATGACCACAGAGAGAAAGAGAGAGCTTACTAAGTTGACAGAACCGAATTCGCCGCGGGCAAACTGGCTATGATGGATCAGATTTGCAGATGAACTCATATGCTGCTAAGATTCTTTTCTTTCCTAAGTATTTTTCTTATTGTTCAAGACAGCCTTTCTAAAAATACGTAATAAGTAGATTCATATACAACTTCAAGCATCAAAGTCGTTGTAGTATAGTGGTAAGTATTCCCGCCTGTCACGCGGGTGACCCGGGTTCGATCCCCGGCAACGGCGATTAGTTTTTTGAAGCGTTTGGACCACGGGCCTGTTCGTGGACCTTCTTGATAAGCCCAAAAAACACTCAGTACGCTTTCTTATTTTTTTTTATTTGGTTGTCTCAGAACTCAAAAGACGTATGATTTTTAATTTTACTTGTATAAAACTTAAAAAGTACCAAAGATACGGAAACCAGTCAAAAAGATACAATGCCATAACTCATAAGTCGGAAGAAATAGATAACTTGTTGGCGAACTGTAAAACAAAGAACGTGTGTGATTTGCAGACTGCATCATGTTTCGTGCGAGTAAGTCAATAGTATAACTTGCTGTTCCGATAACTCAAAAACAGAGGCAAAACTGGAAGACAATTAGAAGGAACAAAAAAACTGGAGAAATCCCAAGACAACATATCCATAAAATAAATGAACATAATATATAACCTAAAAGGCAACAACATCAAAGAGAGAAATTATGCTACGGCATCATCTTGTTTTTGATGAACAGAGAGACAAAGTAAGAGAGAAACAAGAAAAAGAACAAAGTCCATTCAACGACCCCGGGTTACTTAAGCTGCAGTCTGAATCGGTGGTCCATTTGATCGGTTGAATCCACCACGGCCTCCTCCTCTTCCACGACCTCCCCCCCTTCCACGGCCACGTCCTGTTCCAACAAATTTTTCACTTTAGAAAACTCATGGCAATTCGGTCAGCTTAATGCATCGAGAAAACGTGTAGTGTCATAAAACATCATCATACCACGGCCCTGAGGAGGAGCATCATATCCATAATCCTGTGGAGGAGGACCATTGTAACCATAGTCTCCTCCATCTTGTTGGGCTTCATAGTGAGGTGGAGGACCATTGTAACCTCCTCTTCCGCGACCACCACGTGGACCTCTCCCGCGGCCTCTTCCCCTACCATACGACCGCCGCTCAGGCTCCATACCTCCATCATCATACTCGTGATTATGTGGAGGAGGAGCATTGTATTCATTGTCTCCTCCATCTTGTTGAGCTTCATAGTAAGCTGGAGGACCATTGTAACCTCCTCTTCCACGACCACCACGTGCACCTCCTCTCTCACGCCCTCTTCCTCTGCCAGATGGCCGTTCGGGCTCCATGACTCCATCATCATTCTCAACGTTCACATATCCATTTCCTGATACATCCGAAAAAAAGAGAGCACAATCAGATCCACAAACTGGAACCCTACTCCACAGCACAGACAATAACTACGATTATTTTGAAAGGAAATTGCTAAAGCAATCCTACCTCTGCCACCTCTTCCCCTTCCCCTTCCTCTGCCTCGGCCTCCTCTGCCTCTAGGTGATCCATCTGGAAGAGATAGATAGGTTATATACTAACAAAATAAAAAGAGGCAGGGGAACTTGAAAACGTTCAATGAAAGTGAGACTGTAGATACCTCGTCCTTCGTAATCAATCTCAGCTAATGGCTTCACCATCTCAATGGGGATCGGGCACTGGTACCTGCAAAATCATTTAATGAGACATTATTAGCATTAGAGACAATGTACCTCTCTAGAATAGATATACAGAGCCTTAGAGAAATCTAAAGAACAAGCACTAGAAACTCACCCAACTGAGGATGTGTTCAGCTCCTCCTTCGAGAGTGTTATTGTTATCATAGACACATGCCTTGTTGTCTCGATTCTTCAGGACAAAAGAGAAAGGAAATAAATAACAGGTCGAGGCAACAAAATTACGAGCACAACATGGTAATACGAGTCCAAGCACAATTGACCACTTACGGATGAAGGCCTTCCTCATCAGGTTCCCAAACATCTGTTATGTCCGTGGATCCAATAGATGTAGTCTGGTGAAGACCAGGAATCCTTCTCTGCAAAGAAGAATACAAGGATGATTTTCAGATACAATAGAAAATCCTTTTTGTGATCTCAACAGACAAACCAAAAACATACCTTAATGAGCTCAACTATGGTCACACTCTTGTTGATAGCTCTTCCCATTGCCTTGAAGATAACCTCATTCGACCCCTTGTCCTATATTAAATAAACAAATTCCGTTTTACGCAAACCAAAAAAAAATATGAAGAAAAAACAAAATTCATAGAACCGAAAGCAACTACCACAAAACAAGCAAAAATCATCTAACCATACCACAAAATTCATAAGTTGACAAAATATAATCACAATGTGCCAACAGAGACTAAAACAAGCAAAAATCATCTAACCATACCACAAAATTGACTAATCACGATGCAGTTAACCAATAATTTGCTCTTTCGAAAACAAACTCATGTTAAAGTTTTCTGCTGAATCCGAGAAAAAACGTAAGAAATCAATCTAAAGCACCAAAAACGCATCCACGTCAATCCAGAGAACATAAATGCAACTGGATAATTTGAAATCGCAAATATGAACTACCAAAATCTCTATCTCCACCAATTCATTAACAGGATGAAATGTTAGTCTAATGTCAGAAAACAGTCCCAGAAATTTTCAAAACCATAGAAGAAAACGCATAAACACGCGTTTTCCAGATTCACCGAAGAAGACACGATACCTGAAGAAGAGTCATGGCATAGGTGATGTAGTTTCGCGCCCTTCCCATACTGGTGATACGAATCTCATTCTCAGCAATCGGTGTTCCCTCCTTCGGCTTCGCCACTCGGTGATACTTGTCCATCTGAAGAACATACCGCCAAATTTAGCAAAAAATCCAACCGAAAGCAACACAAAATCAGCAGCGACGTCTTCAAAAAAACCAGCGATGAAACTAGGGTTTTCATTCACGAGTATCATTGAACGAAACCAACCGCAAGTACTACTAATTAGATTCAGGTTTTCTTATAATCCTCACAGATAAGCTTGAATGCGTACCTTGTGCGACTGTTCTGGTTAGATCCTCCGAAACCCTAGAAGATTCGGATAAGAGAAAATGGTGGTTTTTGCCCAGGATTTGGACGACAGCACTATTTAATACGGTTTCTTCCTCTTCCCCTTACGAGCGGTTTGTTACAGGCGCCTCTCTCATATATAACAGCCGCACAACTTCTCTTCCACAAACCCATGCACCAGTGAACTGCCCTAATCGATTTCCGGTTCGCTATTTTGACTTCAACCCGATTTAAATCGAACCGAGGATACCATTCGTACCGTAACCATAACTTTCCTCCCTTTTTTTTTTTATTTCTCTTCGTTAATTTTTATTTTTCGGCTTTTCTTTTCGTTAAATTACGCAATTTTCGATATCAAACACGTTTTTTTTACGTATTATACCGTGAAATTAAATGGCTACTCACTTATTCAACATCACCGTATTTAATCCAAACATCATTCAAATTGTTGTGCACACGTATAAAAGATAATCGATGGGTTGAGTGTTCTTTAGTATGGTCGATCTGGTATGTATATGAAAACGAAAACATCAACACTAACCAAACAAACGGTCAAAATGGAATTATTTATCAAAGCGTTGTCTCGATCGTAATTAGTTGAAAGGACATATATTCGCTTATTTATCCATATAATTGGGCTTATAGATTATGATTGTGTTGTAAAAAAAAAAAAGATTATGATTATGTAAGTTTTTGGGTTCGTCTATATTTAGTAATTACAGTAAACATTGTCTCTTTTGGTGTAAATAGAAAATCGTTTAACAAACAAATATACCAAATCGTATAACTACAACTTTTTCGGTTAAGTTGCACCAGCTCCGGTACCGGTGAACCAATTTTTTTAGAAAGGTCAATATTCGTGGTGTAATTGTATGGTCTATCCTGGAAGATTATCTCATCCAACTGCACAAACAGGAGAAGAAAAACGTCCACGAATGTTTTTTCTGTGGGCAAAAAAGTCTAAATGTTCTTTGGACTTCTTTTCCTAAAATATATATAAATGAAGTGCTTAATAAAACCGATATCTCACTTTTAATAGAAATTCTCTGTCCTCCACCATAACTTAGTCACATGTCATCATTTCTATGTACTGCAGGTGATTTTTCATGGTATAAGGGTAGAATTAAAGTAGAATTTAGAACAGAGGAAAAGAAACACATGGATAAATCCTTTGACTATTGCTTTCAAGTCAATTCACATGTCTACTTACAACAGTTTTGATTAGTTCTATTTTTCTCTACATAACTAAAATTTCAAAAAATTATGAAAACCACTTACCGTGTATTAAAGTTTTGGTCAAATATTACAATTTCAACAAGAAAATGAACATGTAACCAACATATCTAACGAAAGTGTATGTTATTTATTATGCGTCTGAGTTTTTCAGATGCTTTCTTCACAGACAGATTGTGGAAAATTAAATATGTATATTATATCATGTTTAAATTTGACACAGCGAAGCACTACTACTAACTAATAAGAGGGTTGCGTGAGGAATGAAAAGAAGGTGTCTTGTATCTTTACTTCTTGTGGTTTAACCAGAGGATCAATGGTGTTCCTCCATCCTTCGAAATCCATGGGAGAACCAGCACCGGGCAGCTCGAACCCATTCACGTAGAAGGTTGGCGTAGAGGAAACTCCTCTTGAAACGCTATACTGCAAGCAAACCAATTTATGGAATGGACAAAAGTTTATTATGAAAGCTCCAATGAGTGAACAGAAGGTAAGGCAAGCTACTAGAGTTCAAGCTATGGAATCCGAAAATCTTCACTAAGATAATGACCAGTGACTATGAGGTGAAGGATCCATATGACTCTATTTGGTTATCTAGTTGACGATGTGAGCCAATAATACAGAGGACACCAAATAGAATAAGCCATTTAAAATTCCTTGACTAGTGGGAGATGTTTTAGACTATGTAAAAACCGAGAGCTGGAAAAGCTAAAGGGGATCACCTTGAAGGAAACCCTAGTGGCAAGATCAGATTTTGAGCTGCTGAAGCCAGATTCAAGAGGAGAATGATATGAGCTTCCCAGTGTAACTGTTCCGAGCTTGACTATTTTGTCCACAACTGCAGGTCTTGACATGAGTTGTGTTTGCGAGTTGTAGAACAATGCCTGTTTAAGCAAAATATCAACGAAACCATATGTAATGATCATAAACAAACATACAAAACCAGGCAACGGTTGAACCACAGCAACAAAAATGGAATGCTTAGATATATATACATTTTCTCTGTTTGAATTCAGCAAAGTTTAGCTTTTAAATACACTAATCGAACCTGATGCTTGAAGATCCCGTCCAGCAAACTGAACGTGGCATTGGCGTTTAAGGTATTCACAATGTGTAAGGCCCGAGATACTACAAAGGCATTGTCATGGAAGCTGCAAGATCCAAAGCACACAAAAAAAAAAACAAAAAAGCTTCATCACACAAGAGTGAAACATTTTGGATACAACATATACGGCAACATAAATATATCTGTTACTATCTCAAGCTAATTTTCAATTGAATTCAGAAAATTATTCATGGAATGCGTAGATTCAGGAGAAATCATTGAACAATCGAACAACTAATTCTCAACCTAGCTAAGATATTGAGGATTGTAATTGAAGGGATATAATTAAATGGGAGGAAGATAAGTCAAACACTGACGGTAAAGGAATGAGATGAAGAACAAGAGCAACGCGAGATCCATAGTGATCAATCGCTAGCTTTAGCGGTTCCCAGGCGTCTCTGCAATCGGAGCAAACCGGATCAACATAGGCTTCGATAAGTATCGTATCCGGATTAATCTTCCGACCCGGTGGATACACGAATCCATCACGTCTCGCCGGAGGCAGTAGCTGCGCCTGTACGGTTACTCCGACGAGGAAGACAACGAACAATAAAGCCGCTCGAATCATTTTCGCTCTCGCTTTCTCTCTCTGGATTGATTTTTCTTAGGAAAACTCGACGGAGCCACGGAGAAGATGGAATTAACGGCCATGATTGCTCGGAAGCTAAGTTAGACCCAGTCCTTCATCTTAAGCCGTCGATTTCTGATTTTGATGATGTGGAAGAATCTGGTGGCGTGGAGGATTTATAAAGTACAAATGATTGATGTGAAGCGGGAAATTTTTTTTATTTTAGTTAAGCAATGACAAAACAAGTTCTTCCACTGATAGAGAAAATTCCTCAATCGATCCTCGGATTCCTAGAATTTTCTCCATCTTATTGGGCTTCTTCGTTGTCGAAGACAACGCAAGCTCACGCTCGTATACTCAAATCCGGAGCCCAGAACGATGGCTATATCTCCGCCAAACTCATTGTTTCCTACTCGAACTACAGCTGCTTCGACGACGCTAATCTCATCTTGCAATCGATTCCGGATCCCACTGTGTACTCTTTCTCTTCCCTTATATACGCGTTAACTAAAGCCAAGCTTTACTCGCAATCGCTTGGCGTGTTTTCTCGGATGTTCTCTCATGGGCTGATTCCAGATACCCATGTTCTTCCGAATTTGTTCAAAGTATGCGCTGAATTATCGGCTTTTAAAGCAGGCAAACAGATTCACTGTATATCGTGTGCCTCGGGGTTGGATGGTGATGCTATCGTTGAGGGATCTTTGTTTCATATGTACATGAGGTGCGGTGTGATGGTGGATGCACGCAAAGTGTTCGATAGAATGTCTGAGAAAGATGTTGTGACTTGCAGTGCTTTGCTCTGTGGCTATGCAAGAAAGGGTTGCCTAGAAGAGGTGGTTAGTATCCTCTCTGAGATGGAAAGATCGGGTATTGAACCTAATACCGTGTCTTGGAATGGTATTCTTAGTGGGTTTAATCGTAGCGGGTATCACAAGGAAGCAGTGATGATGTTCCAAAAGATGCATCATCTAGGCTTTTTCCCTGATGAGGTTGCAGTTTCAAGTGTTCTTCCTTCTGTCGGAGACTCGGAGAAACTGAATTTTGGGAGGCAGATTCATGGATATGTGATTAAACAGGGTCTGCTGAAGGATAAATGTGTCATTAGTGCAATGATCGATATGTACGGAAAATCCGGCCATGTCTATGGAATTATAAAGCTTTTCGAACAGTTTGAGCTGATGGAGACCGGGGTTTGCAATGCGTACATCACAGGGCTATCTCGAAATGGTCTTGTTGACAAGGCGCTTGAAACGTTTGAGTTATTCAAGGAGCAGAAGATGGAGCTAAATGTCGTGTCGTGGACTTCAATCATAGCAGGGTGTGCACAGAATGGGAAAGATATCGAAGCCTTGGAGCTGTTTAGAGAAATGCAGGTCGCTGGGGTGAAGCCAAACCGTGTAACAATCCCTTCAATGCTCCCGGCGTGCGGAAATATAGCAGCTTTGGTTCATGGGAGATCGGCTCATGGGTTTGCAGTACGAGTCCAACTTTTGGATGATGTTCATGTAGGGAGCGCTCTGATTGACATGTATGCCAAATGTGGAAGAATTAACATGTCTCAGATCGTCTTTGATATGATGCCCACGAGAAACTTGGTCTGCTGGAATTCTTTAATGAGTGGATATTCGATGCACGGGAAGGCCAAGGAAGTCATGAGCATATTTGAGTCTCTTGTGAGAACCAGGTTAAAACCCGATTTCATCAGCTTCACAAGTTTATTATCAGCATGTAGCCAAGTAGGTTTCACAGATGAAGGATGGAGATATTTCGGCATGATGACAGAGGAATATGGGATTAAACCGAGGCTGGAACATTATTCTTGCATGGTGAACCTTCTTGGACGCGCAGGGAAGTTGCAAGAAGCATATGATTTGATAAAGGAGATGCCTTTGGAGCCAGATTCATGCGTCTGGGGAGCTTTGCTAAGTTCTTGCAGGCTTCAAAACAATGTAGAACTAGCTGAAATCGCAGCAGAGAAGCTTTTCGGTCTAGAACCCGAAAACCCGGGGGCATACGTGCTCTTGTCCAATATATACGCCGCTAAGGGCATGTGGACAGAAGTAGACAGTGTTAGAAACAAGATGGAGAGCCTGGGACTGAAGAAGAACCCGGGATGCAGCTGGATTCAAGTGAAGAACAGAGTGTACACGGTTCTTGCTGGTGACAAGTCGCATCCGCAGATGGATCAAATAAAAGAGAAGATGGATGAGATTAGCGAGGAGATGAGAAAATCGGGTTACCGCCCGAATTTGGATCTTGTAATGCAAGATGTGGATGAGCAAGAGAAAGAGCAGATACTATGGGGACACAGCGAGAAACTAGCTGTAGTTTTCGGTCTTATAAACACACCAGACGGTACACCTCTTCAGGTCATAAAGAACCTTAGGATATGCGGCGATTGCCATTCAGTCATCAAATTTATATCGGGTTACGCAGGGAGAGAGATTTTCGTTAGAGATACGAATAGGTTTCATCACTTTAAAGATGGTATTTGTTCTTGTGGAGATTTTTGGTGACATTTTTGGAGTTTAAGAAGAAAAAAAAGATTTGGGATCATCGAGTAATTTGATTCAGTACTACTCACTATAAGTTCCTTAGAAGATTCAGAACCTTGGTAAGTTGATGATACATTCGAAGGTCTGAAGCCGCCCATTCTCTACACTTATAAGAGAAGGGCCAAAGGAGTACGGGCTTGAAAAGGAACAGGTCTCGTGAGTATAGTGTTAACATTCTAGAAAAGCGACGAGGCGATATTTTGTGAGAAGGAAGACACGTGGAGAGGTAAGGTTGGGGGAATAAAGACTGCACACGAGACGTGAGCAAAAAGGGAATCTCTTGGGATCTGTAAATAAAAGGGGTTGGTTATTTTGCTTTTTCATCACGGAGTTGATCAAGAGAGAGGGGTGAGGGGAGAGAGTCTTTCCTATTGATTCTCTGTTTTTGTAAACAATTATCTGATCAATTCCATTAAAGTACTTATTATTAATTTGGTGATTACTACACGTAACAAATTTGGTATCAGAGCAAGACGATCGCCGGGAAACATGCTTCCGCGAGTTCAAAAAACCGACAAACGAACGGACATGGAGAAGCTGTTCGACCAACTCCAGGTGATGACGGTGTCCCTCGAGAAGGTGAACGTGTTGGAAACAAAGGTGACTGCGTTGAGGAACTCACAAAGCTTCCCGCGCAGATCATCTATCTCCAGCAGAAGATCGAAGAGATGGACCGCGGAAAACGGAAAGAGACGGAGACCTCCGTGGAAAACCCGAGTCCGATGAGCGCCTCGTCGAGTGAACCACGATCAGGAGAAGAACGGGTGGTTCTGGTAGAGACAGGGACGCCGATCAGTCAACGCGGAGAAGCGTTGACCGTGAGGGATGACTCGCTGGCAAAGAAAATGGCCATCCCCGAGTTTGACGAGAGCAACGCAGAGGCGTGGGTTTTACAGGTGGAGCAGTACTTCGAGTTGAGTAGCTTCACTGAGGAAGAAAAGCTGAAGGCTGTGCGGATGAGCTTTGTGGGTGATGCGCTTTCCTGGAATCGTTGGGCGCGAGAACGTGATCCCTTTTCGAGCTGGGAGCAGATGAAGCTACGGGTGCTGAGTCATCACTCGACGACGCTCGATACCACCCCGGGGCACGTCTATTAAAGATGAAACAGGTGGGATCCATCCGTGAATACTGCTAGGAGTTCATCACTTTAGCATCTAACGCCTCATAGCTGTCGGAACAAGTCCTGGAAATGGCGTTTATGAACGGACTCGATTCGAAAATCCGATTACATGTAAGGATGCTCCGACCTCACAATCTGGATACGATGATGAGTCTGGCACATATGGTAGAAGACTGGGAAGAGTACGGAAACCCTACGTCGTTCCTGAGCTCTGGTGACAGTGGAGGAGATTCACGATTCACGGGAGGAAGAAACGGGCCATCTGGAAATAAATGGGGACAAACAACGGGTATTGGGCCAAATTTTAAGCCCAAGCCCAACTACCAGAGCTTCAATAAGTCAACGCCGCAGAGGGGAGGAGGAGGAAATAACCTAAAGGGACACGATCGACTGAAACCACTGTTTCGACGACTGACACCGGCGGAGATGGCAGAACGGAGAGCGAAGGGGTTGTGCTTCCGTTGTGATGAGAAATACGGCTACAACCACCGGTGCGCTCAAGCGGAATTGCGGGTAATGGTGGTTTACGGTGATGGGCGAGAAGAAGAATGGGTGGAGGATTCTGAAGGGCAAAACGAGGGGGAAGCCGAGCTGGTGACAGAGCTAGCTGAGCTATCCCTAAATTCCATGGCCGGAATTTCATCGCCAAGGACCATTAAGCTGATGGAGACTATCCAGGGGTTGTCCGTCGTGGTGCTGATCGACAGTGGAGCCTCGCACAACTTCCTGAGCGACACCGTGGTCAAACAGCTAGGGATACCGACAGAGATGACAGGAAGGTACGGCGTCCTTACCGGCACCGAGATCATGGTGAAGGGAACAGGCCTTTGCACAAATGTCGAGCTGGAGATGCAAGGGTACCAGATGGTCGCGAATTTCTTTCCATTGGGGTTAGGAGGAGCTGACGTAGTGTGCAGTGGTTGGAGACCTTGGGGGATATGCAGAATAACTGGAAGTTGCAGACGATGAGCTTTCAGGAAGGGGGCAAAACGATTAAGCTACAGGGCGACCCGAGTATCTGTAGCTCTTCGGTTGCTCTCAAGGCACTCTGGAAGGCATGGGAAAGACAAGGAGAAGGTATGGTAGTGGAGTTATGTGGCCTACAAGCAGAGGAGAGGGAGGCCGTGAATGCCCCTGAGGAACTTGCTCAGGTACTCGAGGACTATAAAGAAGTCTTCGTGGAACCTCAGGGCTTACCCCCATCGCGTGGAAGAGAGCACAGCATCGTGTTGACGGTGGGTACCGATCCTGTCACGTACGGCCGTTTCGCTATCCTCAGGTGCAGAAGGAGGAAATCGAGAAACAAGTAAAAGCGATGCTCATAGCGGGGATTATTCAACCCAGTGGAAGCCCGTATTCGAGCCCTGTACTTCTGGTGAAGAAAAAAGATGGGAGTTGGCGTTTTTGTGTGGATTATAGGGCCCTCAACAAATCCACAATTTCACACAGCTATCCCATTCCCATGATTGACCAGCTTTTAGACGAGTTGCAAGGTTCAGTGGAAGGCACTTCCGGCTTATGAGAATTCGTGGGAGTGGAAGTCGAGTTTGCAGAAGCTATTTCCCACCTTCGACCTTGAGGACAAGGTCGGTTTCAAAGGGGAGGGAAATGATACATTCGAAGGTCTGAAGCCGCCCATTCTCTACACTTATAAGAGAAGGGCCAAAGGAGTACGGGCTTGAGAAGGAACGGGCCTCGTGAGTGTAGCGCTGACATTTTAGAAGAGCGACGAGGTAATATTTTGTGAGAAGAAAGACATGTGGAGAGGTAAAGTTGGGGGAATAAAGACTACATACGAGACGTGAGAAAAAAGGAAATCTCTTGGGATCTGTAAATAAAGGGGGGTTGGTTATTTTGCTTTTTCATCACGGAGTTGATCAAGGGAGAGGGGTAAGGGGAGAGAGAGTCTTTCCTATTGATTCTCTGTTCTTGTAAACAATTATCTGATCGATTCCATTAAAGTACTTGTTATTAATTTGGTGATTACATTGTGCTTGATTACTACACGTAACAGTTGACTGAAGATATAGTGGATGATGATTCTTGCAGAAATTTGGTCGTTGGCTGATCATGTTATTAAAACCCATGATCATATATAGATTGTACTTAGTCTAACAGTTAGCCCGTCTAGCTCAGTTGGTAGAGCGCAAGGCTCTTAACCTTGTGGTCGTGGGTTCGAGCCCCACGGTGGGCGCTTTTTTTGTTTCCTTGAGAAAGTTTAACGAAACGCACCGTTTACAACCGAAAAATATCTCCATCATAAAAAAAAATTTTCGCTCGAAAAAAAATATTTTAGACTTTTAGGAAAATAATAATAGGCAAATAATTAGATGTCAGATATCCTCCAACCACGTTTTCACAGAGCCACACCATCATAGTTCAACACAACTCAGAGATCACAATTTCATCTCTCCGTTCGTTCCAGGTACGTGATTTGTTCATCAGATCTTCATCACAGTTCGATTTTTATCTCATATTCTTCACTCTCTCAGGCTCAAATTTTATAATTGGATCGAATTTCCATTGACTTCGTTTCATTTTGTTATCGATTTGTTCCCGCCTCGCGTTGTGGCTTTTGTTTTCTTCCAGAAATTGTGCTGCGGCTTGATTTGATCTTGATCTGTGATAATGGGGGCGAGTGGCATCGACATCGATGAAGGAGCTCTTGAGATCGGAATGGGTAAGTCACCGATCATGGATCATGGATCACATATTATCGTTGGTCTTCTTCTTTTCTACTAAAACGTTGGTTGACTAACGGATAAGGGAGATTGATTTCATATTTTCTTTTGGTTCGAATTTTGCATTTTAAGCTTCAGTGAACGATCTAGCCTCTTTGTCATTCTTATCGAATAGTCGTCTAATTTTGTGTGATTAGTATCAGTCGTTTCCTGTAGCTGATGTTATGGGTTAGCTTTTCTTCCTGCTTTTTGTTTTTCGTAAGAGACTGATTGGAGAATCTTTGAATTGTAGAGTATAGAACTGTCTCTGGGGTTGCGGGACCCTTGGTCATCCTTGAAAAAGTGAAGGTAAAAAACATGGATAACGAGAAGCTTTGCTATCGAATATTTGCTTTTTTTCTTTTTCAGGAAAACTTTCTGACTCTAATGAAATGTTTAAACATACCTGCAGGGTCCAAAGTACCAGGAGATTGTTAATATTCGCTTAGGAGATGGATCAATGAGACGTGGTCAGGTCTTGGAGGTTGATGGAGAGAAAGCAGTTGTCCAGGTTAATGTTTTTTTTTCTTTTTTTTTTCGTGTTACTCTTGCTTGAATTCTGCATTACACTAACTTTTCGAATCTAGTTGTACAAATGCAATTTATGCACAGGCTTTAAAGGTTCGCTGTTGTTAAATAACTTACTCATCTAATGGTTTCAGGTTTTTGAAGGAACATCTGGAATTGACAACAAATTTACTACGGTGCAATTCACTGGAGAGGTAGTTTACTAGAACTTCACCACTTAAGCGTTTCCCCCATTGGTTAAAATGTTGTTTTGGCAGCTTTCTGAGAACGGATTGCTTATAGTTTTGTTGTTTAACCTTTTATGTTCATGGTATGTGTTTCAGGTGCTGAAAACACCTGTATCACAAGACATGCTTGGGCGCATATTCAACGGCTCAGGAAAGCCAATTGATAATGGCCCTCCTATTTTGCCAGAGGCATACCTCGATATTTCTGGTGAGTTTTGATTGTCTCATTGTGTGATCTCTGAAGCAAAAAAAAAATGTTGTTGTTTTAACTGTGTCGGCAAATAATACTTATAGGAAGCTCAATCAACCCTAGTGAAAGAACCTATCCTGAAGAGATGATCCAGACAGGGATTTCTACCATTGATGTCATGAACTCCATTGCTCGTGGACAGAAAATTCCTCTTTTCTCTGCTGCTGGTCTACCACATAACGAAATAGCTGCTCAAATTTGTCGTCAGGCTGGTCTTGTTAAGCGGTTGGAAAAGACTGAGAACCTTATTGAGGTAATTGTTTGCCCTCATTACATCCACTAAAGTACTTTTATATTCTAAGGATCTTGTTGAAGACTTAAAGTGTTAGTGTGTATGTGCCCATATTCACTTACTAACTAATGTAGATGGATTTAAGTATCTCTACGAATTTTGCGGGACATGTAAAGGGCCATTGACTTATCAGGATACTCAACTTCTGTGACAATTGAGTATCCTACTTTGTTAGGATATTAGTCTCGGATGTATTTGTTTGCCTTGTAAAATCCTTTGATTTTCTTCCCTTTTTTTTCCAGGATCATGGAGAGGACAATTTTGCAATTGTTTTTGCAGCTATGGGTGTAAACATGGAGACAGCTCAGTTCTTCAAGCGTGATTTTGAAGAAAATGGATCAATGGAAAGAGTTACCCTTTTCCTGAACCTGGTAACTTAATACTTTTGTATCTTCTACCCCTCTTGCCGTATCTTATTTCTTTCATAGTACTACTATATTCATATTAACACAATTTTGCAATTATTATGCATTTCACTCCAACAGGCAAATGACCCGACCATCGAAAGAATTATCACTCCTCGAATTGCTCTCACAACCGCAGAATATCTAGCTTATGAATGTGGGAAGCACGTGCTTGTTATATTGACAGACATGAGTTCGTATGCAGATGCTCTTCGTGAGGTATAATATCTTTCATTGGTCTCTATGTTCCGTGACTCGAAATTTCATTAATATTTTCACAAACTTCAACCAGCATGAATATGTTTTAAGAAATCTACCTTCGACATATTTTGATGAACTGTAGGTCTCGGCTGCTCGAGAAGAAGTGCCTGGAAGGCGTGGTTATCCGGGTTATATGTATACAGATCTTGCAACTATTTATGAGCGTGCAGGGCGTATTGAAGGAAGAAAGGGTTCCATTACCCAAATTCCTATCCTCACTATGCCCAATGATGGTAAAAAATCGTATCATTCTTGAGATTCTCTTTTTTTATTATTATTATATAAAAAAAAGCTCATAGTATTTCTTGTGTGTAATACTCAGACATCACTCACCCTACTCCGGATCTTACTGGTTACATTACTGAGGGTCAGATCTATATTGACAGGCAACTTCACAACAGACAGGTGCGATATGCTTTACTCGTTTTGCATATCTGTCATTGTTTTCTTTCTAACTGGTAGAAAAAAATTTCCTCGTCAATCTACATTGAGCTCTTATCTTGTCTTGGTTCTTCCTAAAACAGATATATCCACCCATTAACGTGCTTCCATCACTTTCTCGATTAATGAAGGTAGCCAAGCCATTTTGATTATATACCTTTCTGGATTCACATGGATTGAAACATACTAATGACTTATTGATTTAAACATTGTTCAATTCTGCAGAGTGCTATTGGTGAGGGAATGACTCGCCGTGACCATTCTGATGTGTCCAACCAGGTTTGCTACTTATAAGATTTTACTTTACTAAAGTATCTCATTAGTATCATCAAACCCCAACCGAAAAATATTCTGTTGAATTTCAGCTATACGCAAACTATGCAATCGGGAAGGATGTTCAAGCCATGAAAGCTGTCGTTGGAGAAGAAGCTCTTTCCTCTGAGGATCTGGTACCTCTCTCTACTCAATTACGTTCATGTTTATATCAGTATACGGACAACAACAATTTCTCACAACACTAGCTTCATGCGTTGTGGTTCTGCAGCTGTATCTAGAGTTTCTGGACAAATTTGAGAGGAAGTTTGTGATGCAAGGCGCATACGACACAAGAAACATCTTCCAGTCACTTGACTTGGCATGGACACTGCTCCGTATCTTCCCTCGTGAGCTTCTTCACCGTATTCCCGCCAAAACACTTGATCAATTCTACAGTCGCGACGCCACAAGCTAAGCCCTTTAAAACAACCTCTATCTATGTTTCTCCATTCTCATTTTATTTTGGCATTTGAATGGTATCGAGAGAAGAAAAAAAACAGGATTGCTTTTAAAAAAAACTCAGAGATTTGTGGATTTGGGATTTTCTTTTGTTTTTTTTTTCCGTTGTATAATAAAAAGGTTTGTGTAGAGAAGAAATTTCGTACAAAAACGCAATATATAAGCCTTATGTTTGTATTCCAAATTGGGGAATCATGTCTTTTTGTTGTTGTGTAATAATCTATTCCATCATACTTTTATATCAATGTTCCGGAGTTTGTGCAATGTGTTAAACATTTCTTATACTTGGTCTAACGGTTCTCTTGATATACAAAATAGAAATTAGATTTTTCTCTTGTATATATACTAGAGAATTTCAACTATGGCCATGATTTAAAGGTTAAAAAATATGGCCATAATATCATCTCCTGATGAAAACCACCAAAAATCGAGTCACTGACGTAACCCAAATTAAGAATGTTTCGGTCCCTTATGCTGATTTGGGTATATGAATGAATGTAACAGTTTAGCTTTCATATTAAGATGACATTTTTTTTTTTTGATGATAATAATGTTTTAATCACAAAAAGACAGCACAAAACTAAGTAATTCACATCATCTGTTGAAAGGACAAACTTTATGGCTCATATACCAATGAGCAACAGTATCTCTAGTCCATCCTAATTTAATCTAACGATTCTATCTTTTAGTAATCCTCTAATGATATTGTGATCCTCTGAATCCCATCAAAACAAAAATATATTGCTGACCAATACACTGAGCCGCGGGGGAAAAAATACAAACAAACATCAACTCTCTGTAGTTTTTGGTTCCGACATTGCATTTCTTCCACCATCAAGGAAACAGTATACAGTCCTGCCCAATAAAAAAAAGGATAATGTAAGAACCAAGAACAAACACACGATACTTTTATATGGACATCGATAACAAGCATATATGTGTGGGAGAGGAAACTATGTTGAATTAGAGAGATTAGTTGATGTTTACTACATTTTCATCATTGATGATTAAGTTACTTCCTCGAGTCCCTTAACCACTCTATTTGCTAAGATAACACAAACATAATGGGCGTAAACTAATGAGTAAAAGAGCGTTACCAGCAATCAAACACGCTAGACTTTGTACTCCCCAACATGCATCCATTTGGTAGATGACCACTTGTGCCCTCTAATCACAGGACATCCACCTAGAATCAAGAGGAAATGCATATTATCAACTACACACTCGATGGTATCAGGAAAAAAAAAACAAAAAATTACAAAAGAGTGTTTTATATGATTAATACCATGTAAGCTTGTAGGATCCAGTGTAGCATCGGGCCTCATGCTCCAAAAGAGTAACGCATCGCCCATTCTCGGCTTTACAGAAACTCCCTTTTTCCCACACTCGGAGAGCTCGTTGTACCATGGCACAGCGCTAAAATTCATATTGGCAGCAGGAAACACCGTTTCACCGCCTTCTTCAACATCCGACCTGTATCGAAGAAGAAGAAGAAGAAGACAAGATTTGGTAAATAACTAGAAGAACATGGCAACCTTTCGAAATAAGATAACAGACTTGGAAAAATCTTACAGATACATAAGCATTGTCGCCATCCGTTGACCTCCATTCTTAGTGTTGAACTCGTCCACAAAGTAATCATAGTGTGGTTCATACTTTTGCCCTGCTTCGTAGTGAAGAACTTGGAGTCCTTCTCCATGCTCTGCACATTCCATAATCATCTTAATACTAAATGAATAGCATAATTCATAACGCAGAAGAAAGCTGAGATTATCTCGTTCCGACACTAATTAGATACATACAGTCACAAATTTAGTCCAAAGCTGCTATTGATCAATTATAAAGTCTCTCATATACCTGCTGGAATAAAGGTGTAGTCTGCAATTCTTTTCTCAATAGTCTTAATGATTTTGTCTCTTCCTCTCCTAAGGAAAGTCCCTGAGCTTGTTCGAACCCTGAATGTGTGTAGTTTTCACAAATCAATCAGAACAACAATACACACAATACATGATTGAAGCATATATCACCATCCATGGGAGAAAAGGAAACCGAACCTGCTATCTTTGCTCTTCCCGGTTTGGCTATCTACAACAGTTGACTTCACCATATGTGGTTTGGCAAGACTAATTAAATATTCACATTCTTCCTTCGACTGGTCAAATCAAATAATAAACTATAAGATTCAAGAATTGAGTTTTTTTTTTTTGGTTCAAACATGCGTCGATTTCGAACTAAAAGACAGTAAAGATCGAAATTTGATTTAAAATGACCAACAAATCAATTGCAAAATTTCCAGTTAATCGAAATAAAATCTAAGAATTAAGAACAGTACTAACCAAGAAGTTGTGGTAGACGAAAGCCCTGGGTTCCCACGAAAGCACTTCAGTCCACTGATCTCCTCTCTTCCCAAGTCCATCCTCACTTCTGAATGTCGATAAAAATGAAAACAAAAAATTTAATAAAAAGAAATCAAATTCCCTTGACAGATCAAGAGAAATTCGAGACAATTTCATGCACCTCTCAGTTGCAGCTCGTCTGAAATAAGAGAGATCGATCGGAGAAGATTCGTCGTAGTTATTGATTGGAAGAGAGAAAACCCCAAACGCCAAAAGCATTAAGAGAACAATCGTTAACATGAAAAGCATAAACAGAACCAGCATCAATGTCGACCATTTCCTCGCCTGAAATCGCGAGTGTCTCAGTTTCGCCATCAGCTAAAGATCCACCCGACAAAACAAAAACACGAGAACGAAAAAAAAGTATTGTAAACGAAGAGAGACGGGAATCGAACGGAGAATCAAATCACAAAACCCTGAGATGCAGATAGAAAAAAAAAAAACAAGAGAGATCAAATATATATTTCGTACTTATTTCTTGTCAGGATTTCTTCCTCTCCTTTATTTCCTCTATCTCTGTTCTAACACGCCGTGTTTACAAAATTCTTAAATGACATATCTACCCTTATATACGCAATGGTCGGTAACTTGGTCGTTGATAGATATATGGATGATTGTGTAATTTCATTTTGGTTTTTTTTGGCAGCACAATGTTTTAGTTTCTTATTAAACCAATGGGCTATTGTGGATTAATAGATTTAATACATTTCTATAATAACTAAAGTATCATCTTTGACTACACATAAACATACACATATGATATTCCTCTTTACCAAAATAATAATATTTCTCTAAATAAATATGAGCTGTTATAAACTATCGTTACTTACTTACTTTATACTTTAAATTTTTCTAAAATGCTCGCTATGGTTTGTATACATAATCATTAAAATATAAACAAAACTCACTGTATTTTTTTCTAAATGTCATCAACATGCGTTATACGTACTTGATGGCATATGGTAAGTTGGTAACACAATAACGATGATAGCACAAGCACAAGCCTCAACTCACAAACTAAGCTTATGTAACTCAAACTTTTTTCACTGTTAATGTATTGACAAAGCTCATGATTATATATCGCAGTTTTACTTTTAAAAATGGTTAAAAATGTGCTGACGCAAAACCTACGATTACAACATTACATCAACACTATACAAAGATGGGCATCAAATGTTTGATGATATCAAATTCACATATTGTCAAAGATCTTTAAATCAATGCGCAGATTTACTAGCAAAGCAAGGAGTATCTACAAGATATATATGGGGTTTATATCATAGTTGTCCAAACTTTCTTAGATATAAAGTTTAAAAAAAAAAAAAACTTTCTTAGATATATTGTATCAAACGATTGTAACAGTACAAATAAATAATAGATGTAAGACGAAAAAAAAAAATTTGTGCTGAATCCAGAGATCATACGTCTACGAAACGTTTGCTAGTAAACGTTATTACTGCGTTTTACCAAAACTACATTTAAAATTTCACAAAAGAAAAATCAACAACCTTATCAAACAAATATTGGGCCTAACTTAATGGGCGTACTTATATGGGTACATGGGCCTATCTAAGCCTGAATCATAAACCTGAAAAGTGTAAACGTTGATCATTAAGAACACTGTACAATCTTTAGACGTGCGTGCGTCGAAGTAACAAGCCTAACAAATATACATCCCTCTCAATCTCATAATAAACCCTTAAATCGAAAGACTCGTATATAAAAACCATTGTATTTGCAATTCAATTTTGTCCCAAACAAGAAACTCACACTTGTGTTATTTATTTCAATAACGAAACTCCTCAAACTTGGGTAATCCAAAAAGAGGACCAAACCACTTATCGATCGTTCTTTGAATGCTTCTCTTCAACAAAAAGAAACATCCATAGTGATTATGCTCGTGATCTTGATCTTCGCCGTCGTCATCAATCAGCTCTTCCCGCCAATAAATACGCTTGGAAGTAATTGGATCAAAGAGAGGCTCTTTAACCTTGATGTAACGCCGTTTTAAAGACTTAGGCATATCCTTGAACGGTGGCGTCTGGGTCCCAGCTGGATGACAGAACGGAATCAGATTCTTTAACGACACATGCTCCTCCGTTTTCCTCTCGTTCTCCGGCGCCGGCGCCGACGGCAATATTTGATGAGATCCCAGTGATTGATTTCTGTTGTTTTTCCTGAGGTTTTGGAGTAGTAACTATATAAGGATTAAGGATCATAAACAACAAAAAGGTTATGTATGTGTTTGTGTATATATACGGTGATACAATTATATAATTAAAAGTTGGATTAGGATTTAAATACTAGTCCGAGTAGGAATTATAGATGGAGAGAAGAGAGCATAAGCGTGTGTTGTACGTTTGGATTTCTCTCTGGAATGTAATGTGAAATTTCCAAAGCTTAGATCGGATTATGAACGAAGATTTAAGTTTTAGAAAGAGTCGTTTCCTTTTTTTTAATTAGTTTACTCCTAAACCATATGTCATTAGGATTTATATTAAGACTTCTTCGATGTTTTAATTTTATTTTCTTCCTTAGCCAATAAGCTAGGTCTGAAACTATCTTATGTTTATTTTTATAATAAGAGAATAATTTTTTTCTCCTTGCAAAATTGCGAGTCGGATTATTGGCATGGTCAAGCTGCTTATGTACCCCAACTGACTAAAAAGTAACAATTAGCATCATCCAATATTACTTCATCCAAAGTGACTCACAAAATCTTAGCTCCAAAAGCTTCTGAGACATCACATATATAATACGTGTAGGCGACGACTATGAGTTTTAATGTATAAGTATATATGCAAAGAGATTAGTAGACCTTTCATGAAATTCTGACTTGGCGAATGTTTTGCCGGCAATAGATTACATAATTGGTTGAATTCTATTCGAGAGAATACTAATACAATATGAAAGAGACTTTTGTCAATAACTCGTATACAACATTTTAAATCATAGTTTAAATTCAGGTAGTGACATGATAATGACATTACTAAACTTGGAATCTCTCAATAATTTTTTTTAAAGTTTCATATGGTGTAAATAGTTCATTTCATTCCTTTGTGGGTTTCTTTCTATTATAGAGTAAGTCTTGTAAAACATTCTTGCTCTTGCTACAATCAATCAGTGCAACAAAGTCTCTTTTTTTTAAACAACCATTTTGGTTAATTCGCTCTATAAATTTAATTATATAGTAGCTGTGTGTGTTTGTGTAACGTTGAAAAGTGTACATTCGTTTCAATCATACGGTCACTGAAACGACGCCGGTTCAGCTCGTTTGGAAGCAAAGCAAATTTGACCTTTTTAATAATTCGATGAGCTTCCTCCTTCACAAACGCCACTCCGCGTTCGAGTGAGTGTGACCAAATCTCCCATTGATGGCGTTAATACGATCAAAACTCCGTCTTTCTCGATCCTTTTCCTTCGTCTCTTCTCTTTTACCCAAACCCTTCACCACCTCTGCTTCGTCCCTACACCAAGACCATGAAATCGACGAATCCGCCGCCGCCGTCGCCGACGTCTCTGTCCCTGTCTCACCTGCGCTAACTCTGGAGGATACACAGACGGTAGAAAAGCTCCACTCCATCATCAAAGATCACTATCGGAAAAACCCTACAAACCCCGAAGACACCGTCTTAAACCCTAGCTCCACCCTCCCCGCTCTCTCCCTCGTTTTCTCCCAAATTTCCGCCGACGCCTCCCGAATCTCCCCCTCCGTCGTGCGATGCGTGATAGAGAAGTGCGGCGGCGTCCGCCACGGGATCCCTCTCCTCCAGTCTCTAGCTTTCTTCAACTGGGCCACCTCGCGAGACGGGTACGACCAGAGTTCCCCTCACCCGTACAACGAAATGGTCGATCTCGCCGGGAAGGTAAGGCAATTCGACCTAGCTTGGCACTTGATCGACCTCATGAAATCCAGAAACGTCGAGATCTCGATCGACACCTTCACGATTTTGATCAGGCGTTACGTTAGAGCTGGGTTAGCCTCAGAGGCTGTACATTGCTTTAACCGCATGGAAGATTACGGATGCGTTCCTGACAAAATCGCCTTCTCCATAGTCATTAGCATCCTCTCTAGGAAGAGAAGAGCCAACGAAGCTCAGTCGTTTTTCGATAGCTTGAAAGATAGATTCGAGCCTGATGTTATAGTCTACACGAATCTTGTTCGTGGGTGGTGCCGAGCCGGTGAAATCTCAGAGGCGGAGAGAGTCTTCAAGGAGATGAAACTTGCAGGGATCGAGCCGAACGTGTATACTTACAGCATCGTGATCGATGCCTTGTGTAGATGCGGGCAAATCAGCCGCGCGCACGACGTCTTCGCGGATATGTTAGATTCTGGATGTGCTCCAAACGCCATTACTTTCAACAATCTGATGAGGGTTCATGTGAAAGCAGGGAGAGCAGAGAAAGTTTTGCAGGTTTATAACCAGATGAAGAAGCTTGGATGCGAGCCCGACACCATAACTTACAACTTCCTCATCGAGACTCACTGCAGAGACGAGAATCTTGAGAGCGCGGTCAAGGTTTTGAACACGATGATCAGGAAGAAGTGCGATGTGAACGCTTCAACTTTCAACACGATCTTCAGGTGCATCGAGAAGAAGGGGGACGTGAACGGCGCGCACAGGATGTATTCGAAGATGGTGGAGGCCAAGTGTGAGGCGAACACGGTGACGTATAATATACTGATGAGGATGTTTGCGGAGTCGAGGTCTACTGATATGGTTTTGAAGATGAAGAAAGAGATGGATGCGAAAGATGTTGAGCCGAACGTGAACACTTATAGGCTTTTGGTTACGATGTTCTGTGGGATGGGGCACTGGAGTAATGCTTATAAGTTGTTTAGAGAGATGGTTGAAGAGAAGTGTTTGACACCGAGCTTGTCTTTATATGAGATGGTTCTTGCTCAGTTAAGAAAAGCTGGGCAGTTGAAGAAGCATGAAGAGTTGGTGGAGAAGATGATTCAGAAGGGACTCGTTGCTCGGCCATTGTAGGAAACCTTCCAAGCATTAATTCACAACTTTCTTTCTCTCGAGAATTTTTTACGACATTTTAAAGGCAATTTTGTAACTTTGTTTCGGGCACAACACTGGTTAACTTGAATCAAGAAGTATTAATGTACCATGTACTCTGTTTTTTCTTTATCAGTCAATATGTTCTTCGTTTCCTCAGGAAATGCAACTTTTCTTGAATCAATGATGACAAATTCCCAAATGATTTGTCTATGTATACAAAGCTATGCAAACAACAATTAGTTTGTTTTTAAAACAAAAAGGAATTTGGATCCTTTAATGCGTGTGTACAAGAGAAGACTCAAGAGAGGAAAGTATGCCTAAGAAGTAGTTCTCAATTAGAAAAATGTAGAACAGCATTTAATTCAGTCGTAACTTGTAACATATAAACAAGTTAAGACTCAAGAGAAGGAGTATTTCACGGAAAAGATTTGCGAAACTGCATTTAACAAGAGAAGACTAAAGAGGGGAACTAGTCTTAGAAAGTAATAAATTGTTAGATTAGTATTGACAACTATTTGGAAATGTTATGTATGTGTGACATTAACATATAACAGCATTTGTCGTCTATTGACCAAAAGCCATAAGGACAAGTGTTCACTTTGCACGTCGCTTTCACTGTTCCTGTACTAATTATTTTATTTAATTAATCCCATACAATTAAGCATAAAAATCATGTGGTTTATTATTATCCTCTAAATCTAATGTACAGCACATGTGGGATTAATCCCATAAAAAAGTCAAATAAATCATTAATTTAATCCGTGTAGAAGAAGAAGACAACCTAAACAATAAGGAAAACTATAAACCGAAACAAACATAAATGACTATAAGCCATAAATGTCTTCTCCGGTTTAGCTCAGCTTTGACCAAAACCCCCTCTCCGTAACGTCATCACCGTTGACAATTTCAATTGAGTTTCTCTATCATACTCGGATTCTCACTTTCTAAGAAATTTCAGACACAAACAACAGAACATATAAAACCAAGAGTCTCTGTTTCGCATCTGTATTACTTTTGTGAATAAATGGAAAAAGCTTCCAACAACAACTCCACGAAACTCTCGAAGATGCTTCAAAGAGCGTTGTCCATTGGTCACAGCGCGGCGCCGTTTACTCCGGCAAGAGATCTCCGTCACCAACGCACGACTTCGATGGCGAGCAGAGGATTTTTCTTCTCCAGTCCAATAACACCGTTGCTTCCGACGGCGGCTAGAGCTAGGAGAAAAAACAAAAACGCCGTCGTTTGGGCCGAGCCCACTTCGCCTAAAGTCTCCTGCATCGGTCAGATCAAACTCTCAAAGCCCAAATGTCCTCCGGAGAATAAAAACAGAGCAGCACCTAAGAATCTCAAAATGGCGTCGTCTTCTCTAATTAAGGAAGAAGGCAATAAAGGAAGCTTTTCGAAACTAAAACGTCTCTTCTCTACGGGAAGGAATCCGTCGAGAAAGTCCATCTCCACCGACTTGGCCGTCGTGAACGAATATCCGGTAGCGGTGTTGGAAGCGGTTGCGGCGCCTTCATTGGGTAAAATGAAGAAATTTGCGAGCAGCAGAGAAGCACTCGGTGGATTCGAATGGACGGTCGAGATGAAACGTGAAGAATCTCGATTGGACCATCGCCGATGTTACTCTTCCGATGACGAAGAGGTGATGATTCCATGCTCTGTAAGCCTGCCTCTGACTCAGCGAGAGGGTTTAAGTCTATGTCCGAAACCGAAGAGTGAAGTTAATTTGTGGAAGAGAAGAACTGTCGACCGACCAAAACCGCTTCAACTTAAAGCTACTTGCTGAATTGTCTTCGTTACTATTTGTCTTTTGTGTCGGAATTTCGTTTCTACGTACTAAGTCTGAATTTTGTGAATACATCAAAACCACAAAAATAATTAGACTTGTGAATATCTTAGCAACGTTTTTGTTGTTATATTCGGTCTGAAATATACAAAAAATCGCAAATTTTGTCAGTAATCCGTATATGATATTAATGGCCGATTTGAAATCATATGCTATCAAGGTTAGAAGCGAAACATTGGCCTGTGTTCCCAACAAGTTAGCTGAGTGAAAGTTCAAAGTTTTTCGGAATTATTTTCGTGTCTTTATAGAATAGAAACCAACAAAAATTCTGGCCGAAGAACAACGCTTTCGTGTGCCTTAAGTAATTTTTATCGAGTTACAACCAAATTTTCACTATTAGCAAGAGAAATAAACGCATTGCATAGATACAATACTCTCTTATAGCATATTACAGCAACAGTTTGATGATATCATATATGTGTTGTATACGAACGCCCACCTCAGCCATTGGACATATATGCTTTTCTTGGCTATAATGTCCGCACAATCATTGGCTTGTCTCCCATCGAAAGTGATGATTCACACTTTATCAGTATACATTTGACGTCTTGCCCATTCAAATGGTTTGGCTACTGCCTTGATGAAAACATGTGAGAATTACTCTCAAACATTACCTCTTCAAAGCCAAGATTATCTAAGTAGGTCATTGCATGAAGTAGAGAGAATGTTACTTCTGTCTCTACTACATATTGCAACCTCGGGTAGGATTTCAATCCGATTAATAGAGTTGATTTTAGCCCATCACCACAAGAGACTAATGATTGTTCCCGATACTTAAACCAACGTGTAGCCTAAACGTAATGGAAAACACTTGAACCAAATAATTAATCGAAGAGAAGAAGGTGTTAAATTACATGGGCTTCCAACCTAAAACCAATTGACAGTAAGTAGATTGGCTCATGTTCCTTATATATTAGTTATGATCACTTCCAACTTTCGATGTGAGATATTATCCCTAATAATCTAACCTGATCCATAATCGATATGTGACCCAAAGATGGTCTGTCGATCCTTGCTCAACCATTACCGAGATCAATGGCCAAAGTAGGGATAATATCCCACATCGGAAGTTGGAAGAGATCCTAACTAATATATAAGGAGCATAGACCAATCCACTTACTGCTAATTAATTTTAAGTTGGAAGCGCATGTAACTTAACAGAAGATGGATATTAGATGGATATTGTTTCTCCTGAAGGTGGGTATTGTTTCTCCTAAAAGTGGATGATGGAGTCAATATGCAGCATTAGAGAAGCGACCTGAACCGATTCTATTGGTCCTCGAGCTACACTAAGGAAGAGATCGTTCTCTTTGCTTTCGAACCTGACGTATTGATCAGGGAATATTCGAAAATTGATAGTTGGAAATCCCCATCAAAAAATCGATCAATCAATTTATTGTCAATTAGAATGAATGAGAAGTTTATGAAACTTAATAAAGAATTGACCCGAAAATCTCACGGTATTACTAATTGTACAAAAGGAAAGGCAATGTCATCCAAACATTAGCTCAAATGTGAGTAAGAGCAATGTATTCTTCCAATTTCCTCATTACATTACATGGGAGACGCCATTGTTTTTCATCAGAGAAAAAAGTAGTTGGTGAAGTTAATATTTGCTATTGATAAAACCATAAAAGAAGAATTTTTTTTTTCTTTGAACCTCCATCAAAATGATAAGGACTTGTAATTTTATTAATATTACCACAATCAAGATCTTGCCACTAAGACCCGTTAGATAAGAGTAGTATCAGGATCTATTACAGTGTATCTACATATCCCTCCTGTCATTTTCAAATGTGAATCATCACGATCTGAAATTCGAAGGCGACAAAGCAGTTTATATATAAAAAAAGAAAAATATTAGTCCGACACACGAGGTCAGTGCAGTGAGTTGGCCAAAATTGAGCAAAAACAAAAGGGAAATGTCTTGTTATGTTTTCGTAGATCTAACCGTATAACTCAGAAAAGAATCACGTGAATTTTCTATAACGACTTTTATAATAAGGTTTATAATATCGATAATCTATATATAATACCCACCAATAATTCAGTCAACATTATAATATTTCATAGCATGCGACCACGCGCGACTCCACTCTTACCAGTTACTTGCCACAAACTGTAAACCTAAAAATGCTTCTTTATATTAATAAACAAAAGATTATTCTGCAAAGCGAGAAATTATACAAACAAAAACCAGACACACTCGTACACTAGTCAACTAGTTCCACATGCTGTCGACACCTAAGTTTACTTAAGTATCCTTGTTACAGTAATTAGTTCTAAACACTCTTTAAACCAGTGCTATAATCCACTGTGTCTCGTCGGCGCTACGCCTCCGGCGGATAATTCGAGAGCCAAATATTAGCTACTTGAAAAAGATTAAAAATTCCTTAAACACATACCAGATTAAAATCAAACAAAGGTTTTAAATCCAAAAGAGAGTACACTGATTGACTGACCACGCTGATTAACTCATAATTAAAAATCCATTGAAAAAAAAAACAAATTGAGATCGGAAGACGATTCTCTCCATACGAACCTTTTTTTTTTTTTTTTTGCTTCTCTAAGAAATTGGTTTCCGGCAGAGAATCATATGCATCGGAGAGAAAATTTCGGTTTCGCCTCCTCTGGACAAGAAATCAGCGGTTTTAAACAACATCTCGTGAACATCAACGGTTCCTTTAGGCGCAACTCCAACCGCAGACAAAATCTGAACCACAATGTGGTTCCTCCAATAAGCGATCCGACCCATCTTAAGCCGAGTCCACCACGGCTCAGCCGGTGGAGCCGCTAGATCCTTCTCCTTCACTACCTCGAACCCTACTTTCCTCGCCGTCTCGGCTATATCCGAGTAGTTCCTGAGCCCCGGAAGCGCGTTTCCTCTCTCGATCCCTTGGATGATCGCCACGTGCTCATCATCCTCCGGTTTGAATTTATCTGTCGTGACCCATTCATACGATACGTACAAGGATCCGGGTTTTAAGACCCTGTAGATCTCCGCGTACACTTCCTCAAGCTTCGGCGCGTGACACGTCGCTTCGATCGCGTACGCGCCGTCGAAGCTGTTATCATCGAACGGCATCTCGAGGAAGTTACCGCACACGACCTCACAGAGCGCGTCGAGACCAGCTTTCCTGTTGTGGTCACGCGCTCTCTTCACCTGGTACTCGTTTATCGTGATCCCGACCACGTTGGCTCGCGAGTGAGATGCAATCGCGCGCATCGGACCGCCGACACCGCACCCGACGTCCAGGATCTTTTGACCCGGTTTGACTTGGATCAGATCTACGGCCAGCTCTTCGTGGAGGCGCGTGGCGTCGCGGTGGGATTTTCCTCGGACCGAAGGAGAGAAGTGGAAGGATTGTCCCCATCCCCACTCGTAGATGTCAGTGACGAGGTTGTAGAACGTGTCGACGAAATCGGGGACTTTCTCGGCGGTTTCGATCTCTTTGGGACGGCGGAAGAAAGACCAGTACTGTTTGTAGTTGTCCTGGACTTTCTCGGCGGAGATTGAGCCGCCGGATAGATCGACGGCTCGTTTGCCTTTTCTCTCGGCTGGTCCGAGGACGCAGAGGAACCAGTAGATACCGCCGGCGACGAGGGCGCCCGTGAAGAAGAGTGCTACAGTGTCCATGTCGTTCGTTAAGAGAGAGGAGAAGAAGAGAGGGAGAGAGACGTCGAGTTTTACGCCTCTTTTACTTCGTGCCTGATTTGTGACTTAAGATAGTGTTTTTATCCTGTAAATATACTCTGTGAATATCTATATTAGACGTAAACAGATTAAATAAATCCAAATTGCTTTGCAAATAAAAAGATAAAGATAAGGCGAAATTAATAGCATTTATTTATATAAAGAACATTTTAAATTAAAAATCTAAATCAGAAGAAGAGAATGCCATAGGTCTGCTAGTTTTTTTTTTTTTTCTTCGTTGGAATGGTTTTGGCAATTTAGATAAGAGAATTTAAGAAAAAATGTATTTTGGTTAGGTTTTGTTTAAAATCCTTGTAATTTTTTGAGGTATTAAAAAAATCGAACCTTTTCATTGCTGAAGAAGTCAATAGTGAAGTAATTATGAGAATATATATTTTCTGCGTGAATTTATTATCTCCCTTTATTTCGTATTTAATATAATTAATGAGAAAAGACCTGATTTGGCCTTTGACTTAAAAAACCTAAGATATTTTATTTTCTATGGTGTTGTGAACAAGTAAATCCAAGTTATAAGGTCAAGATATAAAGGTTGCCCCCCCAAAAAAAAGGTCAAGATATAAAGGAAAGAGCGATTTAAAATGATTTTTTAATTAAAATAAATATGTCGACTCCAAGCAATTTTCAATGTTTATCTATCAAATAGAAGCTGTGTATTGTATTTAATGAAATAGATATCTCCTTAAAAAAAACTTTATTAATATTTGAAATTAAAAGTAAGGTCCCCGGCGTAAGGTGCGTAACGCCAAAATTGAACAATGGCCGTCTTTGAGGGAATCACGTGTGGTGGAAGGAGAGTACAGTTTGCTTCTTCTCTCATAGATTACAATAATTGAAAATTTAGATTATGCCACACTCGTTACCAAGCACATATGCTTCCGACACACTGATGAAATAGGAGTATAAACAATTAAACAGTTAGAGTAAAAAACTAGAAACTGTATTAATTCATCAGAGTAAATAATACCACATCTCTAACCAAATTAATATTTCCTGAGTAGAATCAGTTTAGCTGTCGTTATTTACCTCTACATGTAGTTTAAAGGCTTTTATACGGATCGTAATAATACATTCATATCTTACATATGGTGAACATATTCGCTACAACCATTCATTCTTATATCCTGAACTTTGAAATGTCCTCGTAGAAAACTTGTTCAAGCAAATCATCAGAACTCGGGAATTAAAACTAAAATAGAATTGTGAAATGAGAACAATAAAACTGATCTAAGATCTGTTTATTTTGACAAGACAACAAAAACGAAAAGGAACAAGTGATGATGAATGGACATGGGAGAGAAGTACCGACCAGAGAAGGGGGAATCACGTGGAAGCTTCTTTTTTTCATAAAGAGGCTTTTCGAATTGTTTTTACAAAAGTCGGACTCAAAGAGGCTTTTGTATTTTTTGTTCTTGTCGCTTTCTTGCTTGGCTTCTAATCAGAACACAATTTACCGCAAAGATGCTCTCTCTTTTCTCCTTGTCTATAACCTTTGGATCTCTCTCAAGTCTGAACTGTCTCCTTTTTGTATTTTCCCACTCAAAAACCTTTTGCTTCTTGCAGTTAAGTTGGCACTAGTGGAATTGCTATTTAGTAAAGCGAATCGTCTGTTTTCGAAATTTGGAAAAATGGAAAGCGAATCTTCTGTTTATCATGTTCTCTAATTTATACCAAAAGTTTTGATATATATTATTTATCTTAGGGTTAGCTGTCGTAGTTTCCCAAACTATATGTTGTCTACTTAATTCCTCACAAACTAAAGATTTCTGCATATTTTCACCCAAACAATTTATTTTCTGCCTATTCCCCATAAATTCAATTAGAAATTAAAATCACGATTAATTTACAAAATTGTGTTTTGGTTAGATTGCATTTTGGGGAGAAATATGCAGAAAAATTTTTTTTGGGTGAGAATATGCAGAAGTGTAGTCTAAGGAAAATATGCATAATTTGTTAAGTCCAGGAGACTGAGCATAGTCAATTTATTTTTTAGGTTTTTCAAACTATTTAACACATGATTAGTTTAAATATATCCAGAAAATATATTTGTATAATAAAATAAACATATATTTCTATTAAAAATGATAGCAATATGACAGCACAATTTATTTTAAAAAGACAAAACTAATATTGGTTATTATGCATACATAAACATATTATCCTATTGTTTTAAGTGTTTTAATTTGGAATACTAATAGAAAAAACTATTTTTCAGAATATACTTGATATTATGACTTATTTACTTGACACTAAACATCTTAATTCTTAACTAATGCAAGTTTATCATTATATTGGTTTGAGTATTTTGGTTTGAAGTGTGTTAGTAGAGAAAAAATATTTTCACGATTTATAAATTTATATTAATATACTCAGACCAATAGAAAATAAACTTATATTAATTAAATTGTGTAATAATACTTCTTCCTACTAGCACTTCAAATAAAAATATTCGAACTAATATGATGATAAACTTATATTAATTAAATTGTGTAAAGTAAACAAATTGTGTATAGTAAAGTAACCCAAAATAGTTTCTCCTATTAGCCTTCAAATATACTTAGAACAATAGGATAATAAATTTATATTAATTCAATAGTATCATATCAAATAAATAAGTTGTGTATTGTTAAGTAAATCATCAAATATATATCATGTAATCCTCCTATTAGCATTTTAAATAAAAATATTCGAACCATGAATGGTGTAGAAGAGGTTTCAACTCTCTTTCTAACCACTCATTACTCATATATATTAATTTAAGCACAATATGTACATACGACATCTAAGTCTGAAGTCTCTAACCCATCCATATTATAAGTTATTAGTGACCTGATTTAATAATAAATTCGTTTATTTTAGGGACTTGTAGTGAAAATACTCGAACCAATAGAATGATAAATTTGCATTAGTTAAAATGTTTAATGTCAAGTAAATAAGTCATATGATATCAAGTATATCCCAAAAGTTAGTTTTTTCTATTAGTATTTCAAATCAAAATATATTAAAAGAATAGAATAATATGTTTATGTATATCTAATAACCAATGTTAGTTTTGTTTTTTCAAAAAAAAAAGTGTGTTGTCATATTGCTACCATTTTTAATAGAAATATATGTTATTTTATTATACAAATATTTATTATGGGTATATTTAAATTAATCATGTGTTAAATATTTTAAAAACTCTAAAAAATTAAATTGGCAGCGCTCAACCCGTGAACTTAATAAATTCTGCATATTCCCCTTAGACTACACTTCCGTATATTCCCACCCAAAAAATTGTTTTCTGCATATTTCTCCCCAAAACGCAATCTAACCAAAACGTGATTTTGTAAATTAATCGCGATTTTAATTTCTAATTGAATTTGGGGAAATATGCAGAAAATAAATTGTTTGGATGGAAATAGGCAGAGATCTTTAGTTTGGAAGGGATTAAGTAGACAATGTATAGTTTGGGGGGCTGACGGCAGCCAACCCTTTATCTTACGAGAAATACACTTGTTATGAGCCAATCCGACCAATGAAAAGCAAACACAAAAAAAACTTGCATAAGATGAACAAACAATCAACAAAAAATCAATTCACATAAGTTGAAATGATAATCGGGATTGGCAAAAGTGTTGGAAATCTGGCATGTGTGTTTGTTCTAAGTGTTTGTGCAAGTAAATAGATGATTGTGAGATTAATCTGCTAATTTGAGCTTCTAAAAGTGAAAATATTTTTTGTTGTTGTTTACATTATCAGTGTGACAACAAAAATGATAATTTGTTCATAAAACTTACATTTTCTGGCTCGAATAACATTTATAGAATAAGATTTTAGATCGATCTGACTTTTAAGATAAAAAAATGTAGATCCCAACAGTTTCTAAATAACATTTGTTGCTTAACGTCATTTGAATAAATTTGGTACGCATTGGAACTCAAAGGCTTAAACTTTGCTACGCATTGCTTTGACTTTGACAACTAAAACACTAACCGAGTCGATCGAATTTCATATTAGAATTGTAAATTTCCTTTGACCAAGTTATATTCCCCCAGAAATTTCTTGCACGTGGTGATGGGCTTGTCAGCCCAATCACTCAAATGGGTTAAATTTGGGGCACTCCAGATTTTGATGATATAATAACATTTCAACCTCAGTCATTAGCTTCGGGGCTAAATGCAGTGCTTATTTAATTCGGCCACCACAAAATAGTATTAGCGATCAAACAGCTAAAGTTGAAATGCTAATTGCTAAAAACATTTGTACGAAACACAGACTCGTACATGATGTAACATGTTATAGCTATATTTTTATAGTTAATGTATTCCTCCAACTGTGCTGGTCGTACAAAGATGTTGAGTTTAAGACAGACACAATAGCTAAGCTTTTACATGTTGTAATTGGAGTTGTAAATACGATGATTTGGTTTATAAATGTTCCAAAAGGATTTATACCTATTAATGTAGATGAATTTATACTTACTGTAACTTGTTTTACGTTTTACACATGTTGTAACAAAAACAACTCCACAACTTTCGACTAACATTGTCTTGCCTACTAAAGTTATCATATTCTCTAGGACGAGACATAAATCTACATATAATTATTATGAACCAAGAAAAACCATTTTATGGAACCAGTCGCATTACAACAAATCACGGTCCACTCGATTCAACACTCTGAATTACAAAACACCTTATGTAAGACCGAAAGAGAAGCCTCTAGTTGAATGAGAGACTCTCTCTCACACTTACTCACACATTCAATTTTATTAGTTAACGGTGACTTTACCGACCATACCAGCACCCTGATGCGGCGCACAATAGAAGCTGTAAGTGCCAGGCTCAGTCAAAGCAACCTCGTACGTCTCTCCCGCAGCGTTGAGTAGAGCTTGCTCGTCCATCGAGATCTTGCTCGCGTCAACACCACTTGGGATCTCGTCCTCGTCGAAGACAACGTTGTGTGGGAATCCAGCATTGTTCTTGAACACGATCTTCTCTCCTTTCGCTACACTGAACTCGTTGGGGACAAAAGCCAAAGCACCATCTCCTGATCCCAAGAGAATATCTATTGCCATGGCGTTTCCGGCCAAAGCAATCGAAGCTGCAGCAGCTACGGCCGCGACTCCGAAGTCCTTAAGAGATGACTTCACCGTGAGCTTCGGTGATACAGCCGCCGCGGTGGGGATTCTGACGACGGCGGAGGGTTTGGAGATTGTGGATTTGAGACCGGTGAAAGATGGGATTGCGACGGTGGCTGAGGTTACTGAAGCCATTATAAAAGATATCTTTCAGAGTAAAAAGATTTGATTTTTTTTTTGTTTAGCTCTCTCTTTCGTCGAGTGAGAGATTGTGAAGGTTTATGAGTTTTATGTGGTGAGAGAGAGAGAATGAGATAGAGCAATGGATGGCTGTAACAGCAAACTCCATAGAAATGATGTTATCCGTGGAGACGCGTTGTGATTGGTTGATTTTGGATGTTGTATGTCGTGACGTGGCTTCGTGAGGTGGAGAAAGGAGATAAGCTTATTTGATGACTTGGAATTTTTTTTTGTTTCTCAAAGATGGGCTTATTTACGAATGGGCCTAGTTGGGGCTTAAATACCATTCGAAAAAACGTGAAGAACACGGTCAATTTAGGTCACTAATAAATTCCCATTTTCGCAATTTTGTTTTTTTCCATTCTTAATTTCCTTAAAAAAACGAAAAAGAGAAAGATTTAAGGGTTCTTTTTTCTTCATCTCTCAGAAAGCGAAAATTGATGGGAACTCCAGAGAGTAAGAGGGAGCCATGTCCCGATCGGATCCTCGATGATATCGGCGGTGCGTTTGGCATGGGAGCCGTCGGAGGATCCGCCTTTCACTTCATAAAAGGGTTCTACAATTCTCCCGCCGGCGCTCGTCTCTCCGGCGGCACTCAGTTCGTGCGGATGAACGCGCCGCGAGTCGGAGGAAGCTTCGCGGTGTGGGGTGGTCTTTTCTCGACCTTCGATTGCGCCATGGTGTACGCAAGACAGAAGGAGGATCCATGGAACTCGATCCTCTCCGGCGCCGCCACCGGAGCACTTCTCTCGATGCGTCAAGGGCTAACCGCTTCCGGTCGAGCGGCTATGTTCGGAGGTGCGATGTTGGCTCTCATAGAAGGAGCCGGGATCATGCTCAACAAATTTAATGCTTCGCAGCAGAACGAGCAGTTTTCGATGGAGGACCCTGCAGCTTCGGTACCGCCTGGTGTGACCATGGGTCAGGTTTTTGGTCAGTCCGTACCAGAGACTCCTTCTGCTTCGGAGGCAGGTTCGGGATCTTGGTTTGGGGGTTTGTTTGGTAGTGGGAAGAAGAAGGAGTCTGCGGATAAATCAGGGAGCAAGACTCAGATTTTGGAGAGCTTTGATGCACCTCCTGTGCCAACTTACGAGTTTTAACTTTTGAGCGATTATAATCGAGGTCTGGATTTAATATCAATCAGGAAGTTTAGAGCTTACTTTCTAGAATTTTGTTCTGCAACTAATAAACGCTTGATTAGTTTTTTTTTAATCGTTTGAAGTTAGAGCCAATCTCTGTTGTTGTCGAGTTGAAAAACTATATCTATCTGTAATAACAAACTGACAAACTGAAAAAATGTCAAATACACTTTGAAAAATTGTGTATTTTCGAAATTTATGGTTATGTCTTTTCGTTACAAATAGTTGCATTTTTTCACTATAAATGGTTGCATTTTTTCAAAAAAAGTCATTTGGATCTAACTTTTATTTTCTTACTATAGTGAGTTTTTGTTATCGTAAACTTATTTATTTATAATAATATATTATTAGGATAGAAAATATTTAAAAATCTTGGAAGTTCAGATATTGAATTGAGTAAAAAATTCAATTTGGAGATCCAATTTTAGCTAAATATGAACAGTTTCATTACAAGATTGTTTAACATGAATTACATCAGAAAAATAAAATTTATTCAACTAAAATCTAATGATAATTTTATTATAAAGAAATTATATGTGTTTTGTTTACTAATAAATATTATGTTATTTAATTTTTTGTTAACAATATGAATAAATGCATTTACACTTTCAAAAGTTGTGTCGTTTCAAAATTTGTGGTTGCGTATTTTCATTATAAATGATTACATCTTTTCAATATAAATGGTTGCATTTTTTCATCACAACTGTTAGTTGTGTCTTTTTAAAATATTTATACTGCTCAAAATCACAGAATAAAAATTATTTGGGTCTAACTTTTACTTTTTTTACTATAGTGGGTTTTTTTCCGTAAACAATCCGAATAAATGCCACTTACACTTAAAAAGTTGTGTCGTTTCAAAATTTGTGGCAGTATATTTTTATCATAAATGATTGCATCTTTTTATTATAAATAATTGCATTTTTTTATCACAACTATAATTTGTGTAATTTTTAAATTATTTATTGCTCAAAACCACAGGGAAAAATCATTTGGATCTAACTTTTACTTTTCTAACATAATGGGTTTTTTTTTCTCGTAAACTTATTTATTTATCATAACATATTATCAGGATACAAAAGTGTTTAAAATTCATAGAGGTTCAGATATAGAATTTGAGTTAAAAATTCCATTTGGGGGTCCAATTTTGGCTAAAATATGATAAGTTTCATTACAAGAATGTTTTAGATGCATTACATCATAAAAATATAATTTATTCAACCAAAACCTAATGATATTTTTATTATTAAGAAATTATATGAACAATATTATGTTATTTTTTTTTGTTAACAATCTGAATAAATGCCATTTACACTTTAAAAAGTTGTGTCGTTTCAAAATTTGTGGTTGCGTCTTTTCATTATAAATGATTACATTTTTTCATTATAAATGGTTGCATTTTTTCATCACAACTCTTATTTGTATCTTTTTAAAACTATTTATATTGCTCAAAACTATAAAAAAATCATTTGGGTCTAACTTTTACTTTCTAACTATAGTAGATTTTGTTTATCGTAAACATATTTATTTATCATAACATGTTATCATGATACAAAGTGTTTAAAAGTCATGGAAGTTCAGATATTTAATCATAGTAAAAGATTCCATTTGGAGGTTTAGTTTTGGCTAAAATATGAGCAGTTTCATTACAAAATTGTTTTATATGCGTTACATCAAAAAAATTAAAATTTATTCAACCAAAATCTAATAATATTTTTATTATAAAAAATTATATATTTTTTGTTTACTAATATATATTATGTTATTTTTTATGAAAAACATCTATATATTTATAGTTAATTGTGTTATTTTCAAATTTTAATATTCTTTGTTAGTTGTTTATAAATTTAATGTACCTGATATTTGGATTCTTTTTTTTAATTTTAGAGAAATATATTTATGTAATGTAACAAATTCACATATATTATATATGTATATATTTAAGGTATCAAAGTTTTTTTAATATATTTTAACTATTATATTTGTAATATACTTTTTAATATTTCGAATCTTTTTTAGAAACTATAGTAGTCTTAGAAGAAAATGTATTATAAAATCTCTTTACATTGTTTTGTATTATATATATTTCCTGTTGTATTTTTTAAAAATATCAATTTTTATCATAATTCTTTGTTTTTAACTTTTCAATAATAAATGTTTAGTTTTATAAACTTTTTTTGAAAGATTGCCTGGATATTTATTTTTTTACTTTACACTTTTGCGCGAATACAAATTTTTAATAATTATACAAGTAAAAAATCTCATATTTTTATTATATTTATATTATATATTTTCATATATAACTTTTTTAACACTTTTAAAAAGTTGTGTATCTTTTTATTTTTTAGTTTTTTTTATTTTTTCTATTAATAATTAGTAATAACAATCCTAGAAAATTTTGTAATAATTTACATATTTTTTATCATAATTAGTTTGTATATTTCTATTTAGAACTTATTGTTAATAATTAAAAAAACATCAAAATACCTTTTTCTTTTAATAATTATAAGTTGTTTTGAATGTTTACATTTTTTATTATATATATTTTATTTATAATTATTTAAAATAAATTTCTATTTAATTTTTAATAAACCGCTGATTAACCTTGCGAAGCGGAGTTCTAGTATTTATAATGTCATCTCTGGTTATATGTAAAATGACTAATTGTTACAATTTACAAACATAACTATCGTAGGTTTAACTTCTTGTGATAATGTTGTACACAAAGAAGAACACTTATATATTTGACAAACAACGCGGACAGTTCTTCTCCTTTGTACAGCTTGGACTTGATCATACATAAACCTCTCAGCAAGCAAAAATATGGTTTTATCAATCACAGTCAATGTACACGTGGAATTAAAGAACCAGCATATTACAAGCACTTTAATCGCTGATGCTGCGAGACAGATTTTTCTAGTCCCGCATTTGCTTAATCTGAGAGATTTTAGACCAAAGAGAATGGAATCAACTTGCTCATAGTACATGTGGTCTCATTGATTAATTTTGACAAAGTAACTTCCACGGTTCTTAACGAATTACTTTAATTTTCTGAGGGTTCATAAAAAACATGAAAAATTACTACTACCTCATCCATCGATTAAATTGAATAGATCATGTTAGCATATTATATATAACGTAAAATAAAAGGTTAAGAAAAACCAACTATTTTTATTTATTTATTTATCCATATTCTTTTTTTTTTGTAATAATGTTAAGATTTATTAATCCATATTGTTCTTAGTCTAGATATATTATCGACCAAGGAGATAAGTTTCTCAGGATCGACAAGGTACTTGAGATCATATAACAGCTTATCAGCTTCAACAAGATTATTTATCTATATAAAATATACTATTAGTATTCGTCACTGCTCATTATGAACTACTCGCTCTTGATGTCGAAATTGAAATTATGCTCTTTATGTTCACCATTCTGGAAGTAGTCCTCGAAGAACCATGCTTTCCCAGTGGGTTTCACCTCCAACATTGTTGTTCCATAGTAGTATCCCTTTTGACCCTGAATCCAAAAAGAACAAAAAAAAAAAGTGGATGAATCAAGAATACAAATCATTAATTAATAGTCAATAGTAATGCATGGGAATAATGACTCTTCTTTTCTTTTCTTTTCTTACAGCTTTGCTAGTACCACATTCTCCTTCACCTACGATGGCACGATCATCATTCATCAACTTGCCAGTGATTTTCTTCATCAAATATGCTCTGTTTTCACTTCCAGAGTTTACTTCACTGTACATGTCCTTCAGGTGCTTATACTGCATAAGACCCCACCCAAAATGTTATGAGTGGATAGGTACTAAACAAAAAATGTTAAAAAAAGATTAGGTCAATCTAATCTACCTCAGGGGATGCGAGATCGTAGAGTCCGGTTGAGGTAATGAAATGAAAACCAGGAACAATCTCTTTGATCTCATCGACTTCCTTGGTTGGAGACTTTTTAGAGATATAAACCATCGATTTTGAGTGCATGTCTGCCACAACTAAGTGAAAAGTAAGACCAGAAGACATGTTTTTGTTGCGACCAAGTTCCTTTGCAAACTCACTTGGAGTCATTTTGCCCTGTATCAAAACATCTCGATCATGAGAACCATGTAATAGATTAGGAAAATTAAAGACAGTAATTAAGCATATATACCTTCAAGAACTGAACAGTAAGCACCTCGGCTCCGGCAAGAGTTAAAGACGTTCGACGCGTCACATTCACAAGAAATGCAACACGGCCTTGCTTTGAACAACCCAACCATGTCCCTCCTGTTTTCTCATCCCTTCCTCCCAATATGTCTTTCGTTTCCTTATCTTCAACCCACCAAGCAGCTGCCTTAATTACCCTTTAATCACATGTTTAAACCAAACACTAATGTAATTAATTAATGATGATGATAAATAACTAAGATCGAATAAACTTATACAATTATACCTCTCTTCTCTGTTTTGCTGGATCAGGAGTTGGTACTCCGCGTCTTGCCACCTGAACCAAGCTGTCCCCATTTTTCTCTCTTCTGATTATTTGAAATCCTTTTGATTGTTGAATTTTCTCTCTCTAAGAACTTGGTATTGTTGTATTGACCCTTCTCTCTATTTATAATCGGTTTATGGTATGTTTTTTTTTTCCTTTATTTTCTTCACCACTGCTCGCGTTAATCTACCAAATTTCGGTGAGTTGCGTAGATAGTCAAGATCTACCAAAACCCTTCCTTGATTGAGTAATGATGGGGTCATGTACGAGTGGAATATAGATGTATTGCTTTTTTGCTTTTCCTTTTTATGTGTTTTTGAAATTGCATTATTTGCATGCACATCTAAGAATGACATTATGATAAGTATGCTATTTTTTGCTACAAATTTACCACCATGCAACTTTTTTTTTTCTCGAAAAAATTAGAATTGATTACATTTTTTAATTCGTTAGTATTTTTCTTTAGATGCAAGATTGATATACTCGTGCACTCATACACCATTTTTGGTATCTAAAATTATTTTCAATACTTAACTCTCCATAATTATATTTTAGTAAATTGTATGGCTGTGCTAAAACAAGACCAGTTATAACTTATAATCAACGGATGGACATAAATTTGTCAAATATGCACGCGTACTCAATTGTAAATCTATTTTTCTTCTACTCCGTAGTGTAAACTTGTGAATTCTTTTTTAGAACTAATTTGTACTGGCCCTCTCTGTTTATAGCTCAATTTCTGCTTTTCCTTTGCTTTTTCAACTGCCCCACGCGGTTAAGAGACCAATTTTACCATTTTTGGTCTAGCTTTTGGTGTTTCATGTCATTATCATACTCTGCAGATATTCTCCTCGATTCAGTAATGACGAGTCATGTGCCTCTGGAACACTTTGGAAAATATTTGTTTTTTTTATCAACTTTTAACCAAAAAAAAAAGTGGTTTCTAATAGCACACAAGTTTGAGACTCGAGAATTCGATGATTCTTTGGTATAGTCTAGCTTTGGTAATCCGATTTTTAGTGGCTAGGTGAGCCGTAAGTAGGGATCACCCTTAACATTACCGATCTCGTAAAACTCATGATGTATATATCCAACTTTGGTGAGTTGCTTAGATAGTCATGATGAACCAAAACTCTTCTTAATTTAATTGAGTAATGATGGAGTCATGTACATGGTGAAAATACATGTACTATATTACTTTTTTCTTTGCAACGTTATTATTGCACTTGCGTCATTTGCATGTACACCTAAGAATGTCATTATGACAATCGTTTTAATTGTTTTTTTTTTTGCAACCACCAACTGTATTGTTTTTACTTTCTGAAATGTCTTCAGTCCAATTTAGAAACTGATTGTATATTTCCTTTCGTTGTTATATTCTTTACATGTCTGATTGGCACTTAAGTTTATAGTATTTAAAATTTTCGAAACTTTAATTTCTTATTATTTTATGTTAGTATAAAATGATAAAACTAACCAATTTTGTATCACTCCTTAGTCTTTAATCAACCAAATGGACATAAATTTGTCAATTTCACGTTTATTTAATTTGTGTATTTTCTCTTCTAATCCGTACTCTAAATTTATGAAAATATCATTTAACTTTTCAGTATCGACCCTCTCTGTTTATAGTATTTTCTACTCTGCTTTTTCCTTTACTTCTTCAACTGCCACACGCGACTAACAGACGATTTATCCAGTTTTGGTCTAGCTTTTGGTTATTCGTGTCATTGTCATACTCTAATAATATTATCCTAATTGAATAATGATGACTTTATGTACATGTGGACCCCTTTAGAAATATTTGTACTTTTCTAAAAATATACAAAAAGTGGTCTCTTGTGGCACAAGCTTAAGACTCGGATCCGACTGTTCTTTGGTCTATATTTGGTGATCTGCGTGGTAATCGTACGTAAAAATCGTTTGATGAGTTAATCAAAATCATGTACACGTGGAGTTTAAGAATGGCCATACTAATTAAAAAGTGAAACCCAAAAACTATGTAACGTTTTGACGTTGGAGTCTAATTTTTGTCGACTTGGGATATTATAATCCAGCTGATTCTATGTAAGATTACCAATTATAAAAACATCTATAGCGCGTAGGTTTTAACTTCTTGTGATAATGTTGATCGGTTAAGATATACAAACTCATATAAGTTTTAATTAAAATGATAATGCTATTTGTTGAATTCAAATTAAATATCTAAAATGTGTTTGATGAATTCATGAAAATCAATATTTCAATGATATATTTGAAGTTTTCATAGCGATTGATTCTTAATCCATAAAAGTTATCAAACCATTTCGAGTATTGAGGCATTAATATTCTCCAGTTTATAGACTTGAAGCATGTGTTTGATCTTTTTAATAGTAACGCCCTCGTTAGATTTTGTCTATAAACATACGATCGAATTGGATTGAAACAGAGAGAAAAATATAAAGTGGAACTTTAGGTTGACAAAGGGAAGATAAGAAACCAACTATAATTTATTTATTTTAGAAGATTTTAAGCATATTGACCGTTCATAGACTGGAAAGCTATACCCGTAATATAATGTGACCAAGGAAATAGGTTTCCCTGATCAGTCGACGACAAGGTTACTTAATTAATAGGATTTACTACAGCATCACCAACATTATTTACTTAATTATAAGATATTCGGATATGGATGCTGCACGACGTTGAAAGTAACTTAGGCGGTGATGTTGAAAGTGAAGTCGTGGTGAGTCCATACGCCGGGACGCTCGAAATGCTTCTCGTAGAAAATGACTTCCTTAGTGGGTTTCACCACGAGTGCTGTTGTGCTCGTTGTTCCATAGCGTTTCCTTTGCTCCTGAATCGAAAAGAAAAAGAAAAAGAGAAAAAAGAAAAGAAAGAGAGGTTAAGGATCATATAATAAAAACGGTAGATCAATGCTTGGTTAATGTTCTTACTTACATTTCCATGATTAGGAGGGATATCCGTGGTTTCGAAATAGAAGGATGGTTCAGGATCATACATCAACCTCTGCGCAAGCTCCTTCAATGGTGGTAACTGTTTGTTTTTATGAGCGTCAATCATCTCCTTAAAAAGGCCTTTCAGACGGGAATCCTGCATAAACATATACCAAAAGAAAGAAAAAATCTCTATGAAAAAGAATACCCTAAGTTCAACTTTACCTGTTACAGTTAGTTTCTTGCGTACTACGTTACCTCGCCACCATCGAGTCCGGCTAGAGAAAGGGTATGCACACCAAAATCAACTTTGCTTATATCGACACGTGTCTTATCTGCCAAGGGTTTTTTGATGAAATACATTTCCTTGGAAGTAACGTCTGCCACAATTAGGTTATAGGCCCGGCTTTCGTTGTGACATTCCTTTTCAGCGTTTTTCACTTCCTTTGCATAGTCCTTTGGAGTCATTGTGCTCTGTAATTAAAACAAAGCAATCCAAAGAGTTTTAGATCACAAAACCAAATTACAAACAAAAATTGAAAAACATAACACGTTAATCATCATTAGTATGACAGACCTTCAAGAACCGAATAGGAATTAACTCGGAGGCGCCGCCTCTAATCTTGATGTCGTTCATCACTAACGCAGTATCCACAAGAAAAGCAACTCTGCCATTTTTAGAAACACCACACCATGTCCCTCCGTTCACTTCACACCGACCGGCCAATATCTTGTTGTCTTCATCCCAAGCCGCCGTCTTTATCGCCCTTTTAATCAACCAACAATGCAATGCAATATATTATATGAACATTGATGCTGTAAATTAAGCAATAAAAGGGTCGAACAAATCATAAAAACTTGCCTTATTTCCCAATTTAGCCTGTTCTGAACCAGAGTCAGTTGTTCCCCTCCCCATTGGAATGCCACCGTCCCCATCTTCTTTTGTATCTGATCTTCTTGTGTGTGTATTGTATTGATTTTTGATCTTCTTGTGCTGTGACCCTCTCTCTATTTATAATCAGCGATCTTCCTCTCCTCTGCTTCTTCTTCAACTGCCCCACGCGTTTAAGAGCCCACGTGTTTGGTCTAGCTTTTGCCGTTTTGCCGTCACCATCATTCTCTACGAATATTCTCCTCGATTCAGTAATCAGGAGTCGTGTGTCTGTCGAACATTTCAGAAATGAGTATAAAAGTGACAATCTAAGTATAAAATGGAAGACACGGAGTTTCAATATGTCTAAATCCTTCCACTTTTGCTCTAGCTTTTTGCTCTTTGAGTAATGACGAGTCGTGTGTATGTGGATCCATTTAGATATATTCCATGTACCAAATCGGAAATGAAGACGAAGAAACACAAAACTTCACCAAGGAGATGACTTGAGGTGGGCAAACACAACAACTAGTTATTAATTTGAACAAATTGTCAAAAATATGATCTACAGTGTTGATAAACATTTCTCGTTCACTGTTGAGGTTGTTAGTCTTGACCCCAAATAAAAGAGTATTGTTAGTAACATGTCAGTTACAGTAAAGGAAAATGCAAGACAAGCTTACCATTATAAGAAAATGAAAGTTGTGTTTGATATAAAATTTACTACTACATTTTGATTGATTTTAATTTGAAATAAAATTATAATTATAATAGTATATGTCTTCCACGAAATTTAAAAGATTATAACTACGCACGAAGGATTTGGAGTGAGTGAGGTTTTCAGGTCTTTAGTGTTAATTAATGTTCATGTTGTCTCGTTCTTTTATTTTTGGGCCAGAACTGTCTTTATGTTGTCTCTGTCACTAACATTCAGATTATACTTGTTCGAATCTCGTGTTTGATTAGTTGGATATACAGGAGACGTGTTCCTCAAGCATGGAACTGAACTAAGACAAATCTCGCGTGACAGAGTTCGAGCCGCCTTTGTGTCGTCGATACCGGTTTAAACTAAAATCAATCGTTAACAAATATATCCCAATTGTCTGCATTCATTATACAAACTACGGCTCAATCATCGGTACATGAAGTAAAAGTGATAGTGAAACTATGGAAAAAAAAAAAGTCAAGAACTGAAACCGAAAGAAGAAGACATAATCTTGTTTTATTTATTTATTTTAATAAGAAGCATATTAGTTTTTTTTAGACTAGTACCGTGGATTCCCTGGATCGACGACAAGGTTAATTTAATTAATTAAAGCATCAGCAACATTATTAATTAACATAGCTATAAGATATTTGGATATGGGTGCTTGAGTGTTTAACTAGGCGGTGATGTTGAAAGTGAAGTCGTGGTGTGTCCATCCGCCGCCAGGCTCAAAATGCCTCTCGTAGAACACTACCTCCTTAGTGGGCTTCACCGCGAATGCTGTGGTGCTCGTCGTTCCATAGCGTTTCTTTTCATCCTAAAATCGAAAAGGAAAAAGTGATAAATGAAGAGATTAATAATGCTAATGATCGAACTACATAGTTTGCTTACATCTTCTGTGAGAGGTTGAAAATCCATTTTTTCGACAAACAACGCGGAAAGTTGGTCTCCTTGGACAGCTTGGACTCGATCATACATAAGCCTCTCAGCAAGCTCCTTCAATGGTGGTAGCTGTTTGTTTTTATAAGCGACAATTATCCCATTAAAAAGGCCTTTCAGACGTAGATCCTTGCATTAAAACAAATACCCAAAATTAAAGATGGTTTTGATTTAACAAAATAAAATAAAAAAACTCTTATGGAAAGATTATACTATCACGTAACATTAACAGTTAGTCGATGTGTTACAAAAATCACCTTGGGAGATTCGGGATTATCGAGTCCGTCTGAAGAAAGGGTATGCACACCAAATGCAACTTTTTCTATATCGACACGTGGCTTAAATGCCATGGGTTTGCAGATGTAATACATTGAGCTAGAAGTTATGTCTGCCACAATTAGGTTATAGGTCAGGCCTCTCTCATCAGGATCCATTTCGTAATCATCCTCTTCATCATCACCGTTCATACAACTATTCTTTTCAATCCGTTGCAGTTCCTCAGCAAACTTCTTTGGACTCATTTTGCTCTGTAATATTTTTTTCGTTAATAAAAATAAAAGCAATTAATTCCGTGGTAAAAAAAAGATCCAGGTGTCTAAAAATAAGTAACAAAAAAATAAATTAAAAAAAGAATTCTTGAAAACAAACAAAAAAAAGAAACATAACACATAAATAATCAATAATCAATAATCATACCTCCACGAACTGAACAGGAAGCCACTCGGCGCCTCCGCCGGAAACATCAGTAACGTCATGGCCGTCGAACAGTAATGCTGAGTCCGCAAGAAAAGCAACTCGGCCATTTCTAGAAACACCAAACCATGTCCCTCCGTTCACTTCACACCGTCCGGCCAAAATCTTGTTGTCCTCATCCCAAGCCGCTGCTTTTATTACCCTATCAATCACTCATAGGATATAAAACACAAAATCAAAATTACACTCATCAACCAAACAACGTAATACAACATGCATTGATGCATGCAAAATTAAGTAAGCCAAAATGTCGAATAAAATCATATGAAATAACTTGCCTTGCTTCCCAATTGTCCCGGTTCTGAAGCACAGTCAGTTGTTGCTGTTCCCATTGGAATGCCACTATACCGCCCATTTCTTCCTTTGCGTTATTGATTTTCTTGTATTGTAGTGATTCTTCATCTTGTTGTTATGTGTGTCTCTCTCTCTATTTATAATCGATCTTCATCTCCTCTACTTCTTCTAAAACTGCCCTCACGCGTCGACTGGGTTTGGTCTAGCTTTTGCTGTTTGCCTTCACCGTCATTGTCTACTAATATTCTCCTCGGTTCAGTAGTAAGGAGTCGTGTGCATGTCGAACATTTCAGAATTGTTTATAAAAGTGACAGTTTAAGTATAGATGGAAGACACAAGAATTTCAATATTTCTAAATCGTTCCACTTTTGCTCTTAACTTTTTGCTGATTTGAGTAAAGACGATTCCTAATGTGTATGTGGAACAATATAGTAATATTCCATGTACATTCATATGTAAATCGGAGTCATAAAAACAAGTGAAATAAAAACGGAGAAACACACAACTTCTCCACCAAGGAGATGATATGATGATGAGGTGGCAGTTTTGCTTTAACATTTGGTGATTCGTGTCAGTGTCATACTCTACTAATATTCTCCTCGATTGAATAATGATGACTCATGTGCATGTTTACTCATCAAATACTGTGTAGATTGATCCATTGTTCTTCTTATGCCTCAATTCTTAAATTTTTATATTTTTTAATTTACTCCTCCTAATCATTAATTTCTATACAACTAACAACCAAATAAAGACAAAAAAAAGTAGCCAGGTTAAGCTTTGCGTTGTCCACATGTGTTTTTTTTTTATTATTGTTTCAATATATGTATGTAATAGAGTTTGTATATTCATTTTACATTTGATGAATAACAGAATAACTAATTTGAAAAAAACCTGTCAAGAAACTTAATAGAAATAAAAGTTAAATTTTTTTTTATAGAAATAGATTGTTTAGAGGACTAGATGTATATATTACTCTATGATTTATAAGTTAAAAACATGGAAAGTGATCGTTCCGTTGGATATAGGAGTTTTTGTCTTCATCAATCTCTCTTACTAAAAAACAAATGGCAATATAAATATATTGCATGAGGGTTTGGTGAGTCGTTTTGTGAACATTTATCCATCTCCACTAAAATGAGTCAGTTGCGGGTCCCAACGTTGAAACTACATAAAATGTGCAGATTCAAACTATTTCATTTGCTCTATTTAGTAACTGACTGAAAAACCTTACGTAACAGATTGTTTTTTGTTTCTAAAATGAGAATGTGGGCCACTGGGCCGTGTGAGTTGTGAAAGTGGTTTTGACTAATGAGTACCGTAAAGAAATCAGTAGCTGCTCAAGTCACAATACCAACCTTAATTTTCAATTAGGATAGGAGTATCACGAACACCATTTTCATCACAAAATAATTAAGCTCTTAATTTGTTATCATGTAATATATATTTGATTGACGTAAAAAGAAATAGGTGTTTTTAAAATCAAAAGCCATTTTGATTGATTTTATATTTTCTTTTAAAATCAAAAGCCATTTTGTTTACATCAATGTATGTGAAAGTAGTAACGTGAAACTATGAAGATGATAATTCAACCCATCAACATAACTGATTAGATGAAAAATATAAAGTGAACTTTAAGTCCCATAGGAAAGTCTGAGCAAACCAACTATTTATTTATTAATTTTTACGCATATTATATTGTTCTTCGAATAGATATAAATAGTCGTGTGATCAGAGGAAATAGATTTCCCTGAATCAACAAGCTACAGCATCAACATTCAACAAGATTTATTTATGACTATATAGATAGATAATTATAAGTATTAAGATGGATGCTGAGCAATGTTGGCTGTAGCTTAGGCGATGTTGAAAGTGAAGTCATGTTCTTTCCAAACGCCATCCTCCAAATACCTCTCATAGAGCTTTACTTCATTAGTGGGTTTCACGGTCAATGCTGTTGTACTCGTTGTTCGATAGCGTCTTTCTTCTCTGTAAATCTCAGGATGGATTACGTTTCTTACGTTCACGTCGACAAAAAACGCGCTCAGTTTGTCACCTTCCGTAGCTTCTTCTGGATCGTACATAAACAAGGCAGCAATATCCTTAAGCGGTGGTAGCTCTTGGTTTTCATAATCACCAATCATCTCATCAAAAAAGTCATGCATACGTAAATTCTGAATAGATTTCACCAAAACGTCACTACGAAAAGATTAACAAATGGAATTTCCAAAAACAACTTTAAAAAGTTTCTTGTATATTAATAATTTACCTTGGAGAAGTTGGCATCGAGTCCACCAAGGGAGAGGACATGCACATCAAAACCAACAGCCGCTGTAACAACTGGCATCCTTTCATGCGGTTTGGAGATAAGAAACATGGAGTTTGAAGTTATGTCTGCCACGATTAGGTGATAGGCCATCTGGTCGTTAACGATATTCCCTTGAGCCATGTGCCTTGCAAAGTCCTCTGGACTCATGTCGTCGAGCTGTAAGAAAACCAATTATGTACTCCCCGTGAGATCCATATCCAATAGTTTTTTAACAAACAAACAAAGAAGAAAAAAAAAACACAAGAACCTGCAAGAAATCCATAGGCAACGACGTGCAGTTGGTTGTATCGGTAAAGATCATTTTGTCGACAAGAAAAGCAACTCGGCCACTTCTCGAGATACCAAACCATGTCCCTCCGTCCGGTTCAAGCCGTCCGCTCAGTATCTGGCTATCTTCATCCCAAGCCGCCCCATGTATCGTCCTTTTTTAATCACTCGGAGTATAAACCCAAAATATCATCAACCGAACAATGCAATTATTGATGCAAAGAAAAAATTAAACCGCAAAAAATAATAATAAATTTAAACTTGCCAGGAATCGAAATTGTCCCTGTTTTGCAGAAGCGTCAGTTTCTTGTTTCCCCATTCGAATGCGGCTATCCCCATTTTCTTTCTTTTGCTATTGAATCTCTCTTTCTGATGTTTGAGAGTTGTGTGACCCTTCTCTCTGTTTATATAGTCGCCTTCTCTGCTCTGCTTCAACTGCTCCCACGCGCTTAAGGGACGGATTTTACCAGTTATGGTGTACCTTTTGATATTCCGTGTCATTTTATCACACTGCGAATATTCTCCTTGATTGAGTAATGATGATTCATGTGCATGTAGAGAATACTCTAGAGACATTTGTACTATTCTAAAAATATACATTAGTGGCACACAATTTTAAGACTCGAGAATCCTTTTCTGGTTTTTAGTGAGGATAGTGTTGCTTGATTTTGGATCATTCTGAAAATAGAGCCTACAATAAACGAGAGGTTACTATTTCTATAGTCTGAATGCCTTTGCCAACGAGGAGAACAACAATAATAATAACTGGAAGCCATATTTATTCGGTAACAGAATAATTAATAAGACAAACATTGAAGATCAAATATCACATCAACGCTAACACACATGACTTGAGTTTCCACCGTATCTAGTCATGGAAAACAGAACTCAAGGTCATAGAAACATTGTTGAGATGTAAAAAACAAATGAGGCATCAAGTCCACTCAACTCGGTCACTAGTCCGGTTTGTACCAGCGGTTTAGGCTCGATGCTGCTTCCACCCGAACCCAGTGATCCGCATTATGCAAAAGCGGATTCACCCGGTTGCGTTCGCTTCCGTACTCTTTTCTTCAGAGGTTTCATCATTTACCTTATCGGCAACGGATACCTCTCCGGCGCCATTGGTGTTCTCCTTCTCTGAGATTTTGTCCTCATGGATATTTTCTTCAGCGGCTTCTCCAATCTTCTTATAGACAATGACTTCATTCGGTTTGTATTCAGCAACACGTAGGTCTGGATAGTTTCTTCGGTTCAGCGAATGCAACCAAATCGCCACAATCCCATCTTTTTCTTCTGCTGAGCCAATATGAGAGTACACATGCTTCCATTTGAATTCTTCAGCTATTTCCTTGTATTCTTCCATTGACACCTCATCGTGACTGCCTTTGAATCTTTTGTTATAAGATGTGAAGAAGCATTCATCAAGGTATAGCCCAACTTCTGGCGCCATCGGTACAACGATCCTCACATCCCTGGTAAAGAAGTTTGCCAGTTCCAAAATCAGTTCTGCCTCAAACAATACTAATAATATTCAGGGAAATAGTGAAACAAAATAAAAAAAAGCGTACTTCTTGAAAGCGGTTTGGATCACTGATTCAGGTGCAAAGTTCCTCATGACTGCAACAGCAAGTCCGATCATTTTCCGAATCTGGTGAAGCATGAAGCTCTGTCCAACAACTTCACACTTCACAAAGTCTTTCCCGTCGAGATGAATCACCGTGTCTGCATTGAAGGAGAGGATGTAGCGGTTCGCAGCTGGGTCTGCTGCTTTCGTTCTTGTGGTGAAGTTGTGGAAGTTATGCGAACCAACATAATTGCTTAGGATTCTGTTAAACCTCTCCTTCTCCTTCTCTCCATAACAGAACTTGCTCCCGCCATTGCCCAACTCTCCCTTAGCCAAAGTATCCGACTCTTTTAAAGATTCCAAATTTGATTCGCAACCCTCCTCTTGCACATCCTCTGTTTTAGAGATTGAATCAGTGTTCTCATCTACCTTAACACAAGCAGATGCATCAGCCCCATCTGTTAGGTTATCTTCTCCATTAGGTACATTAGAGCTCAAAGTTTCACACTTTACTGCATCACAGTTGCTGGAAGAAATGTCTGACTGAAGCTCAGAGGGTTTTACATCATCACTAGTGTCTTTGCCCATAACACCAAGTGGGATCTTATAGCCTTTCTCAGAACACTCTACACAGCTTACGTATTCGTATGCTGAATCAGTTCTAACCATCTCAGCTTCACTATGCGAGCACGGATCAAGAGCAAACACCGGGATTAGATACACATACCTCCTCCGATCGCAGAATTTCTTGGAGCTGAACGACGGCGCCACACGCTTGTACCCAAACACTCGAATCTGATCGGGAAGATTCGAGTTGAGACGGTCCACAAATCCAGGCGGATCGACGTAGAAGCGACCAGAAACCACCTGCCCCACCGCGCTCACGCCCTTATCGGTACGAGCGGATCGTGCCCATTCGTACTGTCTTGGTTTGTTCCGATCGGCCTCAGGTACAGCGCCTGCATGGAACAGCGCCTCTTCGAGCTCGCCTTCAATGGTTTTTGCGCCGGGATTCTTTTGCATTCCCTGATACCCAACCCCACAAAATGCAAACACGATTGCGACTTTCCGGCGCCTGTATTTCGGCGGTCTACGCTCAGAGCCGCCACTTCCGCCGCCGGCTGCAGCAGCCGAAGAGTTTGCTTCATCGCCTGCAGCGGAAATCTTGAGCTTCTTCTGGTCTGGTTCTCGATCAGGAACCTCATCTTGAGGCAATTTGTCGATTTTGGGCTCCTGATTCTCCATTTTCGCCACAAACAGCCTTTCTTTTTTGCTGTCACAGTTAAGTTTAGTGAAGCCCCCTCATAGAACCCTAGAACTAGACGACGGAGGAGTCCGGGTTCTACGACGTCGTATTAAAATCAGACCGGTTTCTACGACGACGTATCAGAATCAGACCGATTCTTACGACGTCGTATCAGAATCAAGACGAAGTTAATTAATGGCCCTTGAATATGTCCTGATTAAAGTTGGGCCTTCCACTAATCGCCCAGCTATTTGGGCCTCAAATCCCTGATGATTTTGAAATAGTGACCACGTAAGTGGGCTTTGGTAGAATCCGCTTTTGAACGAATTGAATTTCGTTATGAAGATAAACTCGCTCCATTCATGAGGAGATTGAAAGTTTTTTCGTTGGATTTCGAGTTTGTATTCTACTGATGATGAAATTATCAGAACTATTTAACTTCGTCCATAATCCTTTGTCTTGTCTCAATGGGGATATTGAAGATTTCGTAAAATTCAAACTAATTACAAATTTTTGTATTTTAAAATACAAGGATATATATAATGGAGAATGCTGTGATCCAGCTCTTGAAGGTTTGGCGCCACTGAAGAGCGTCTAAGCTGCTTAAGGTTTCGAACAAGAAGAAGAAGAAGAGAGAGACAATATTTCCTTTCGTTTTTGTTTGGTGTAAAAACTAATTCTAGTATATTATTTTTTTCAAGTTACAGACAATATTGCTAAATGGGCTTTGGTAAAAATCCGCTTCAGCTAATTCTTAAAAGTTTATATCCAAAAGATATTGATATAAATATGACCGCAACCACATTAAACTTACTATTGTACGAGCTTAGGGGATGTTAATATAATCCATTTTCAGTAAATGATAGTACTTCATTCGCGAGTGGAAATTATGTCAATGGCTCTGCGTAATATGTTTGAGCATGCTTCATCTTTGACCGGAGGACGCAGGGAGTTACAACTGAACTTAGATCAGACAATCTTCTTTAACGCAGCTTTAGGTCGAGAGTGAAAAAAAGAATTAGGTTCGAGTTAGTCTTCACTGTTTTATCTACCCTACAGAGACACTCGTTTGTTAAACTCATATGCGCAAATTAAATCTTAGAAAATGAAAACATAATACATGAGTAAAAAGGATACCCAAAAGTAAGTGATGTGAATATTATATAGTCATGGGACTTCATGATTCATGTTTTGAATTTATATAACCAAAAAGCCGATCTTTTGTGACATCCTATCACTTGACGTTCGACCCAACCCAACACTGTCTTTTCCATTCTTTATCTTCTTTGTTATCTTCTAATGAAATTTTATTTTTTTTAATATTAATTTGGATTTAAAATGTCAATAAATACTCGCCAACGGCATAAAGAACGAAATCAAATTAATAAATGCTTCATCACGTGAACTGCTGCCTCTAAAGTTCTTTTAATCATGGAAATTCAACTTATTCTTCTTCCGATTTTGCTATTTATTTGTAGGTATATATATAGTCTACTTTTTGGTAACTAGGAAGTTTGTAATTTGCCGTAACAAAAAAAGAAGAAGCTTGTGATCGGGCCCGGAACAAATTATTTATTTATTTTATATAAACATATTGGATGATTAATCGAATCTTTGGTCTGTGGGTTGAATTAGTCTGTGGGTTGAATTAATACACCTGATAATTCCAGTAAATGACGATAATGATGATGGTATGCATGAGAGAGTGACTACGCATGCATAATGGAAAAGGTGACAAAAAGAGGGGAATAAAATTCGCCAAAACATAATTATGATTTGCGCGAGCGACTTATATAATTGTTATTTTATTTATTAGTATATACTTATAATCCACTAAATCATTCCCCCCTTTTTTTTGAAAGAGCACTAAATCAACCTTCACCAACCTTTTTACCCCATTATTGATTGAATCGAGCGAATTATATAACCTTTAGGTGTAAATATGCATAACCGACTCCCGATTTGTGGAATCAAACTGATTGAGCACTAATGTTGTACTATAATTTCTTTGTAATTTACTATTGTGTAGAAGTAGAACTCCCCTAACTTTCTATCACAATTTTACTACATTTTTATAATTAAATGGATATTAATATTTAAAAGATCACTTACAGTGTTACACATTTCTGTGACGAGAAGAGAGTTTGTTTTGCTTTTCCTTAATTATATATACACCACACATAAAAACTAAAAAGTGCCTTGCGGGATACAAATGTTAGCCAAAAAAGAGAACTCTTTTTGCTTACTGTACATTCGAACCTGGTCGTCTTTGTTTTCTTATTTGCGCAATGTATATAATAAACTTTTTTTTTTTCACAAATGTTAATTTTGAATGTAAAAACCTTACAATACAGATTTCGAATCAAATAATAGCCTGTAATGTTCTGGAAAGCAGAAATTTGAAACATTTATTAAATGATTCAATCATGCACTGACATCTTCACAATCCGACAAACCCGATGTTTCAGATTTTACTTTCATTGTCATTAAATGCAAATAAATATCATACCCATTCCACCAGATCAGCTAGAGGTTGTTCTCAGATTTCCTCGCTTAAAACCCTATTTCATAAAGAAATACGAAACATTAATCAAATCAAAGACAGACACAACAGTGGGAAGAGTCTATAGAAAGAACACATTGTTACACATTTCTACTTAATCAACCACCAAATATCTCATACAGTGATACACCTTCACAACAAAATACAATGGTTTAGCTAAGTCTGTGGTGTAATTTGACAGCATAGGGTGAAAAAAAAAGTTATCAACGCTTTGAGTGAGCTTTTAATTTCCAAAAATGTAAATTTAATTTTAGTAGGGGGTTGATGGGTAGATTTTGAGGCAATAAATACTGAGGCTGAGTATAGTTATGAGTTGGTGCTATTGTTCATTATTCATACGGATTTATAACTCCATTTTTATGGGAGTTTGTTCCTTTTCTTCACCCAAAACTCAAAACCAAAAAGAAAAATATTTTGTGTGAAAATACTTATGAACAAAAAAAGTAGGGATTTGTCGAAGCGGAACTGTCTACAAGAATAAAGGTTATTATGAAGGTCGTGGGAGTGATGAGTGCGACATATCAATCGACGGTAGGGAAAGATGTTTTAATTCCCATTACTAATCTGTAACGTTCCAAAGTATAATTTATATTCCAATATTTATTGTAATATAATAATAGAGACTGGCCATCTCGAGAAAAAAAAAAAGGAGAAGAGTTGAACTCCTTTGAACCCTAGAGATTTACCCTTCTTCTAATGACCTCAAAATATGGATAATTTAGACCAGATTGGTATAAACTTAGTCTCATATTTACCCTGAGCTTTGGATTCTGTAATCCACTTCCCTCTAGTGGACTAGTAAATGGACCCATCAAATGGAAGCTGTCTCGTACCGTCGCGAACCAGAAGTGAGAAAATTGTGAAATTTATATCATATATATAACATGATTCGCCATGAAATGCTAACTAATATTATTAACAAATTAATATATTTTCTCCGTCCTTCTGCATGAGATACAATGTAACGTGTACATGAACAGAGAATCAGAGATATACGTCAAATCGGTACCGTAACTTCGGACTGTTTACGTTACTATTTGATAATTTTAAAAGTTCATCATTTTGTAACGGTTGTAGTGATCACTGATCAACGTGACGACATCACATGCATGGTACTCACGCAAAATTTGATGATATAATATTAGATGTCACACAATAGATCATGTTTAGCTTTTATGCTCTCTTTTGACAATTGTTTTAAGTCCAAAATGAAATAAAGAGTTAAAATCATTATTAGTCCATTACTATTTATTTTTTTAAAACATACTCGTATAAGTTAATAAAAATCGAAGAAAAATAGGCAGCCCGTGATAATAAATTATTTAAGTTCTCATACTTTTATTTCTGTTGTTATTATATTATTTTGATTTATGTGCTTAGTCACCCGTTGGTCCCGTTCTGAGTTTTGCCAACGTCAACGTTTCTTTATCCGGGAAAAAGGGTTGAAAAAAGAAAAGGAAAAGGAAACGGAAACGGTAGGCGCAAAGTTAAAACCCCGTTGAAAAGTTGCTAACTATTTTTGGTGAAGAAACAAAACGAAATAAAAGAGCCCGAGAAAGAAACTATTCACAGCTCTCTTTTACAACAAAGAAAAGAATTTATTTTCCCGAGAAAGCCACAAATATTTTCTTTCCTCTTTGTTTTCTATTCTCTCTCTCTCTTCCACGATTATCAGTTAATGTTGTTAGATCTGTGGTCTTTTCAATTCCGAATACTATCGATCTACTCTTATTCCATTACAACCCATCTAGGGTTTTAAGTTCAAAGCCAAGCTAAACATCATAAAGAGAACCCATCTGCCTCCTCGGAGACGCTCTCTCTCTTCACTCAATAAATACCTCCACCTCCCTTCTCTCACATCACTATACCATCTACCACAACACTCCTTGAATTCGTGTCTCTCTCTCTAAGTGGTGAATACAGTTTCATCAGAGGCTTTTCTTTTTGCTAAAGGAATTTCATTAGAGGGTTTCCTTAAAGAAAACTGAAAAAAAAAATGGATCTTTAAACTTTTATTCATTTCCTTTCATGAGGGTTTGACAAAGAGTTTCTTACAGATTTCTTTGGCATTCTGTCCACCTCCTTGTTATGCAAATAAGTATATGTATTTGCGTTGTGTGTGAAAGAAGGAGGTGGGCATACTGCCAACAGACATCTGTTAGGGTTTCTTTGTAAAACGCTCTTGATGTTATACATTACTTTATCAATATCCTGAATCTGATGCACTTGATCTGTGTTACTTGACAAATGGCAATGACAAGCCTCGATCTGATCTGGGGTAATTTTCGGATTAACCATTCCATTGATTCACTTACTCCCTTTTTAATCATTTTTCATATGTATAAAGTCGTTTTTAATATTGATCCTCGACTGACATCTTTATTTTGATCTTAGATTATTACATTGCTTGATTATGGTATATCATTTTTTTCCACTTTTTTTTTGAAGTATATAACGTTCGTTTATTTTTCCTCCTTATCTAGTGACCCTCTTGAAGGTTGACTAGTGCGAGATTTGAATGTTTCGTCTTCTAGAAAAAGGTTAAACACTAGGAAAAAGAGAAGGACCCAGAACTCCAAAAAGGTAACAGAGGCTTTGATTCATTTTGAGAACATAGTAATGGGGGAAACGAGAAGCCTCTTGTTTTGAAGTCCACGATGTTATAATGATGTTCCCTTATTCTATTTGAAGTCGAAGAAAACAGTAGTAGAGATTACGTGTACTCATTCATTTGGTATCATTTCTGACCTGACCTATATATACAAACTTGCTTGCTTTTTCTGATCATGCATGAATTGAAAATAATTCATAATTTTCTTGCGTTTCCGCTAATTTTTTTTTGTTACAATTGAGAATAGTCATTTATCATCATCTCTAGTCAAATTCACGCAGGTAACATTTATTTATATTTGGGGGGTTATATATCTATCGTATTTTGATGATTATTGCAATGCCGGTTAGTAGGATCATGGATGTATTTTAGTTTTGTGTCTTGGTATTATTCCCTGGTTCAAGTATTTTTAATTGGGTTTAAGACTTCGGAGTTTTAAACAAACATTTTTACAATTTTTCTAGATTAAGTGTAAGTCATATTGGTCAAAAATACCAAGTTTATAGAGATTTAGTTAGTTTGGTATTTTGGTTTTGCACGATGTATATTATCAGATCAGAAAACCTTGGGTCTCAGTGTTCTAAGCAGTGAGCTGCTCAACAAAAATTAAGTGTTCTTAGAATCGTAGTAACTAGCTTTTTCATTAATTATAAAAAAGGGTTCGCAAAATCAAAACTCATATCTAAATTAGTTTTTTTTTCTATCAAGGTGACGATAAATTTTGCAAGTCTGCATGGAGTTCCAATCCAAGAGAGGCTATTGACTACAAATTTACATTATGGCACAAAGGTCTTTCTCTCGAATCTGTAGACATTTTTAGTTCTCTACATAATCGGAGAATGATATTGCTCTCCCACTTGATCAAGGAATGGGTGAAGAATGCGGTTAATAGGTTTCACGTACAAGATTTTAGTAAAGCACTTTATTCGAGATTTTTCGTCGAAGTCTTGTGAAATTATGAAATCGAAGTCAATAAACAAAAAACCTCCTACTCTAACCTCTTCCTAAGACTTGACCACTATAAATGTTTTATCTAGAAAGAAATTCTTATTTTCTACAGATTTTCAACATGATTATTGTGTTTAATTCAAAGAAGAAATTAAGATATTCGCAATTGTGTTTAGAAGCTAAAATATCGTCTTTACAATATCCTTTAAAATAACAGAACAAAAACCGATACCATCAAGGATAAAACATTGTTGATATAATTCTGCTGCTATTCAAAACATCTAATATTAATCAACCTTTTGTTTTAAGTGTTTTTACATAATAAAAATATTCCGTTGCACATTTCATATCAGATTATTGCTAGTATTCGAACAATATTTTAGCTAATAATATAAGGGATAAGTTCAACTGCACATTTACTTTAGTAACTTCATCAAAAAGCTCAAGATAGGCCTGAAGGACTTTGCAACCCAATGTAAACACATGGACTGAAAATGGGCCTTGCACGTGAATGAAGAAGAACCGTTCTCACAAGGTTTCATCAAATGCGGTTTTTGAGGAACATACAGTGGGTCAAATAAATAAAAAAATTCAAGGCTACAGTGTCAATCTGTACATGAGATAGTTAGTTTAGATCAAACTTGTGCATAATTCATTTGTGAACAATCAATCAAAACTTCGTCGCGGGAGCCGGAGGAATGAAGTTTACTGGATTTCGATAAATTGGGTTCCAATTAGGTATATAGCTAATGGGCCTCAAGCCCGCCACTTACACATTCCTATTTCAACTTCTTGTTATACCACTTCTTGTCATAACAGGACAAATGGATTGGCTCTAAAGAATCTGTTTATCAGAATATTAGCTGTGTTAACCTTTTAAAAACTATTTTGAGTTTTTTTTTTCCAATCTCAAGTGTGTAATGGATGCCATGTATAACAACATGATTCTTTATGCATTTACCTTTTGATTCGATTTTAGGAGTACGAAATGGAAACATAAAGCAGATTTCAGAGGATATGCGAATCTATGTGCCACTAAATTTGTCTTTTCTGATGGATTTAGTGAAACTCTTAAGAAAAAGTTAAAATATAAAACAGAGTAGTTTACATAACTCACGCACTCATCTACCATTATTTGAGACTGAATCGCTTAACAAGGTGAATCATAGAAAATCATCTACTAATTTTCAATGTAGCTTTATGCACAATTCAGAGATTGTTTTTTTTTCTTTCTTTCACGAACATCGGTTAAATATACTTATCGTGTAAGAGAGTATAGGAAATGATAACAAGCATAGAAAAACGTTTCTTAACATAGACCTATATTTTTACGATGCGAGGAACCGTGACCAAATTATAAACTTAATAAGGAAACAATTTAAATAAATGGAGACTAATTTAAAAAGATGTTAAACTTTTTTGGTGGACTACTTTTAATTGTGGTTGTGGCGTCGATAAGTCATATATCTAAATTAGAATAACAATGGAAATTTTTAGAATAGTGGAATTTGGGCGGCTTATTGAATAGTGTACTATACTATAATAGTGTACGTCGTTTAACAAAAAAACCTTTAGTGTACGATCATATGTATTTCTTCCAAGTACACAAATAATACTATAGTTACTTCCATCTTTTGACTAGTCAACTGTGTTGACAGATGTTGTAAGTTGGTCAGAGTCACCCAGAAATTAGAGTAAGAGGAATCAAATGATTTTCTTTTACGAAATGATATTAATTTATACATATTTTCCATTTTATGTTATTTCTAATAAAATATCAAGTACATTCTCTACACATGGATTACTTTTTTTTTTGGTAATACCATTTAAATATAATTATAAATCAACAGCGTGAATACTACATACATATGATTTTAAATCTTTATGAAATGGAAGAGTATTTTTTTTTGTTTTAATACAAACTTAGATATGAAACATAAGCATATGCTAGGTGCAATTTTGGTTTGTACGACACACACAATAAATGGTCCCCAAAAAAAAAGGTTTGTGTAAATTACACAATTTTAATTTTTTTAAATGGCAACATTACCGAAAAATGTCGACAGATTCACGAAAAAATTTCGACATAACGGGATACTCGCTGCCATCTATCACGCGCGCTCTTTCCATTTTCTCACGTTTCCTTATTCTCTTTAATTTCATTTCGTAACTAACATTTCATCACAACCGCACGCGCCAATGCTCTATAAATACCCGTTCGACGCAAACTCTTCTTTTTTTCCCTTCCACTCCACGAAACTTAAGGCCAAATACGCAATCAAGTCTTTTTGTTTTTGTTTCTACATTTCTGTGTCGGAGTTTCATTGAGAGTTCAAAGCATATAAAATGGGGTCTCTCTCGGTGTTTGAGGAGCGGTTGCAGTATCCGACGGCGAGGCGAGATGAGTCCATCGTTGAAGATTATCACGGCGTTAAAGTCGCTGATCCTTACCGTTGGTAAAAGCGTTTGCGTTTGACTTTCCACCTCTAACTTCTCTCGTTTTGTTTTGATGATCACGTTGTTGAGTTGACTATTAATATCACGGAGATTTTGAATGTTCTAATGTTTTTCCCTAAGTTAATTGATTCTTTTTTAGGAAAGAAAATATTTTGCATTTTTTTAATTTTAGATCATGACCAATCGTGTGTATCGAGCCTTTTTTTGGACCACCTATATTTATCTATTGGGCCACTATAGATATTTTTGGACCAGTTGTATGAAAAATTTGGCCCATTTTTTGGACCAATTTTTGTTTTCTTGCTCATCATAATTGTGTTGTTTGTTTGTGTGATTTACTACTGTTTATGATAAATAACTATGTACCGGCTTGGGACAATAGTAAATTGCTTCGGTTAGTTTCGGTTAATTTATGGTCGAGATTGTTTTGTTGGTTCTCTGTTAGGCTGGAAGATCCTGACGCAGAAGAAGTGAAGGAATTTGTAGAGAAGCAAGTGAAACTGTCTGATTCAGTGTTGAAAACTTGCGAGACGAAGGAAAAGCTTCATGAGAAAATCACAAAGCTTATTGATCATCCTCGCTACGATACGCCCTTCAAGCGAGGGAACAGTTACTTTTACTTCCATAACACAGGTCTTCAAGCCCAGAGTGTGCTTTATATTCAGGTTATCTTAAACGGAGAATCATCTTCATTTTTTTTTTGTAACTCTTCTGTAATCTCCAGTTCTTGATTATCAAGTTTTTTTATTTTATTTTAAATGGGGTTTTCAGGATGATTTGGGTTCTGAAGCAGAGATCTTGCTTGATCCCAATACTCTTAGTGGTGATGGAACAGTTTCCTTAAACTCTTTAGCTATCAGCGAGGATGCTAAGTATTTGGCTTATGGGCTTAGCTCGAGTGGTAGTGACTGGGTAACGATTAAAGTGATGAAGATTGAAGATAAGAAAGTGGAGCCTGATACTTTATCTTGGGTAAGGTTTCTTCAGATTGAATTATTTCTTAATTAGTCTTCCACTTTTGACATGAATCTGTTTTTTTGTTTCAGGTTAAGTTTAGTGGAATTACATGGACACATGATGGGAAAGGGTTTTTCTACAGTCGTTACCCAGCTCCACAGTGAGTCTTGTGTTTAACTACGAAACATTAACTCTTGATGAAATGGTTTGAAAAGTTTTGATTTTTTTTTTGTTACTATTGTTTCTGATATTGATTTGTTGCTGCAGAGAGGGAGAGAAGATAGATGCTGGTACAGAGACTAATGCTAACCTTTACCATGAGTTGTATTACCATTTCCTTGGGACGGAACAATCCGAAGATGTTTTATGTTGGAGAGACCCAGAGAATCCCAAGCATATGTTTGGTTCTAAAGTCACTGATGATGGCAAGGTAAAGCCAGCCATTTTTCTCATCTCTCTTGGTGATGCTTCACTCAAATGTTAAAGTCTAAGTTTTTTTTGGGTTTTGAGGTTTTAATCCCACCATTATGTTTTTTACTTAATGCAGTACTTAATCATGACAATCGAAGAAGGCTGTGACCCTGTAAACAAAGTTTATCATTGTGATCTCTCATCACTTCCTAATGGTCTAGAAGGTTTTAGTGGAAGCAACGCCCTGCTTCCATTCGTTAAGCTTATCGACACATTTGACGCACAATACATTGCTATCGCAAACGACGAGACATTGTTTACTTTCTTTACCAACAAAGATGCTCCAAAGTACAAATTAGTCCGGGTTGATCTGAAGGAACCGAGCAGTTGGAGCGATATACTAGCAGAACACGAGAAAGATGTCCTCTCGACGGCTTGTGTGGTTAATGGAAACCAGCTTGTTGTGAGCTACATGAGCGATGTAAAACACATCCTGCAGATTAGAGACTTGAAGTCCGGTTCACTGCTTCACAGGTTACCTGTAGATATTGGTTCAGTAGGTGGAGTTTTTGCTCGGCGTAAAGACACAACCTTTTTCTTTAGGTTCACAAGCTTCCTCACTCCCGGAGTGATTTACAAATGTGACTTATCTAATGAAGCTCCAGAAGTTACGGTATTCCGTGAAATCGCTGTACCTGGATTCGATAGAACAGCGTTTCAAGTCACTCAGGTAACTGTAAATGCTTCTTTACCAATAACAAAGCTTTGAATCTGCAAAACCGAAACTACTTTTGAATCCATTTCCATGTTGTTTTTATAGGTGTTTTATCCGAGTAAGGACGGAACAAAGATACCAATGTTCATAGTTGCTAGAAAAGATGTAGAGCTAGATGGAACGCACCCTTGTTTGCTCTACGCATACGGCGGGTTTAGCGCAAGCATGACGCCGTTTTTCAGCGCGACTCGTATTGTGCTTAGTAGGCATCTTGGTGCTGTGTTCTGCTTTGCAAACATCCGTGGTGGTGGCGAGTATGGTGAGGAATGGCATAAATCAGGCGCGCTTGCCAATAAGCAGAACTGCTTCCATGATTTCATTTCCGGTGCGGAGTATCTGGTCTCTGCTGGTTATACACAACCAAGGAAACTCTGTATCGAAGGTAGTAGTAACGGTGGGATTCTTATAGGGGCTTGCATTAATCAGGTACAGACTCTAAATTAGAGTAGCTCATGAAAATAGCAAATACATAGT